ATCTGAACAAAATTTTAATCGAATATAAATATTATATAATTGGGCTTATACTGGGTATATTTCAGTCGATACATAAAAATGTATTTAGGTACTTTGATGGATTGCGTTGAGAGTTTGTGCGTGTGTGCGTTATATAGACAAATCTATTTTCCATGTACAACACATTTTACATACACAAATTCTGTTTACAAACACACAATGCCATGGGTAAGGAGCACAAGATAAACCGTTTTGATTTGATTTATAACAATTTAAAAGCATTAAAAATTGTACTCGTAATATAAATTTGTCGATTCATCGAGCGTTAATTTCACAACTTAAATGTTTGAAAATTTCGCTTGGATATCATGTAAATCGCTGTCTGCTGAAAAGTGTAAACAAAAGTAAAGATCGTTAAACGGAAGATGGAAAGTGTAAATAATGCAACTATAGAGTTTGGATATAAACTCGAATTTAAAATCTGATGCTGCACATTTATCTAGCTTAAATTTGCGATGCAGGAGTCTGCATTGAATTGTTGCAAATTTATATATGCTGCCATTAAGATACAAAACGTTGCAGTTGCAGTTGCCAATGAGTGGCAAATGTAATACAACACTAATTGGCCGCTCATGAGGCGTCTAATGCCAAATGCAGCAACGGGCGGCTGACGTCTGCCCACAGACAATGGCCAGCCAGCAGCACTCTGTGGCCAGCTTCAAATGAAACTCGTTAAATATTTATGAGGAGCACGAGGTGCATGCATACCACACACACACACACACATACACACTAACACACACACAACACCAAGCCAAGCCAAGCATCTTGTCCAGATGTGTAGCCCATAATTGTGCACAGATTTTGATTTGGAGTCCGCTGGATGTAGTAGCCGCGGCAACACCGCTCGCCTTACCGTGCCTTGCCTTACCGTGCCTTGCCTTGCCCCTAGCCATATGCTGCATATACAGCTAGCTGTAAAAAGCCAAAGCCAAAGTGTAGTGAGTACCTGGCCCATAGCTCTCGGCGCAACACTTGAGCGCAGGACCAGAGCAGCCGAAGCAGCCGCAGCAACAACCTGTTTCGTGGGAACATTACCTACTCTGGGCCTGACTCCACCTCTGACTCCGACTGAGTGTTGCTTGGGGCTCGAGCTGCGGCGGCTCGCGCTGCAGCAACATTGCCTGACCATTCGTCGACTTTGACTCTGACTGACGAACTGGCTAACTGACTGAATGACTGACTGACTGACGAGCTGCTGCTGCTGCTGCTGCTCATAAATGAAACCTGTTAAATGAATGAAATAAAGTGTTATTTGCTCGGCTCACAAATGTTTCGTTGGGGCATTGGTTCTTTTTTTGGTGCTGGGCTGCTTGGATTATGCGCGCCAAGGCGCGTCTTTATGCCACAAACTGTGCTCTAACTCGCTGTGTGTGTGTTAGTGTGTGTATGTGTGTGTGTGTATGTTTTATGTGCTTGTTGTGCTCCGGTTCTTGGACTTTGTTAGCTTTTGGAACGCAGCCTCAACATGCCGCAACCTGTACGTAGTTTAATTTGATTTTTTCCGAGCTTGACTGGGCAGCCCTGCCCTTACACACACACATACACACACACACACTAACACACGCACACATGTGTGTGAGTGACTTGTAAATTTTTGATTCTGTTCGCTGTTATTGTTTTTGTTGCTGCCGGCCTGTTTTTTTATATTTATATTTTTTTGTTGTTTACCTACAGTAGTTGTAGCTGCATGTTTTGTGTTGGCTTTCAAGTTGGTCTTCAACTTGAGTTTTATTTTTAACTTAATTTCTTGGCTCGGCCTCGGCCAACTCGTCCATGCGTAATTCATATTTTACTTAAGCCGAACCCAGTTCCAAGGCACATAATTCGCAACTTTGGATCCCTGTGCATACCATATAATTTGCGGCAACAACAATTTCTGGTCGTGTTGATCTCCAGCTCAAAAAAAAAAAAAAAATTGAAAGCCAAAAGGAGAGATTGGGGGGCGCATAGCTTTAGCCAACGCGTAATTGCCATTGCCCGGCTTTAGCCCAATAAATGCGGATTTTACATCATTTAGAGTCACTCGGCAGTCGTTTATTATTTCACTCGTCTCAGGGCAGAGCTGCTCGGATTTAAATTTTATTGTGTACATTTTAATTTAAATTAATATGTATTTTATTCGCAAAGCTGATGTTCCCTTTGCCTGATACACTCTGGCCCTGATACACTCTGGCCCTGGCCGGCTGTTAAAATGTTGGCTTAATTCGACAATTTAATTTGGGTTTATGCCGCTAAATACGAACACAATCTTGTGGCCAAGAAAAGGCCATTGGTCTTGGGCTCATGTGAAATGAGGAAGCTGCTCCAAATGGGAGGCGTGTTCGCGTCTCGTGTACGCCACTTTTTTGTTGGTGAAAACTTTTGGTTTTTGGATACAAATTGGAAAGGGAATTGCGATTTAAGGCAAGACTAATAAAGAAAGAGATCACATATACTAAACAGATATAATTATGGTTGTTCAAACACCTCGAACAACGCAAGCGCTATTGATGGTGCTACTGAAATCTCTTTTTTTATGTAGCTTCTTTGAGACAACTGTTCAAATTTTCATGAAAGAAATTTAATGGAAGAAAAAATGTTTTTTCACATTTCCATAATCCATAATCGAATTGCATAAAAATTCATAGGGACTTAATGTCTTTTATCTACATCAAATTCGTTTTTCTTTTTTTCTCGCCAAATAACTGATCTTTAACAATTAAGTATTAATAATAAAGTCTTTTAATGAATGAGTCTGAACTTATATTATATAATTGCTCTCATTAGATTTTAAAGAAAAACACAACAAATTATATTCAATGAATCTATAGAAAATAAAAATTAATTTTACTTGTCTACCCAAAAAACACTATGCAACAGCATATGACGGTCTTTGATAAAACCTATATTTTTTTATAGTTCTGGGAACCCCGAATATGAAATAAATAGTTCATCTATTGATACTATTTATTGGCTTTTCATTGGCTTAAGCTTTTTGAAATCGATTGAGATTTGCGAAAATAATGCAAATATAAAAACTAACTCTAGCTAAAAGTAGTGCATGTGCCAAAGGTTATAGTTTAACTTGGTTTAATAGACTATTAGACCATTTGCCGATAGTTCAGCTGTTTAACCGAATAAATCTGTGGCAGAGACAAGGCGCCTTCCGCAAAACTAAATCCCAAGAAATATATTATTTATGTAAGTTGAGCTGAGAAAACTACTTGAAAACTACTTGCCGAAGCGCAGCTAATTTTTGTTTCATTTTCTAAATAAAGATCTTTGGCCACTACGGATATTAATCAAAGTTAGAAACTGAGCGTTTTTAATCTTTTACACTCTTTCCAATCAAAATATGCAGAGCTGTAACAAAAGATTCAGATTGTGTTTCATATTTTGTTCTGTTCTCGTTCTTGTACGCTTCGGATGCCCTGGCGCATTGGGGGTAGTCCCGCAGCCGGGGCGCCAAGCATTTTAGTTCCACTTTAGGCGCACAGACGAGGCCATGCTTAGAAGAACCGAAATATGTATCCACAACATTGATGATGACTAACGGATTCGTTTACATTTTGTTCCCATGAACAAAAATATTTAATTTGATTGCCGTTTTTATGTCTTCATTAGCAAAATGCTACAAAAGTAATAAATTAGAGATTGCGGCTTTTCGAAAACGCGTTATTTCCGTGTGCGTGTGTGTGTGTGTGCGTGTGTATTTATGTATGTTCGTAAGTCTGTAATTTGGCCCATGCATGAAGATTAACGCCTGATTAATGAACACGATTATTCATAATTCTTATCACTGGGCCCCTTACAAATAATTGAAACATTTTCGCGGCGGCGGCATCTGTGACTGCATTCAATGCTAATTCGACTTCATAGAATTTGATTTAGAGATCATTAAGAGCGAGCGCGAGCACAACATGGACATGGACATATACATGCGCTTCCTTTGCTGCCATTATTGATGATGCGTCTTCACATACGTACGCACCTGTGTATGCCTGTGTATGCGTGTGTGTGTTTGTGATTCCTCTGTCTGCACATTTGCGGCACGCAGCTCGTCAATCAATTGACCAGCCAACTTGCAACCGGTTTGTGCTCCACTTCCAATGCACACTTTTTATACCCTAAGCCCAGTTTTAAAAAGGGTGTATTGGTTTATGCACTTGTATGTAACAGGCGGAAGAAAGCATCTCCTATTCTCTTACTTCTTATTTTAAGACAAAATACACCAAAAATCTTTTGAAGGCTCTCGCAACGTATAAATGGAGTGGGAATATTTTTGGACCCCTCCCTCACTTACCGAAAGTGAGGGGTAAAGAGAACATGTGTTTGTATGCATATGGGTGTGTATGTATAGAAGGAGTGTATGTAACGGTCGCATGACACTGGGGTAAGGGTATCTCCTGGCGTGCTCTTTCGACTAGTGAGCTCTGACTTAATATCGCTTTTTTTTAGTATACCCTAACAAAAAAAGGAAGGGGTCGCCTCAGTCGAAGGTTTCTGCACTTAATCATATATAATTTTCTTAAAGACCACATTTTAAGCAATCAAAAAGTCATATTTATAAATATCCGGCACTTTTGAATTGGCAAATATATACATAACTTACATTAAGTATTGCATTAACTTCGAATAAGTTAAATTATATTGAAATCAAAAATAAACGATTCACGACAAATCGAACTAAATAATAATAATCATAATATTAAATATAATAAAACAATTATATATGAGAGAAAAATAAGAAGTATTTAATTGCTGAAATGTGTTTCGCGCCCATCCTCTATACCAATAATTTGTGTGGATGTCTCCTGTTTTTCTTCTTTTTTTTTCATCGTATCGCTTTTGAGCTGATAAGCGTGTGCTAAATATATATATGAATAATATATCCCGCAACATATGTATATCAAATGTTGCTATAAAAGCGGCAGATTAATTTAAAAATTCGCGAATGGCCGTTCAGTCTTTGAAGCACAATGATCAAATCTGGATCTGTTCTAATCGCATTTGTGCTCTGCCTGTTGGCGGGCGACGCTAATAGCTCATTATCAAGTAAGCTATATATACAAATACATATATATAGACATATTTTAATTGAAACAACCCACCGAATTAGTTACCTGCAATGGCAATCCACAGCAGGATTACCTGAAGATTAACTCGAAGTACTTCTTTATATGGCACACAAAGGTTGGCTGGTTTCATGCATCACACATATGCCGGCGATTTGGCGGAGATCTGGCCCTTATCGAATCGGAAGAGGAGATGACGTCTATTTCCAATTTTCTACTGAGCCAGGGTTATGACGGCTCCGCTTGGTTTTGGACATCGGGCAACGATATTGTTCAAAATCGTCGTTTCGAATCAATAACAAACGGAATGCCCTTGAACTATACCAAATGGTCACATGGCGAGCCCGATAATGCGGGTGGCAACGAGCATTGCGTGCATTTGTGGTTACGTGATGGCTCCTTCAAAATGAACGACTGGATATGTCGTGAAAGGGCTCATGTCTTATGTCAAAACCAAAATCACACACGTTGCTGGGAGGCTTATAATTAAGACTTTCTGGATTGGTTTCTTATCTCAATAAAATTTGTGCATATAACATTTTTTTTGGCTTTTTTAAGAATTTTTAATTTCATTGTCTATTGACGCAACATTTTAATACATAATACAAAAGGTCAGCCAGCAAGGTAATCGAAATCACAATTGTTATCAAAACGGCAAATATATTACCGAACCATTTTGAGTTTTTTTTTTGCAATGTGCAAATAACAATTCGCATATATAACATCATTTAACAACATTTAAATTTGACTATTTTAAGTTATAAAAAATTACGTTCATAAGCAACTACCAGTTCGAGAAGTTCCAATATAACGTTTTTTCTAACTATTCCTAGCTGTTGTACCGTAAACAGCGTATTGTGCAGTCAGTTGCATCCGACTACACCTTTTTTATACTATTTACGCTGTCATAAGATGATTACACTATTCGCTTGAGGCTGCTCTTAATCACACTCAAAAATCATAATAAGCTTTTGATGACGTCAATTTTTAAGAATGTGGTAAATAGATTTTTATCTATGTACATGTCCGACAACTGTTGCAGTTGGACTACTGAAGAAATCCCTAAAGATCGAACCAAGCTCACACTCTTTCCCCTCTAAAAAAAATCACAGTTTGAAAGCAACTGCTGTACAGACACAGATTCATTAAGCCACTTAGACAGAAGATTCTTTCCGACTAACTCAAGCAGTCAAACACTGTGAACAGGTTATAGAACAGTTGGTTATACCCGAATTAAAAGTTTGCTTTGCTTTTTTTTCTTAATATGATTATCTAAGCATGTGTTGATTTTTCCAGCTCAGCGTTCGCGGCGCTTTTCCAACTGTCAACGGCGCACAGCCGTCCACTGATTCGCAGATTCAGTTTGACAGTCGATCTGGTTTTTCATTAATGAACATGAGCGAGACTGTGGAGGAACACACGCACCGAACGCGACAAACACGACACAACACGGCTATGGTCATTTGATTTATGGCATGGGCCTAGCTAAAGGGTAGACACTGAGAGATATTCGGCAGTACGTTTGAGTCAGTCAGTTGGCCAGTTGGCCAGGCTCCAGGGCACCCTAATGAAGATAATTTATTATGCGATGCCGTTTAATTAAAATCAGATAACCAGAGATCGTTCGCTGGCCCTCAACTCCTTCAAGCTGCATGCATACATATACGAACGTATATCCATTGGGCTGCCCGGCTCCAAGCGTTCCAGCAACTGGCATTGTCAGCTCCTCATCCGCCGCCGCAGCTGCCGCAGCATTCCCAGACTCTGCCTGAAGCTCTGAGGAAATGCTCTGACGTTTGGTAGTTGTTGCTGCTACTGTTATCATACCCTATATCCATTGAAAAAGGGGTACAATGTTTTGTTGGTGTGCCTATTCTTGCTCAGCATATGTCCTTCTGCATGTTTATAACAATTCGTCAAATCACAAGATCGATATTTATCGGTATTATAGCTTCCGGGTCTACAAAAGCTTGAGCCATACAATTTGTAATATATATATACTCCCGTATATCATAGGCAGAACGGGTCTATCATTCATCAATCCGTAAAATAATATCAATAAAAATCGATTTTATCGATAGTTTCTCCCATTTCTATAATACCGATATATATCGATTCTCATAAGACAAAGAAAATATGAAAAAAAAATCAGTTATTAATCTAAGGGCCCTATTTGGGACATGCAAATTTCATAAAGTTCAGACCATAAGCACGAATGCTTCTCAAGGATGCATTCATCACACTGTGGAGCAAGGGGAAGAAGAGGCACAGCCGCTGTATGTATTCTTAAGTGCGTTAGTATTTGAGATAATAAAGTGTTATTTATACACATACAGAAGGTACACATATTAAATATAAAGCCTTGCAAAGGCAGCTCGTCTTAAGGGTTAAGGGTCAGGTTAAGGGTATCGGCAAGTCGTGCACTCCCGACTAGAGCACTCTTGCTTGTTGTTGTTCTTATTGTTAATTTCCCAGGCGCAGGCCAACAAGATTTCGCGTTAAGTTCAACAACTAAAAGCAACAAAGTTGTAGCCGGTCAACGTCGCGTCGTCGTCGTCGTCGTCAAACGTCGCCGGTGGCAGCTGCGACTGCCCCTCAGTTTCGATTGCCATACATGATTGGGCATTGGTTCTTTATCAGGATCTTGTTTAGGCCATCTCGGTGCTTTGTTGCCGTTCGAGTTGGACTTTTAGTGCGCCCCTTTATTGTGGCTGCGGCCTTCATTATCAATCCTATGCAAATGATTTTTAATTGTCTGACCGGCTTGTTAAGGCCGCTGGAAATCTCTATTTAAACGCTTGTCGAAACGGCTAAATGACGACTTAAGTGTCTGGGACCACACAGCAAGCAGAGGCATGACTCAGGACGTGGCCAAAATGCTGTCGGCCATGGCCATTACGCAACGAACGGATCGTAAATATTAATTGAACGTAGCGAAAATTGGTATGCGCCCATTTTTGGCACTTTCACGCATTTGCATAGCCAAAATGTTTTGAGAGGGGGCGCTAGCCGGGGTTTTGCGCTCACGAAAATCTACATTTCACTTTACTAAGTAGGCGGAGCATAGACGAATGTCTAGCGGCCATTTAAGAGCGACTGAAGCCTCAGTTTAAGAGCAACATTTGCTCTTTGGCCAAAGCCAAGCAATGCCTCTTGTAGACGGCGAAAGAGAGAGAAGACCTCTCTCTGTCTCTGTCCTTCTCTTTCTCTCGCGCATTATTAAATTCGCTCAGCAATGCAGCTCAGAAATCAATCACAGGTGCAGCTCTGCGGCACAGTTTGAGAGCCACTGAAAATGCTAAAAGCAAGTTTCCTTGCATGGTCGCCGTATCATAAATCAAGCCGGCAAAGAGTGTGAAATTTTTACCAGCCAACTTTATGTATGTCGCGCGCATTTTTAGCCATTTATGACTTAATTTCAATTACACATATTTGGCCAAATTATTTGCTGACACTTTGGGGGCAATTAAAATGGCAACACGTGCAACCCAACACGGCCAAAGATGCGAACGGCTTTTAATTAAAAAACCTGGCCGCAAAAGTCGCGCAGTTGCATTTGGCAAGTCCTTTAAAAAGCATCTATCATATTGACAGCGGCAGCAGGAACTAAAGATATTATTTTACTAATTTTAAGATGCAAATCCGGCTCGAAACAGGATTGTCAATAAGATTTTTATCATTAACAAACCCAATTAGTAGCCAAAAAAAGCATTAACTAAAACTGAACCCGAATCGAACCATATTTCTTCTTAAGACATAAATTATTTTTGGCTATGATATCAGCGGAAATGACTGATCCTAGAGGATATGAGGAGAAGATAGGCCATTTTCCGGAACATCTTCGAGAACGATCTCGGAAATTTTTAGGGCAAGATCGGTCAAACAAAAGGTTCTTTTGTTAAGCAATTTTTTGAAAGTTATTTTCCTCATACTTGGTATTTACAACTGTCGAAAAATTAATTATATTTTTTTTAAGATATCTTGACCGGAAAACTATATCAAATTGGAGCAGTGGAACGGATATAAGTATAAAGGTATTAATTTTTGGCGTGATAAAGAAAGCTATTAGCTCTGATTATTTAAATTGGAAAATGTGAGCTGACTGTGAAAATTCCTAGTTCCCAAATCAAGGGGGGAAGCATTTGTTTGAAATGGAAGTTGATTTATATTTAAGATCACTAAGCCTTGAAAATTTATGAAGTCAATCAATCAACTCTCCATTAGCAAAGTCTATCAAAAAGTAGCAGATGTTAATGAATTTCTAAGTAATTTAATTTTTTGAAAGTTTGATTTGCTCATTTATTAAATTACTAAAAAATTAATTTACAAAAGTAGCTATTAGTAGAAAATGCCTTTGGTATGCATTATAATACATCTACTCTAGTGTCTTATGTAATCCACTCAATTGACGACAATTTCAATTTGTCAATTTGCTATTGTTTTGGCCACATGAGTTCTGCTGTGCCCGCGGCGCACCTTGCGGCTCGGAGCCGTCCACAGTTGACGGCAAGGTGCAGCAGAGAACGGCTCCAGTTTCGGTGGACAACGCCCCAGAGCCCTCAGCTAACCCAGCAAACCCAGGTGGCATCGACTTTAGAAAGTCAGCTCCAAAAAAAAAACTTAAATCGCTGCGCTTAAAACGGTAAAGCCAAAGCCTTTTCCTTTTGCCAGCAACAGGACGGAAAAGCAAAGACGTAAAAGCGGAGCCGACATCGAAAGCCTATATAGTATATATGTACGTATATAACTCATTGCAGACATTTGGCCTTTTATTAATTGTTTGACGGCGCCCGTGCCCATGAAGCTGCTACTCTCCCAGAACCCCCCACCAAAGCCCCCCACCACAACCTGGATTTTCCTCGCTCTGTTCCAGTGTCTGGGCGTGATGAGAAATTTAATATTGGCAAACGGATAAAACCGCCAGATAATTATACATTTTGAGTGGCCCAAGCTGCAGTTGTTGCTGGCTGCTGGCTGCTGGCTGCCGCTGCTGCTGTCTGAAGGCCCGGCTATTTGGCTTACTGGCGCTGGCTTACTGGCCACCAGTTTGCAGTTGCTGTTTTTTTTTTTTTTTAGTTCATGATAGTATAAAATTTCATTTCATTAAAGTGCATCACGACGGACAGCGGACAACAGACAACGGCTGGTGGAATCAATGAGCGGCCGCTAACATAGTTGAGCCGCTGCAGTCATTGCCCTCTCTGCCCGTCCCGCTGCCCGATGGCTAGCCAAGCAGCTACCAGCAAGCGGCAGCTAGCAGCAAGCAGCAAGCAGCCAGCAGCCAGGCAACAAAACTTCCTTGCTTACTTTTCTTCTTATTGGCAGATTACGGCAGCGGGGTGGGCCGCTGGTACGTACCAACTTATAATCAAATCCGATAAAAAATTTCATTATTGCTGCGGCAGCGGCAACAACAGCAACAACAACAGCAGCGCCCATAACTGTTTTGCAGGTAATCTGTGATGTTGTTTTTGTTGTTGTTGTTGTTGTTATGATTGTTGCTGGCTGCACTTAATTTTCGCATGCGCACTGAGAGCTCATGATCGCGATTTCTTCGTTCCGTTCCCTGCCGTTCCGCAGCGGACGCCATTTTGATTTTTGGTTCTCAGCCACTGCAACTCTGGGGTCAGCAGCAGCAGCGTCCAAGGAATAGAAAGAAGCTTTGATTTGAAATAGCAGTCTCCGCTGTATTTGTTGTTGTTGTTGTTGTGCTGGCGTTGCTCTAGCAACATAAATTGGGACGTGATTATGAAATAATTGCAGATCTCTTTTATAGCTTGTAACTTTGGTCTTGCGCAATGTACGGCCAAGCTAAAGCCAATCAGTCGCTTGTTGATTTAAGATCGGCTCATGATGAGAACGTGTTGAGGCAACAACGCGATCGCAACACCTCGGGGAGTTTGACACGAACAGAAGCAGTGACAGGGCGACAGTTGATGCTTGACAGCCATATCACAGCGATCACTAAGGGACTACAAACAATGGTAAGAAATAAAATAAAAATTGCAACTCTTACTCATTACAATTGTAAGTACATTGTGTAGAACTTAACCGGAAGTCAAATGCTAACATGCGCTTTTCAAATCTTATCTAATCTTATCTTATCTCTATTTGTAACAAAAAATATTTGTTCTGAATGACTGGCTGACTGATTGGTGGTGATCTAGCTAAGATATGGTTTACAGTAGTTATATTATGTGACGATGTGAAAAATCTTAGAAAATTTTAATTTTACATTTGAAACTTCAGCTCCATTCAATTTTAAAGATCTTTGAGAAAACTCGTCGTCTTGCGCTTTTTTTTTAAATCATTCTCTATCCCCTGACTGAAAATGAGACTTAGTGTTACACTTCTTTCATCTTTCGTGTGATAAGCCATCCGATTCGAAATGGATCCAATACTCAATGTTACTCGAAATAATATTATTCATCTTGTATAATTGTATATAGAAAACTTGGGACTTTACTCACCTTGACCTATATTCCGTTCGCCAAGCATATCAATTGCAAACTCTGTGGCGACCAACAGTGACACCCAGAAGAAACTCACGTCATGCGAACTTTGGGCATTTCCAGTCAGCAGCTACTTGCGAGTCCGTTGCAGCTCGGCTACTGCTCGTTTGTTCGCATATGCAAATTAAATATAATTTCAACACTCGCAATGCTGTTGATTCTTTTGCTGTACGTCCATAATTTACATGAGGTTAACACGCAAGCAAACAGGCCGCAGCAGACGCTTCAGGACTGGCCTTAATTATCTCCTGGAAATCGAATGCACGCACAGAGCATACAGTGCGGCTAAGGTAACAGAAGCAACAATAGCTGGAGCAGCAACAGGAGCAGCAGGAAAGCGCATCAAGTTTGTAAAGTTAAAAAGAAATTCTATTGCAGCGTTGAATGTTGAAATATTGCCAAATCATGGCTCTGAAGTAAATAAATTTCCACGCCACCGCTCGCCGTGACCGCTGAACTTCTGACGTAGGCAGGGGCAGAGACACAGGAGCAGAAGCGGCAGCAGCAGCAGCAGCAGCTAAAATGCCTGGCCGTGTATAAATAAGTAACCTGAGCTGCGCAACACGTTGCCTGACAGTCCAAAAACGGCACACGGCTCAGCTGGGTTCGGATCGGATCGGATCGGCTGGGCAGCGAGTTGGTTGCCAACTTGTTTGGATGCCGCTGCCGCTGTCGCTGCAGCATCAGCAGCAGCAGAAGCTGCCTGCCCCTTTTGCAGATTGCAGCAGTTCGCGTGTGCGCATGGCGGCTTTTTGATTTATTTGCGATTTATGCACTTGGCTGCCGCTGTCAGTTTGCTCGACAGTCGGGTCTCGGGGGTGGTTCCTTGCCACATTTGCGCGCATCCACTTGACCGATTTCCGCAAGCCAGAGATTGCGTCTCGCAGCTAGAGCTCATGCTCTTTATTCTCAAACAAATGATAAACGAAATATCTATAATATATACAGACAAGCAATATATATGTATGTACTATATGTGTAGACTCGAAAGGCATCGAAATTTAGTTACGCTACGCGTGTTAACCGATGTGATGGAAAGCATGTGAAGTTCTTGTTTGCGTACATTAATCGTCTGCAGCTGCCCAGCGGATTACCGTTGTGAAGTAGTTATCAGTTAGATAACAGAAATACGCGATTATACGGCGGGGGGCAGTGGGCTAAGCGCTTGGGGGCGCCTTGTTGGCGAAAAACCACATAAGGCCCATTAGGCAACTGGGCGGACTATTGTTGACGGCGCCTTGCTGCACCATACGCTTGGCCTCTTCCAGAGACAGTTCCACCACCTCAATCAATTCATCATCGACGCCGCCGCCGCCGTGCGCTTTATCCGCATCTGTCACCTCGCAGTAGTACATGGCCTGCTTGGCGCCCGACGAGCCCACACCAGATCTGCAAGTGCCGACCGTTCGAGTCATTTGCTGTTAGCAAGTTAGCCGCTCCATCACATACCTATAGACCATGACTTGCTCGATGCGCTCCACGGGCACATCGTAGCCGCACTCCTCCAGCACCTCCTCGCGAGCGATTTCCTGCCAGCTCATCGACTTATCCACAATGCCGGCGCACAATTCCAAGGTTACGCCAATAGAAGGCGGAAAAGCCTTCAGATCGACCTTGTCGAAACCACCCTCCTCACTGGCAATCACACCGTGATAGACTGCCGGTCGAAACTGACGCACCAGCACAAGTTTCTGGCGCGTTGTGTTAAATAAGACAATCGCAACGCTGTCGTGCACTTTCAATAGATCCCAGTTCTTTTCGACGCCATTTTGCACGTAATACATACGAAACGGTTTTACATAGGGCGAATCCTCGGGCAGCGGGCCCAACCAGATCTTTGTAATGTTTTCCATTTTGGAATAAATCAAACTGCAGCCGACAGCTGATTTTGGCAAAAACAAGTGACAAGCTAGACAGACAAAAAATACACGCACACTTATAGCTTTTTGACGTTTCACACTTATCGTTTTATGGTCACACTCAAATTTAAATTTAAATCTTGTTGCACAAAAACCATAGTGTACCTATAATTGTGCCTGGACCACCATTTAGTGTTGCGCCCTTTTGTACTAAAGTCTTAGCCTCATCAATTGATAGCTCCACAACTTGTATAGCTTCATCTCCAGTGCCACCGCCATCGGATACTTTTTGCTGATCGCAAACTTCACAGTAGAAAAATGTGAGTGCAGCGCTGGAGGCGCCAACGCCAGATCTGAATTCAAAGATGCGCTCCATCTTGTCGGCGGGCACATTATAGCCACATTCTTCGCGAACTTCTTCGCTAGCTATGTCAGCCAAACTTTTGGTTTTGTCAACCACTCCCGCACAAGGCTCCAACGTCACCCCCAACTCGGGCGGAAAACGCATCAAATCAACTTCTTCCTTGGGTATTTCGAGAGTATTACCTGCTAATATGCCGTGGTAGACCGCTGGTCTAAATTGACGAACATAGACAAGCTTCTTTCTTGAAATATTGTACACGACTACCAACACACCGTCATATAATTTAACTATATCTCGACTCTTTTCTTTTCCATTTTCAACGTAGTGCATTTGGCATGGTGCTATCCATTTAGAATCCTTGGGCAACGGTGTGAACCAAATTTTTGTTATTTGACTTAACTGTTGTCCATGACAATTTACTGCATCCGAGCTGCGAAAGCGTCTTAAAGCCAGGGCGGCAAAAGACTTAAGCATTATCGATAACCAAACAGCCAAACTCGTTGGCAGCTCTGCGATTGCTCGTGTTGGAAAGTGTTTTTATTGTGCAAGTAAAAGAGAGAGTGCTGTAAAGGAGAGAAAAATATTCTGACATTTTGTTGGGGCGAAAAGACGTTCGTCGGTGTGTATAAGGTTTTGTTTTATTTTTATTAGGTAATGGGAAAATTTTCAAAACATCTTTAAAATAGCGAGCATACGAAACATTCAAAAAGGGTCAAACAAATAAGCGAAAATGCTGCGCTCCAGACTCACACAAGCAGCCTCTGCCGCTCAGCGTGCATTCTCCACGAGCCCCAAAGTGCTGGCCGTCAAGCAGATGACGGTACGCGATGGACTTAACAGCGCCCTAGACGACGAGCTTGCCCGCGACGACCGCGTTTTTCTGCTCGGCGAGGAGGTGGCACAGTATGATGGCGCCTACAAGGTGAGTAAAAGATTTGACTTTGCCACTTGTAAGATGATTACGTAAACAGGCCAAGTGACAGCTCGCAGTGACAGCTGCTGTGATTAGGGGATGGCGCGGGGCCCGGTAAAAAGTTGCAACGGGTTCACCTACCAACTGCTGATTACAATTTTGAGCTCATATGTTTCGCTTCTTGAGCTGCGTGATTGGCGAAGGTCACGCTTAGATTGTCTGATCCGATAACGCACGCATCGATAGTGTACACAATCGATAAATCCTTTTTGTTTACAATCAAGTGGTTGAACTGAGAGATAGCTTTTGATTTGTTAATTGCTACCAATTAAATTACCACAAATTCGTCTATAAATAAAACTTTTATGGCTTTTCGAACTGTAATTGAATTATAGATATAGTACACAATCTATTTTGCTAGAAAAAAAGGACAAGTATTTCTTATATCAATTGATCCACCGGAGCACTTGTATGATTATTAGTTATTTATGAATGATATGTCAACAACGCTGACTGTTGTTGCAATGTCTTTATTTGGGTATATGCTCACATTTATGTACATAGAGATTAACAGCCATTCTTTATATCCAGGTATCTCGTGGTCTTTGGAAGAAGTATGGAGACAAGCGGATCATCGATACGCCAATCACAGAAATGGGCTTCGCCGGTATTGCAGTCGGCGCTGCCATGGCTGGGCTACGTCCAATCTGCGAATTCATGACCTTCAATTTCTCTATGCAAGCGATTGATCATGTGAGTAGCACGCACCTGTACCGCCTGTACCTGCTGTAACACCCACCGCCCACACACACACACCACGAGCAGTAGCTTAACTACTCATATTATCTCATGGAAATACAGAACACGTCAACTCCAAATTTATGTGCCTATACGCCGCGTTAGCTGAATATCAATTCAAGTTTGTCACACAATCCGCAAAATATAAATTGCCGTCACTTTAGCGTAATGGGATAATATGGGTCTCAAAATCTGGTTGAGCTGCTGCTGTAGTACAATCTAACTGTCATGCGGACATTTAGCCAAAACGATTGATTGACTAATTCCACCCATATTATCCAATTATGTGCAGGCTAATTCGCTTAAGCCCGCCAACCACAACGATAGGCTCCTCTTGCGTCCATTGGTCAGGCCACAGCCCATTGGTGATTCGCCATTGCTGTACAAGAAGATTATCGAAAGTCCGCGCTCCAGTCTTCTAACGGAAATCAATGACATCCTGCAGAGAGAGCGTGTTGGCGAAATAATTGCACCTCCGCTGGACAGGAGCAAACCCGAGAAAATGGAAGCGGCGCGTCTGATTGTTATTCGGCGTCGCAAGATGAAGAAACACAAGCTAAAGAAGCTGCGTCGCAAGATGAAGTTCGAGTGGGCAAAAGTGCGCCAGCGACGAGAAATGCGCAAGGAGAAGGCGTTCCAGGCGCAGCTAATGTCACAGATCAAACAGGCGGAGAGCTTTAATGCCGAACAATATGTGGCCGAGGTGCTGCGCCAGGCCAACGAGGTGCCTCTTCCCCGATACTGGAAAGGACGCCGCCTGCCCGCATTTATAATTAAGCAGAAACTAGGCATTAAGTAAAGCAAAACGTCAAGAAAATAAAATGCGAGTGTACAAACTTGAATTTATATTCAGCTGAGCTTTCTGAGAAATTATCAATTAATTACGCTCCATTAATTAATACACGTGAGAAGAGCTCTCATCGGGTTGCCGAAGTTACCTGCCTAACACAATTTGATAATCAACCAAAGCTGAAGTTTATCCAAGTATATGTATTATCAATCTGCTTTCACCATTAGGTTATAAACTCAGCAGCCAAGACATTTTACATGTCTGCTGGCGCCGTCAACGTCCCCATCGTGTTCCGTGGCCCTAATGGTGCCTCCGCCGGTGTTGCAGCGCAGCACTCACAATGTTTTGCTGCTTGGTACGCTCACTGCCCAGGATTGAAGGTGGTGTCACCCTACGACACAGAGGATGCACGCGGTTTGCTCAAGTCTGCCATACGTGATCCCGATCCGGTTGTAGTGCTGGAGAACGAACTGTTGTACGGTACTGCATTTCCCGTTGACGACAGTGTGGCCGATGTTGACTTTTTGATACCCATTGGCAAGGCAAAGATCATGCGTCCGGGCAAAGACATAACAATAGTGGCGCATTCCAAGGCTGTGGAAACGGCGCTACTCTCAGCCGCCGAGCTAGCTAAGAAGGGCAAGTTAAAGCGGGAACTTAACTGTAATATTAACATTATAATCTTATAAATTGCGGGTTGCAGGCATCGAAGCTGAAATCATTAACCTACGTTCCATTCGCCCCCTGGACATGGAAACCATTTTCAATTCAGTCCGCAAGACACATCATTTGATCACCGTAGAAAACGGCTGGCCTCAGCATGGTAAGTGGCCAACTAAATCTAACTCTCACCTTTATACTAATATTTTTCTGTTTCACGCAGGCGTTGGTGCTGAGATCTGTGCTCGCTTTATGGAGGACCAGGCGTTCTTCGAGCTAGATGCGCCCGTTTGGCGTTGTTGCGGTGTTGACGTGCCCATGCCATATACGAAGTCCTTGGAGTTAAATGCACTGCCCCGTGAGCACGATGTTACAGCAGCTGCTCTAAAGGTTCTCGGCAGCAAGGCGGGCAAGAAATAAACGAGAACGAACACATACAAACACAGGCACATGCTAACTAAATTAATTGCCCTCAACAAAATCGATAGGCAGTGGTTGTCCAAAATTGTAAAATGCGCGGCAAATCGAAAAGTGAAATTGTTTTTATTGGGGCACCGTCGATAGCGTTTTGTTACCATATGCAACATACTAGTTGAACTAATTATATTTGGTTATCGAAATCTCTGCATCAAATAAAATGTACAACTATTTTACATTGTTAACGAATTTTTTAAATTTACATGGAAATTTCAAAAGTGGCGGCTAAAAAGCTTGCAGCCCTAATAGTTGCGCGCGACTGCTGAACACTGACAGCAGCAAGACAACGTTACCCAACACTCCTGCTTTGACAGGGGGAAAAAGTATCAATAACAAAAACAATTATCAATAAAAAATCAACTACGCATACTAAGTGCAATGATTTGACTGTAATGGCAAATAGCTCCAGCTCCGATGAAAGCTCCAAAGCACCTGAAAATTTTCAATTATCAAGCGCATCCACAAACGAGGACGAGGACGATGTCAATGTCTGTGATGGCGTTGCTTACAGAAAGAAGCATCCAAATTGCGATGTGCGCGTAAAGCCAACAGCTGGTGGCGCCTCCACAGGTCTGCGCTGTCCACTGTGTTGCAGGCACCAACGACGGCTCCATTGTCGGACTTGTGTCAAAAATGGAAATATTACCCATAGTTCTGCTGAAGAATCCGAAAGGTTGTTACTCATTCACACACACGTACACACACACACACAAAGAAAAATAAATTATTCAAATCTTTTTAGCCTTACGGAGAAACAGCAGAAATATATAAACCTGCAGGCGGGCCTGAAGAACTACAGCAATCGGTATGAGCACCTCATACAGCAGCATAAGTGTAAAGAGAATCGCATGATAGCGATCCGTGCGAAACGGGAGCAGCTGCAGCTACTGCAACAGCTGATCGGCAGCACAACGCAACGGCTGCAAATGCTAAGCGAGCAGAGGGATGAACTGCGTCATGCCAATGCTGAGAAACGCAAAAACCTGCCCAAGTATCCCACCAAGGTGAAGATGCTGGAAGACTATGTGATCGATCGCTCTATGCGCATTGATAAGCTGCGCCAACAGCACATGAGTCTGTTAGACAGCATCAAGCAGACAGCCCGCCGTGACATCAAACAGCTTGTCACCTACATATTTCCCATATCGGAGGTTGTGCTGAAGGACGAGCAGCAGCGAAAGGTGTGCGCCGAGCGCAGTGAAGATGCCGAAACAATTGCAGCACTGGCCGATGCCAAAAACACTTCATATATACGCGGCAAATGGGTGTTCCATGGCAGCGGCATCAGCGAAGTGCAATATCGCATAGTGGGACCATCGTTGCCCGCCAACGGCGACTACTCCGCCTATCTTGACTGGCTGTCCGACAACAAGGACGATGTGCCCAAAGCCACGGCCAATGAGATAACGCCCAGTCGACTGGAGGCCTATCGCATAGTTGGCGCACTCACCTACACGACACAGCTGACGCAGCTGCTCAGCTTCTATCTGAATGTGCGGCTGCCGCACAAGATTGCCTACGGCGACTTCTGCCGCAAGCTGCTCAACGAGGAGCAGTTTCTGCGCAAGGTTTGTCGCCTTAACAACAACATCATGTATCTGGCCTATTCGCAACAAGTGAAGCTGCGCGCGCTCAACGAACAGCATACGCTCGAAAATATACTGGCCATCTTGGATCTAGATCGCAGCGATTTGGGCCGTTACGGTCATTTGGATGTGACCAATGCGCCGCTCATGAAATCCGTGGACTCGCTACTCATTGGAATTGAGACGACTACGGAATCTGAATCTGAAGGTTGGAATTTGTTCAAATATGAATTTGTACAGTATACCCTCGATAATCCGTACCTATAAGAATCGTAGTATTTATTCAAAGCAAAAATTAGGCAGGGGAAACATTTTTGTTAAGTTTTTAATTATTTTTAATTGTATTTGTATACATGCATTCCCATGCGAACTGAAACTTTTCTCGGGTGGTTAAATAACGCTGAACTATGCAATAATACCAAGTGTACAGAAACGAGTTTCTTGAAAGAGTTTTAGAGGCCCATAATAAGCATGTCCGAACTATAGATTATATAATTCAAACATAATAATAATATTAATATATAAGCTAAAGTTTATACTGTATATACAACTAATCGATGTATCTCCTTGCAGATGAGAGTTCGTTGCGTCTGGACTGGGAGGCAGTGCCGAGCGTCAGCGTGTCTCAACCAGAACTCACAGAGTCCAATCTGATACCTGCGGTGGCACAACAATCCACCATAGCCATGGCGGCCAATCGCATCACCTCAATGCTTCGCTGGATCAAGTGAACCACTTACCTGGTTGCGTGCGTGTGTTATATCTCTTCAAATAGGTTAGGTTGGTTTGGGCTCAATGGGCCGTAGAGCGGGGAGCCTTCATGAGATAACCATCCATAGAAATTATGTAAAATATAACCAATGGAAATGTCTCCCCGAATGTATGAGAATTATTGTCACAGTTTTCTTGGGTGTTAATGATGGCTGCTGTTTTTATGTGCATAGAAGGAACTAATTTTGAGTAGACTACGCGCTTTTGTTTTATTTTTTATTTTATAACTTATTTTTCTTTTATTTAATAAAAATTGATTCACTATAAATAACCTGATACAACTCGATTGATTCTTAATTCTTTCAAAGTACATACTTTAAGTTGGTGGACTTGATTCTTCAAAAATGAGAAGCGAAACAAACAAAAGAAATACCAAAACATCACATCCGGCACGCACACACACACACACACACCGAACCCGGCATACCCTTACTTTATGCATACGTGCGTCATTTGATTGTTCAGCATGTCTTGCAACCCACAAAATTTTTCAAGTTTTTTTTCCTGGCAGTGATGCAGACGCACAAGATAAATGTACAAAAGTAATTAATGCCGAGTAGTGATAGGGAAAGGGCGGGGGTAAATGACTAATGCTTATGAAACCTACAAACTAAACGTATTAATTCCCTTAACTCTGGGAGATAGATATTTAGGGAGCGTGTGTGTGCAATCCATATACCTAAACAAACTTTGTTGGCAGTTGCGCCGCTTGCGCCATGTTTGCTGCCATATCGGTAAGCCCATCGACAGCGGTTGCGGACGGCGGGGAAGGCTTCAGAAATACTTGTGGCAGTGTTGGTGTTGTTGTTATTGTTGTTGCTGTTGCAGTGTGAGTTGAGGAACTGGCCACCTGAGCGGCAGCCAGGGACCCATTCAGTAAACCCAATTGCGCATCGTACGCATCATAACGGGCGGAGGCGCTCATCGAGGAGAGCACCAGTGCCGCAGCCACTGCCTGCTCGTGATTATAGAATGCCGACACCGACACCGATTGGGGCTGTGTGGCATTCCCCGTATGTCATTGATGCGTTGAGGCGCCAGCTCCCGCTCCAGCACCACTGCCCGCACCAGCACCAGCACCCTTGAGGCCGGCGGAGAGTAGCGAACACTTTGACCATTTCATTTGCTTCTCGAGCGTCGATAGGTCCGATAACTGTTTCATTATCTGCGGATTGCGACTGAGATCGTAGCCAACAGTAGACGTCGTGGTGGACGCCGTATTTGCGCGTATGACGCCGGGTCCAATCTTGACGGCAGCATTGTTGTTGTTGTAGATGTACATATTGTCCAAGTTGAAACCAACCGCACCATTAAGTCCATTGGGCACCGTGCCCGCTGTGCTTATTACTGATGTCGTTTTACTCTTCGGGTTGCTTTTCGACCTGGCCTTGGTGTGGCCTGTGTTTATATGCTTTACCACCGCAGGATAGACGCCTACAATCTCCACGCCGTCAGACTCGCTGCTGCTCTCGCAACGCACTACAGCAGGTGGTACTGGTGGTGGCGGTTGTGCTGGCGACACCTGAACGGGCTGCCACTTAGTGGCCGCCAGCTGCTGCGATGTCTGCAATATGTCGTTGGGACTCTTATAGTCATCTAGATTGATGACATGTGGCACAGGACGTGCTGCAACGACGCTCGATGTGGAATGTAATGCACTAGGTGACTGACTGTTAATGGGCGCACTGACGCTGACCGACGCAGGGTTCAGCGACGCGGGCGTTATAATGTTATAGATGCCGTGCTCCGTCGCTTTGGTGGGCGAAGCCAGCTCCAACATACTGGCTGCTGCCGCCACAACTGCTGCATTAAGCGCCGCTGCCTGCTGCGAAGTGCTTGGCTGCGACATCAGCGTATCCAGCTGCGTCATTGGCTGTGGTGATGGTTGCTGTTTCTTCTTCTTGGGCGGCTTGCTGCACTGCTTTGAATGTAATGTAGAACCACCCATCGTTGGTTTCTCTAACTTGCGCTTCAGACTGGTCGATGAGGCACTTTTAACGGAATCTGTATCGGAATTGGCACGCGAGCGACTCTGCGAGGCAGTTACAGTTAGCTCATCGAATTGCTTCAGGTAGTTGTTGACAGCTGGCAGCGACATCGTTTCAATGGCAACTGGTGCCATCTGAGACGCGTTGTTGATTTGTGACATCTGTGCCAACGTGGCCGCCAGCTGTTTTTGGAACTTGATTTTTGGCGGCTTAGCGCTCGGCTGTTGCTGTGTCGTGGTCGTGGCAGCAGCAATGCTCGGTGGCATTTCAAGTTTACGTTTGACACTATTGGATGAGGCACTTGTAGCTGAATCTGTATCGGAATTAGCCCGCGACCGACTCTGTTCAGTAGCCGTTATTTCATCGAGCTGCTTCAGGTAATTGTTGGCAGTTGGTGCTGTGGTTGCTGTAGCCGTTGTCTGTTTCTTTGCTTTCTCTTTGAGTTTCTTACTGGCGTGCTTGTGGCGTTCAATTTCACGCTGCAGCTCCTCATAACGCATCCAGCCAGTGGCCCACACATCCACTATTTTGTCTTTCAGGTAGCCATTGATGAACTGCTCTAGCGAATCCTTTCGCTTGCCCAGCACTGCGTAAGATGTCCAGCGCGCCTGGTAAACCTCGTACAGTCGCTCGCGCAGCTCATTTGTCCACTGGAACTTTTTGCGCGGCATCTTTGGCGGATGCTCGGCGTTGACATCAGCAGCCCTAAAATGCAAAATCAAAATGAAAACTTTACCAAAGTGTTGCTATTATATTTATATCTTACGCTAGCTCCGCGAACTTATGCAGTTCGATCTCGTAGTTGGCAATAGCTTTGGGCATCACCTCGGCGACTGCCTTGCGTAGACGTTCCAACGCGTTTGTCGTCTTATTCTTTTCCTCCCTGGCGCGCAGCGCTTTAGCCTTGCGCAATATAAAATACTTGGGCAGTTGTAGCTGGTATTCCAGATGCGCAAACACCATGTTACGTTCATTGCGCTCCGTGCAAAGAAGTGCTTCGTAAACCCTACAAATAGGTTAATAGATTAAATTAAATAAAATAAATTTGTGTTTTGGTTAAACTCACTTGAGTAGTAGCGCCGTCAGTTTGCCATCAAAGAAGAATCTTTTGCCGCACAAGTCTCTGCTTCTGACCAGTTCCTTGAAGCAATTGATGCTGGCAAGCATATCATTATCGAGAGTTGCTGGTAGAATGGTATCTGCGGGTCGTAGATCTAGTACAAATATAAAGTAAACATGTCAGCAAGGGCAAAAAGGAAGTTCTTAACCGTTCGCTTACTATCGCTGCTTTCCTTCGTCTTGGGCAGCTTCTCGGATCTCCCTTGATCGCTGGCTGAATCGGTGTCATCATTGTCGCTGCTAGAATCTACAGTCGTTGAAGTGGTGCACTTGACTTCACCGTTGACAGTGATTTTCGAGGGGCCTTCGAGCTGGCCTTGAGATTTAAGGAAGCTGTCCCTTTTGGCCTTTAGCATATCCTTAACGGTTGTCGTCTTGACCACTTTCTTGAGCGCCTGAGATTGACGCTCCTCCGTATCCGAGATGTCTATGGCATTGGGACGCGGCGAGTTTGAGGAGGAAGAGGGTGCCACGTTTAACTTGCTGCTTGGTTTCTTTACATTATTGTTGACCTTCTGTTTGATGGCGGAACTGGGTTTGGGACGCTTCAATGCGGTTTGCTTGAACTTATTTTTGGTATTGGCAGATGTGCCGCTGGTCTCATCGTCCAGACTTTCGGTGTCGCTGTCGGAGCCGTCAATGCTCTCGCTATCGCTATCGGAATCGTCATCCTCATCGTCGTCATCGTCATCATCATCGTCATCACCATCATCCTCGTCCTCATCATCATCATCATCATCATCATCCTCATTATTATTATTGTTAACTTTATTATTCGCGACTTCTTTCTGTTCATTATCACTTGCAGAATCAGACGATGACTCAGAGGAATCATCCGAACTGCTGGACACAACACGTTTGCGCGATCGTTCCGGCATTTTGATAATGGCATCGGTGCGTCGTGTGCTCGATTTTTTGTTAAGGTTTTTGAACTCCAATGCGCCGCAGTTAATATAAAATCCACCCTCCAAAGTCTCCACCTCTTCAGGCAAGATTTCATCGTACTGAAATGAAATACCAATAATATAGTGCAACTGGACAGATAAACAACAGCTTACGGCCTCTGTATTGTCTATAAAGGAATCGGACTCATCGTAGCCCATTCCGATGTCACAAAAATCATCCTTTTTACGGCGTCCACGTCCTCTGGCATAGGCATTGCCATATTTGGCCTCCAATTCCTTGGCGATGCGCGCCACATCATCATCATTATCGGCAAATGGATCAGTGCTGCCATTGTTTGTTTTTCCTTTCAGCATTTTTGCTTTTTTCTGCAGGGAATTTGGATAGTTAGAAAACAAAAGCACCTAAAAGGATGGCAGCGTTTACCTTCTCCAAGTAGAGCAGCTTTGAATAGTTAAACTCTGGATACCTATGGGAGTCCGTCTCGAACAGCTCCAGCTGCAATCGCACACTTTTGTTTGCCGATTTGCTGCTTTTGTTGGGCTGCACTGCATCCGGATCCAAGAAATCACCGAAACGCGAGAACGTCGGCGGCATAGAACTGAAGCCCGCTTCATTGCTATTAAAAATGCTCCGTTGAGTGCTGATTGTGGTAAGGGATATGCGCTTGTGCTCGCCCAGCTTCGACATTGCCGCCGCCGCCGCCGCCCCCCAATCGTGAGGCTGAATTCAGAACACAATGCGACAAAAAAAAAATAATAATAATCGAAAAACGCGTTACGAAAATTCAGACGCGAAACGTTTCAGTTGCCTTCCCGCCCTTTTGCTAAACGGCACGCCGCGTGTTTTGTATACCAAACAAAAACAATGGCAGCAGCAGAGCGACAGCAGCAGCAGCCGCAGCAGCAGCAACAACAACAATAACAGTAACGGCAACGACGACGGCGACGTCGGGCCCCACCTCCTGCTGGCTGTTAGCGATGTCTGCTTCTGCTTCTGTTTCTGCCCGTGCACGTACACCACCAGCGCGACAAATACTGTGCCAGCTCTTGGCCTGTTTTCACTATTTTGTTTAGCAATTTAGAAATGTGTGCAGAATCTGTTATAAACAAAAACAAATGCGATGATTCGGCGTTTAAATTGGCTGCGTGCGCTCTATATCGTGCGTTTAAAAACTATCCACTGTAGCTGCACTTGCAGTCCCGACGAAATAAATTGTCACTTTTTGTGCAATTGAAAATAAATTTGTAGTTTTGGCGTCCAGCCGGCGCAAACAACACAAAGACTTTGGCCAAGCACAAATATGATCAAGGACACTTATAGCTATGGCCAAAGCGAGAGTCTTTAATTAAATTGGAGCATACGGTTTTTTAAAATCCTGAACTGTTTTTAAATTTGTTTTTCTTTTTTATCAAATCTTATGCCGTCTTCAACGCTAAACATTTTCACTGCACTCATGCCGCCGACCCCGCAATTAATAAATTCTATCACTTACCAGCACTGGCCGCAGATTTGCAATATGACTGTCTCTCTCTAGATGGGCTCTGTTCACACTTGGCGCCCGAAACTGTTGCGCAGCAATATTTAATGCAAATATTTTGATTGGAATGTGAGTGCTCACTTATTATCAAGCATATTATTTTTAGCATGCTTTAAAAACACCTGTAAGCTAAATTACTACCATACTATAAAATACGTATGCTCCATAACCTTTAGCACGTATGTAAGAACTAACTTTGTGAACTGCAAAACTTGGAAAATTAATTAATATAATGTAATACATTTCAGTACTGTTATCACTAAATAAACTTCTCTACAACCACTGGTGGAATAAATTCCTTAAAGTAGATTTTCGGTATATTGTAAGTAATAGTTGGCCATGTGCTTAGAGTCTGAAATAAGAATGGCAAATTTTTGCCTATTGGAATTATTTTACTGACAATCACTTGTTTATACGATACTATCGCAGCAATACTGTAAATGTAAGTCAGTGTGCATAACATAGTTTTTTTTTTTGTTTTGACTGTATATGTCGTTGGCCAACACTGCTCGAAACAGCTGAACGCAAGTGGGGAGCTGCTTTGTTGGGTCTCTCTCAGTGTTATTGCGTGCATTGAGGCTGAATGCTTCGCAAAACGCCAAGTGAGTGTCATAAATACTAATTTAATTGAAGTGTTTTTTTGGAGCATATTTGTGAGTGTGAGTGTGTGTGTGTGTGTGTGTCAACTCTAGAAATAAAGTTGCATGCACAGCAATTCAAGCCGAAATGCATGCAGTTATTAACAAAATTGTTAAACCGTGCACCTTATCAGAAAATGGTGTGCAATAAAACGGTGAATGTGTGCCATATTGGCTGCAGTTCGGGAGCCTTGTGATTAAGGCGTGTGCCTCTGTGAGTGTGGTGTATATTTATGTTGCCTTTATGCTTGCAGTTCCAACAACACCCCCTCCTGCGCCGTCCCGTTATTGACGCCAAGTGACCGCCGCCGTTCAAAGAGCAACGTACGCGACTCCAACAAAGGCAACCACTTTAGTCGTTTACTGACTTTCGCCTGAGACGCAAGCCGAACGCGATTCCTGCATTCGCAAACAAAGCGATTTCCAGGCCACCCACCCACCAACCTGGATATTGGACAAACGGCTATGTGGAAACAATAAAGAATCGCCTTGTTCATTGTTTCAATTGTTTTCGTTGAACGGGAGGAGAAACTTCGCATACAGGTAGACACACAAAGGCCCCGACCAGGGTGAGTAATGTATATGCAAGTGCTCTATTAGTAATTAATGTGGCTCGTTGTACGCGTATTTGCCATTTGGTAAAACAAATAGACACAAATGTCGCACAGAAAACAACATTGGTCGATAAGCAAAGCAGCAGCAGCAGCAGAAGTAGTTGCAGTCTTATCTATTTCCTATTTGCGGAAAATTCAAATACATGCTTTGATAAACAAGATAAAAATATCAAAATTAGAAGACTCGGTTTGTGCCCACACATCCTCCTTCACCTTCTTCTGTTTATTATTGCACCTGTCTGTATACAGTTACAGTGAAAGCACGGATACTATTTTGTCCCTCTGGTAGAGCTATACACCTTAAAGGTGTGTTGATGAAATAGGAATTGGTTCATGTGGATATTGGCAAGCTTCTATTGTACATTGACAACTTTTTCTAAGATTTCTTGAGATGTCAGAACGTTCAGCTGAGTCGATTAAGACATTTGCTTCTTCCCGTCTCGGAATCAACAAAAGCAAGAGACTCCAAATTTCGAAGAGAGGAAACAAAAATGTATGTAAAGGTACGCGAAAGACAACTGTCCGTTAGAAGAGCTTTCATTGTACTTGAAACCGAGTCGCGGTAAATGACCTTGAATGTGTCGCCGTGCCATCGCCTTGTCAGCCAAATATGTTTTACAAATTTCAGTTTCAATGGAAAGCGAATTATTTCAATGAAAATAACAGTGCACACCTCGCACAGGCGCCCGTTTAGGCCCCAACAGGTTTTGTTTTTATTTTGGGCAACAGTGGCAAGGCGGACCACTGAAAAAAAAAAACAAAACAGAAAAACGTGCGACAAGCAACAAGTTGCGCATATATGTGTGTCCACACATAATTAAATGTATTTAATACTCTTTTAATGCGTCATTATTGCCAATTTACGCAATTCTTTGTTGTAGCCGGTAGCGTGGCTCACGTTCATTATCAAAGAGCATCAGCATCACAAGTCAATATACACACGAATACACATGCATGCATAACACATGTAAAAGAAAAACACAAGTAGATATACACACACACACAAATACGTACAAACGTGGAGGAGGCAAGCGAACTCTTTGTGCGCCGAAACGCGCATACGCTTACCGATAAATGCCACTGCGAGGAATTTGCTGCAGAAATAAGCAAGTTATGTGCTCAAGCTTAATTTAACATCCGTGCGTTCTGACACAACAACAAGGTCAGCTCTGAACAGTAACTGATTAAGATTGTCGGGTTCCCTTGTGAACTTCATGTTCTAATGTGTCAAATTCACCTCAAGATATATCAAATACATTTATTTTAATTTTTTTTTTGAATACATAGAAAATGCAGAAATGTACATAGTTCTTTTGCATTTAGGCAACGTATATGTGAATCTAGAAGGGTATGATATCCAAGCGACCCTAGTGTATCTTAAAAAGTTTGTATTATGCTTTTTTATGGCTAGTGTATGCTTATGCGGCTAGATAGGATCTATTTAGAATGTACTTAAGTAGTTTTGTTTCATAATCATAACTGGGAAGCTAAGAACTATATAAATCACATGACTCTATGCTCATGAATGGCAATGATATGCATATGGAGTAAACTTAGAATAGAAATATTTTTTAGATTAGAAGAGTGTATGATTCTCTGGTCCATTTAATAGGAAGCAGTGAGGTGTTTACAAACTTTAATGTTCTTTTGTATTTACTCCTTAAAAATATATACATTTAATTAGACACTATATAAGTCAGTGGTTTGATAAAATTATTCATCTATATGTATTAATATGAATTCTCAGAATTTTGTTCTTTTAATTGTCACTTCCCTTAAAAAGAAATCGACTGCACTGCAAGTTGTGCAAGTTGTGATAACGTGCATATAGCTTTTATTATAGGGCATTCAAAGTGCAGACAATAAGCGATTGTCCACGGGACATTGTGTGTGTGTGTGTGTAGTCTGTTAGCTATCTACTGTGCTTTCAATTCGAAGCAATGACGAATTTTCTGAAATAACTTACAATGAACTATGCTTATATACGTGTAGTATATGGCGCAGCCGATAGAAAGAAAAAACATGAGATAAAATCTATAGAAATGAACATTATTGATGATGCTGAGTTGTGCTCGGTTTGTTCTGTACTGTGCGTTTCGTCTCTGGTCTAATGACAGTTTTTCAATTCTATATTTGACTCCAGAGCGAGTGAGAGATGCCTGAGAACGTGGAGCTGGTGAACAAATATGGCGAGCCGTTGCGCTATGATCGAAATTTTCAGGGACCCCGACAGCGTGATCGCAGCTGCACGGATGTGCCCTGCCTAATACTATTTGTGCTCTTTCTGTGCGGCTGGGCGTTCATAGCCCACTATGCCATTCGCATGGGGGATCTCAATAAGCTAATGGCGCCCACGGACATGTATAATCAAAAGTGCGGCATTGATTCGAGCGTGCTGGATAAAGAGTATTTGTTCTTCTTCAATCTGGACCAATGCATTGATCCGCTGGTGCCCATAACTGGCTGTAAAACGCCGCAAGTAAGTATCCGGATGACGCATTGACATGCTTGATGACACATTACATCTCGTCCCTTTTTGCAGGTTTGCGTCAAAAGTTGTCCTACGCAGACGTTCGTTTGGGATAAGATGAAGAATAATAACTTTGAGGATCTGAAAAGTCGCCTGATTTGCAAAACAGATGAGGACAAGGCAGCCATTAGCTCCAAGTCGGACATTGAGCGTGCTATCCTGGATAATCGTTGTGCGCGGTATTATATCAAAAGTCAGCCCTTTCTCAAGCGCTGCATGTTTGAGTTCTCGGATCAGGTATGCGAATTTCTGCCCAGCGTGCTGCTGCGCACGCGCCGCGACTCAAAATTGCTGCTTCCCGGCAATGCTAGCCAGGTGGAGGAGCTGCAATTGCAGGCAATGGCACTGACCATGCAAACTGGGGTGCAGGCGCAGGCACGTATGGCGCCCCAAACCGTAAGCAAGCAAGCGCCAGTGGAGGACCAGGTTGGACAGTGTCGCCGCCAGCAGCTAAACGGTGCGGTCATTAGGGAGAAAATGATGCAAACGGATACACGACTAGCCAAGATGGTGGGCAATCTGGTGGCACACTTTTATAATGGCACCCACGATGCGCAACGGCTGGGCGAGGAAATAGTCGAGGATTTGGTCAATTCCATGACAGTGGTGCTAATGGCGCTACTCTTCACGCTGATTGCTTCGCTGGTCTTCATTTCACTGATGCGTTGGCTTGCCGCACCCATACTCTGGTTCTCGATCATTGGCGTGCTCGTCGGCCTGCTGTTGGCCATATACTACAGCTTCAAGCAGTACAGCTTTTGGAACAAGACGCCGACTGTGCCGTTGCACGATTTGAATCTGCATAAGCAATGGCAGAATCTGCTGCAGGATCCAAAGATGTGGCTCTATTTGTCCATTTCGGTGTGCCTCTGCTTTGTTGTCATATTTCTGCTGGTCATTGTGCTGCGCAAGCGCATCCGGATAGCCATTGCACTGACCAAGGAGGGTAGCAAGGCTGTCAGCAGCGTCATCAGCACCGTTTTCTTTCCTATCTTCTCGTGGGTGCTATACATTGGAGCCATTGGCTTTGCCATTGGGGTTGGCCTCTATCTGGGCTCTATTGGCCCATTATCGTTCCGCATGGTGCAACGCCTAAATGATGCGGGCGGGGTTACCAACGAGCCGTGCGTTTGTGAGGGACTCGCTATTAACTACACCGTGGGCGCTGCATGTGATCCAAAGGTATTCCAGCAGAATTGTCACATCAACCAAAGGCGCGATTCCTGCATTCAGACCACATGCAGCTTCGTGGAGATTGATAATCCCCCGCTAGTGCGCTGGGCCATGGGCTATAATGTGTTTGGATTTCTTTGGCTGAGCTTCTTTATATCCGCCTTTAGCGACATGGTGCTGGCGGCTACATTTGCGAGATGGTATTGGACCTTTAAGAAGCGGGATGTGCCCTATTTTACGCTGACGCATGCCTTTTGTCAAACAGCTCTTTATCATCTGGGCACCCTGGCCTTTGGCTCACTGATACTGGCCATTTGTCGGCTAATACGTCTGGTGCTGGAGTACATTGATGCCAAGCTGAAGAAGTATGATAACACGGTCACGCGCGCTATCCTGTGCTGCATGCGGTGCTTCTTTTGGCTGCTGGAAACCTTCTTAAGGTTCCTCAATAAAAACGCTTATATAATGTGCGCCATACATGGCAAGAATTTCTGCTCCAGTGCCAAGGATGCGTTTAATCTGCTTATGCGAAATTTTCTGCGCGTCGTAACATTGGACAAAGTCACCGACTTCCTATTCTTTCTCTCCAAGCTGCTGCTCACCGCTGGCGCAGGCGTGTCCACCTACTATTTTCTGGATAATAATCCGTCCGTTATACAGCTTAACCACAAGGCCGTGCCCACAACGGTGGTTGTAATTGGTTCTTTTCTGATTACCAGCGTATTCTTTGGTGTCTACTCAATGGCCGTGGACACGCTCTTCCTTTGCTTCCTGGAGGACTGTGAGCGCAATGATGGCACACCGGAGAAACCTTATTTCATGTCCAAGCAGCTAATGAAAATCTTAGGAAAGAAGAATAAGCTGCCGCAGCGCCAGCGTCGCAGCAAATAGGAATCCATAGGCAAAGTCGGCTGGTCGCAAAACCAAAGCAATATCCCTTGATACATGTAAATGACAGTGCAAATTGTAGCCTAGACGAAGGATGTTGAAGATGCTTGCTTGGAAAGACATATACATTACATATATATATATATATAAATTATATTTATATATACATTATATTTATCATACGTTAACATAAGCCACAGGTTGTGCGCGAATATTGCTCATGCGAAATTTATTTAGATGGCAACAATTTGGGCCGGCTGCAATAAGTATTTACATGCAATGTAAAATTAATCAACTTAATGCTCCAATTTTGCCAATATATATAGTATTTTAATTGACATTATTTTTTGTATACATATAATGTATGCAGTACTGTGCATCTATATATGTATAATGCAATTTAAAATCCACAAATATGTATATATATATGCACATATCAATATTTGTGGTTCGGCGAGTTTATTATAACGGGTGCTCAACTATTGATGTGATAAGGCGCTGAATCATAAATAACTTAATTCTAAACACAGAACCAAAAGATATGCGTGTACTTAATATACATCTGTACACGTCAATATGAATGTTTACACATGAAATATATATCTTAAACTACAATTATGTAAATATAGCAATTTTATAATACAATAGTGGAACACTACTCAAATCTCAGAGATTGTAGGTTTTCTCACGATCATTTGGAATAGAACTGAAGTTGAGTTAAACTGAATATGTTGAGAAAACTAACTATAAGGTATTTATATTTTTTTTTCGATTAATATTCATGCACATTTTAAATTTATTATGGTTTGATTTTTGGTTAACAAAAATATATTCGAATTTAATTAAATTGAATTCAATTTCAAACACATCCATTCGCATAATCTAACATAAATTGCCAAGCAAATGTCTTACTTTAAACATATGTCAATTGTTTCAATAGAAATTAAATTAAACAGCGCAAAAATAAAGAAATTTTTATACATGCATTATGTGAATATTAAACCAGTAGCTAAGTTTTACGATTTGCAAATATAATAAACCATATGAGAATGAAAACTAAAAGGAAATATTTTTGAGCACACTATCGCTTATGTTCTGCAAATCATCCTTTTCCCCATGATCGCTAAAGTCGAGACTAAATTTGGGCGGTGGCTGGTTCATTTGATTCGCATCGTTTTCCTTGCTACTGCACTGCAGCTGCTGAAAATCCTGAAAGGATTGAGCTTATTAGTGATCGTCACATAATTTTATATTATATACTCACGATGAGTGTTTGATCATTCAGCTGCATGCGTGGTAGGACTTGTTCCGACAACGGACCGGGTACCAGTGCATCCAACCGACCAGATGGTGAAGTGCTCAGATTCTGTACGTTCAGCGAGGCGTCCAACACCTTCATCATGGCAGCACTCTTCTTGGCATACAACGAGCTGTTGCTTGTATCAGCCGCTTGTGGATGTTGCACACGCTCAATGCGGGTGCGTTCGTTGCAATTAAGCGGCGTAAACGGTAAGTAGCTGCTAGCGGCATTGTTCTTGGGCGAGGTAGGCATTGCGGGTGTCGCGTCATCAAAGCCAAACGTGGCCTGCATCTGCTTCCATTTGCTGCCCAATGAGGAAAGATTTCCCAATGTGTTTGGCTTAGCTGACTTTTTATTAATAGTGCGCAGTAGCTGCATGGGATCAACTATTCTTGATCTATTCATGGTGCTGTTTAGCTCTGAGGGATGCTCCAGCTTAATCTTTCGCGCTGAACGTGGCGCTGCAGGTACTGCAAATGTCCAGAAATGAGTCAAGCATAAGGGGTATTAGGACTTTCCACTTACCCAGCAGACTGTTGCACGTCGTCTCAAACTGCTTGGCATTGAAGTCATCTTGCAGCGGCAAGCGCACGTGCACATTGCGCACGCCGCTAGCCAATTCCGGTCTAATGGGCGGCGTGGAAACGAACTTCATCAGCAGCGGATGACCAGCGGCGCTGGCTTCAGTACGTACATCCAGCGTGCGTAGCGGCGTGCTCGGCACCGCTAGCTGCGAGCTGTACATTTGTGACGCATTGCTTCCACTAATATTGGTTCCGTGCTCCTTGGCGCGTGCATTTAAAGTTCTTTGCACAGCGCTTACTTGTAGATCAATCTGTTGCAGCTCGGCACGCAAAGTCTCCAGATCTGTTGTAACAAACTCATTGCACTCGTTGTAGTGATCATTGGCATCCAACTGGTCGGCGATTGTCTCGCTAATGCTATTAAAAGCGGACAGCAGTGCGTTAAGTCTAACGCCGTTGCCTTAAATATTAATATTTATATATATATATGTACAAATGATTCCAACTGGAAGTTATCTTGGGCGGAAGCTCTCATGACCGGACGCAAGCTTTATTTATACACGAATTTACATATTTGGCTACTGTCTCCGCTCAAGAGAACTATGAAATATACCTAGCTAAGACATCCCACGCTTACCTGTTGTATAGTCTACATCCGTGCCGAAGAGCCTTTGGATACCGCGTAATGCATTGTCCGCAGCTTCTTTGTTTTGCTTGTAGTGGGCTCGCTTGGCTTGAAACTGATCCATTACATCTTTAAGCGCATACAGTGGGGCCTCTAACATTGCAATTTTTGCGGCGGGCACAGTTATTCTCTGCTCGCATTTGCGGCGATTAGATGACTCAAAGTCTTCCAGAAATGCATCGTCCAGCAGCAGCGTTTCATTGACGTCGGTTGCGGCTGCAATTGCTGAAAATGTTTGCCTTATTTTCTGGGTGCGCTCACGAAACTGGCTTGCATTTTCCTCCAGCTCGTCAATATATGCTGAGATATATTCCTTTCTGAAAACATTTGCTGCTGACATTCTTTGCACGCTCCAATTCCGGTATTTTGATATATCCGTGTCAGCTGACAGTGCTTTCTCCCGTTGCCTGGTCAGTTCCTGCACGACAAAACTGACCAGGTCTAAAAGAAAGTTAATGAATTTCATTCCACCCGGCATTACAACCAGGTAGGATTTAATGTTGGTCCAATTAAGATTATGTTTCGCGTTCAAATGCTTTAAATAATCAACGGTGCTGGTTCGAAAGGTCGCCTCCGATTTCTTGTCCGTAATAGGCCAAAAGAATCGGCGTTTGAACTCTGCGGGATCCAGTATACGAAAGAGGTAGTGCATCACTTGAAAAAAAGCGGGCTGGTTGGGCTTAAGAAAAATGTCGACCGAAAGCAACTTGTGCATTTCGTCGTTCATAGGATACAACAAGGAGAGGCCTTGCAGTTTTTTATACAATTTCTCACTATGCTCCTTCTCCTCTGCTCTCCAGGGCGCCATCATTGTTCGGTCCATTTTGTTTGCCTGATTAAACACTTTTAAACTATTGCATATGCATGGAAGTATTTTAAACTATTTTTCATAACTTCCAATATGATGACAGTTGTGCCGCTCTCTATTCAAGATGACGACAATTCGAGTACAAATGCAATTGAAAGTATCGATAAATACTAGAAACATTCAGAATTAATAATTCCCACAAAGATTAAATATAAATATCACCCATTTCTTTTTTATTTATTTCACTCATATTAAAATGAATAATATTTAAAAATGTATTAACAAATACAAATATTTAATATATATATAAATCATCATAAAACATGTGTGGTCACACTGTCAGTAAGTCCAGATTGTATCGATGCTTTGTCAGACGTATTATCGATTATATAAAAAATTTTAATTTTAATCAATAACTTGTTTGTTTGAAATTTTAATTCAAAAGTATAAGAATATCATTTCAGATAAGTTGTATGTTGAGTAGAACATCTAACACAGAAAAATCTAAAGGTTTTGTCATACCGATAGAATCAACACCATTTGTACAGCTGCTATCGATAGTATCGACATTATTTTTGCAGCTCTACTGGCAGAATCTACGGAGAAAAAGTAAAAACGTATAAAAACCATTAAGTGCATATAAATCGCGCAAGTGACTTGTGGAAAGCATTCCACTATTTTAACATGGATGAAGGCATAGCGTTGAAACAAGGAACAGACAAACGCATGGGCACAACGTTGGATGACGGTCCGCCCGGCGTGGATGGCAACGATGCGAGTGAAAAAAACGAGGCGGCAGCAGCCGCAGCGCCCGCGCCCCGCAAAACCAAGTCGACCTCCCGTCGACGCTCAACATCCCGACGTCGGTCAAGTTCGCGCCACGCTACATCACCGCCACCCATTCGTCGTAGGCGCTCGCATACGCGATCACCGACGCCGCCGCCACCGTCTCGTCGGGGACGCTACGATTCACCGGACTATGGCCGATATCCGGCACGACGTCGCTTTGACCGCCGACGCTCACCAGATCGTGATCGCGATCGTCGACGCTCGCCACCGCGTCGTGGTCGACGTGACAGGTACGGCAGATCCCGGTCGCGCTCGCGCAGCGCCTCACCACCAAGGCGAGGGAGCGGTCGTGGGGTTAGTCCAACGTCTCGATGGTCGCCCAAGAAGAAGCCATCTTCGCCGCCGCTGACAGCACAGGCAGTGCAACAGTTGCCGCATCCTGTTCAAGCCGCTGCTTACGGTGTCATGCCGGCGGCAATGTATGGCCAAGCAGCTTATGGCGCGCCGGATGTGTACGGACATCAGTACAACATGGCCCCATCGAATGCCTTCCCGCCGGCGGGACCTCCGCCTGGATATGCCATGCAGGGCCCACCACCCACACAGACTGCCGGCTTCAATTCAGGCTACGGCGCCTGGGGCGTAAATGGTAAGCTAGATCATTTGAAGTGTGTAGTAAAGTGTGCTTAATATGGTAAATGTTTTCTAGAATATGGACAGCAAGTTTGGCTGCCGCAGCCGCTGGCCAATGTAACTGCAGCGACACCTGAGCCTCTGGCAGCCCAGCAGGTTGCGCTGGCGGTGCCAGGAGCACATCAGCAGCAGCAGCAGCCACCGCCAGTAATTATTGAGGAGCAACCAACTCCGGCGCTTGAGAGCGCAGGTATGCCACCACAGGACGGTAAGTGTGGAAATGAACTTTGCCTTTGCTACTTACGACAATTCACATGCAAACCTCTCACATTATATTTTATTGTTGTCATGATTTACGCGCCCCCTAACAACAACAAAAAAAAAAAAACAAAAACAAAACCAAAAACTTGTATGTAATTGTAATTTGTTAACTGTAATTTATAATATGCGCTTGCAAACGCACAAAAGTATTTAAAAAATGCATTGTAAAAGACATTCAGAATCTAGCTATAAAATCGCAGCGAGAGCTTAAACTGACACGGACTTGGGCTCTGGCGACACTTGATATATTGAATTCCATTTACGTAAGCAAAGCGAAACAATTTGTCGTTTTCTGTCGTGTTTTGTCTAAGACTAAACTTCTCGCCTGGGGGGAGAGCGGCACACAGTCAGCAGTTACGTCACGGCGGACGGTCAGCCGTCAGCCCCAACACGCACAACCAATTCCCGAGGACAGCAGTACAAGCCGTCAGACCCGATATGCTACAAACCGATTCGTTCCGGCGAACGCATCCGTTGGTCTTATTGCCAACTGTGTGTAACTAGCCGTGAAATGCACTCGAGAATGCATTTTGTAAATGAAATTTGAACTTTAAATCAGCTAACGAGAATGTGCATTAATTAATTTCTTTCTCTCACTCCCACCCAAATCAACAAATGGCAGCTGTGGCGCAGGAGGCGGAGAATCAAAAGGAAGAGCTGAAAAAACAACGAACCAACTATGTGAAGAAGGTGTCGCTGCTCAAGAAGGAAATGAAAGTGTTAAAGGAGCAACGCAACGATCTGACAGCTGGCGATGCGCCACCATCGCCAACCACAAAGAATTTCATTGAGGAAAACGATCGCCTGCAGGTTAGTAAGGGATACAGCAAACCATGCGACTCCCTTCCTAATTATTTTCAACATTTAATTTGCAGGTGCAAATCAAAAAGAAACTGGACACTATAGAGAACGTCATAGATATGTTGAACGGCATCATTGGCGACGAAGAAGCCGACGAGGAACCAGAGATCATGCCAAAGAAAGAGCCGGAGCCACCAATTATTAAATTAGCTCAACCAACTGCTTCTGCGGCCTCCACTACAAGCGATAGCTCTGATAGCTCGGATTCCAGCTCATCCTCGAGCAGCTCATCGGAGTCATCCACAGAGGATGAGGAGAACGGCACTGGCGATGGCAGTCCCACTAATCGCCTCAAGAATCGCGCAATCAAAACAATGAAAGCCAAACAGCGACAGATTGCACCTCCAGCTAAACCGGCTGCGCCACAAGCCCAAAACTACAATTATGTATTCTTTGATCCGGAACAGCATTGGTGTGAGAGCTGCAGCGTGTTCCCAAAAACGGCACGTGATTATTTAAAGCATTTGCATGCAGAAGAGCATATGAATAGGGAGACCATGGAAACGCCCTGGCATGTGGGCATCGATCATGATCCCTATCCCACCTTCGACAAGGCGCCTATTAAGCGTGTCCCCGTACGTGGCCTACAATTTCTAGTGCCCGCCAGTGCCTGGTACTGCAAGTTGTGCTGCGTTTGGATTGGCGATTTGCACTGCGCCTCTGCGCATCTCAAATCTCGCACGCACGCCAATCGATATGACGTAAGTGTACATAATTTTGGCAGGTTTAATTCATTTCATATTTCGAATTTCCAATTGCAGTTGTTTATGAAAAAGCAACCCAACTACGAGAGCGAATGGCTAAGCAAACGTGAACGCGCGCAGCAGCAGCAAAAGGAGAGCGAAGAGGCCAAGCTCAAGAAGGCCAAGAAGGAGGAAGACAAAACCTCAAAGAAGCGTAAGAAGAAGAGGTAAGTAACGTTTTATATAACAGTGTGCAGTGTACCGATAAGAATGGGATTAGCAGATAAAGTGAAGTTATGCAAATCTAACACGGAAAATAATTATTATTATTGTATTATTGTTTGGAACAGATAGCTGAGTAGTCTTGTCTAATCCGTCTGTTAAATGCATCTTTATAAATGATTTATAAAGAGGTTTTGTTTTAGCAATCATATATAACGACTCCAGCTGCACCCAAAATTAAAATAATGAATTTTTTGTTTATGCATACATTTTAGACGTTATAATGTTTTAGCCTTAAGTATCTAATATATATTGCAATGTGTGATGCAAAGTTAAGAAGAAGCAAAGACCCTGACCAACATATCTTTTTGAATGAACGAAAGTATGTAGCGGAAGTTTGGAGCTGAGCAGAGGGTATCTTCTAGTCGTGCGCCTTAATTTAACATTACCATAATTTAAAGCTCTCTTTTACTTTAATACAGCAGTGAGAAGAAGAAAAAAAAGCACAAGCATGGCAAGAAACACAAACGTAATGCGAATGCTGCGAACAGCACATCCACTTCAACGGACAGCACCTCATCGGATGAGGCGGATGAGGTGCAGCAACCAAAGAAAGGACATGTCACAGCGGATGGTGCGTCTGCCCCCAATGCAGCCTCAATACGAGTCGCCATGCGTAAACAGGATGCTAATGTGCTGGACAAAGCGGAGGCGACGCCACTAGTGGTGCCGCCGCCACCGCCGTTCATTAAGGATGTTGTAAAAGATACAGTGGAGCGCGGTAAATGGACACCTGCCAGTAATGATGTAAAAGAGAAGGAGGATGATCTGAAGAAGCGCGACGATGTCATGATGCAGCAATGGAACACACTGCAGCCAGTTATAAGCGAGAGTGAGAAGAAGCTGCTCGAACAGCTCAAGGGCAAGCTGAAGAGCAAGACGAGGCCGGCGGATGAAAATCGAAATTCAACTGCTGCAGCTGATGAAAAGTCACGGCGTCCCGCCTCCAAGCGAAGCAGTCCATCCCCACGCAGTGGCAGCCGCGGACGTACCGACCGCGATCGGCGCGACCGGGAGCGTGATCGCGATCGTGGCCGTGAACGGGACCGTGAGCGGGACCGTGAACGTGATCGCGAACGCGATCGTGATCGGCGCCGTTCACGCACCCGCTCGCGCAGCCGCGGTCGAAGACGCAACTCACGCTCGCCTATGCGCGGCGGGCGACGCAGTCGCTCACGTGACGGCCGTTGGCGTCGGAGTCGCAGTCGCAGTCACACTGAGGAGCGCGTTGAGCGGCCAGTGGTCAAGCCAGCCGAGTTCCGGCCGCGTACATTGCCCGAGCGCAAGCAGAACGATGCCAAACGTGACAAAAAGGACACGGCGGTGAAGCCAAAAGTGGCCAAGAGCAATACAAGCACAGCAGCCAATACGGGCAAGAAGTTGCCCTTCATTGGCAAAATGCCAGTGCTGAAGAAGCAGCCAGCTGCTGCGCCGATTGCCGGCTACAGTGATCCAAGCGCCTACACCAATGGCGGCACCATGGACAATATACCAGTGGGGCCACCACCACCACCGCCTCCACCTATGGCCATGGCGAACACTGCGCGCCAGAATGCGCCGACAGCGGCCCAAATCCAAATGGCGATGATGGAGGATGCTTTTGGCAATGCGCCACCTTTTCATCCCGATGCCGGCATGATGATGGACTATGATGAGCTGATGCCCGATCCAGTGCAGTTTGCCAATTTAATGACACATTGCCCGCCACCGCCGCCGCCTGGCGACAGTTCAAATGCCGTTGGCAACGAGGGCCTGAATGCAGATCAGCTGGCGAGCGAGGACAATGGTGAGGAGGACGTTTTACCTCCAGGCATTGATGAGGCCGAAACGGATCTGGTGCCCCAACCGTTGGTAGCGGCGAAAGCTACACGCGACGGTGAGCTGCCCAAGGATCTGGCGGAGGCGCTCGACATTATATTCCCAGCGGAGAGACCAGCGGACGCCGAATCCGATGAGACCAACCATTTACCGGCCGTGCCGCAAACTATAACCACCATTGTGGAGGATGAGCCTGTGCTAGACGAACACAATCTACAGGATTTGGCCAAGCAGGGTATACATCTGGTATCCATTGAGGAAACGACGTCAAGCTCAATGCCAGCCTCCATAATTGATGACGCGGCCAAATCAAACGATTCGCCCATGCAAATAAGCGCAGATGAGTCGTCCCAGGGTGGCTATCCACAAGCGAATGGCAGCGCGGAAAACCAAATTCCACACACAATCAGCCTGAAACAGGTGGTGGCGCAAGACATACCCATGCCTGGCTCACCGCCAGCTGACCCCATTGAAGAGGTCAAGGCCAAAACCGAGGAACTGTTTAATGTCGGCGACATTCCCCAACCACCCGACTCGCCCACAGACAGTGAGAAGTTGAGACGCCAGGCGGAGCTGGATGAGTTGGCTATGCTGGGCATTGACAGCAGCGACATGGCGGCACAATGTATGTAGAGCGCACCTACATCTAAACACGCACACGCACACTCATAAACACACACCTGTACCCACACACACATACACACACACTTCACATACTTATTCCAATAACTTGGCTTATAATCTGAACTTGTGTATTTATTTAGATGCGTTATAAGCCTTGATTTGACCATTCGGTCACGAAACTGGCTACTGGAGGCGTCATCAGTTCTATCTCTGAGTTAATCGCGTGCAAGGGCTGGGGCTGCAATGGAGGAGCCCACGTTTAATTCATTTTATTAGTTTTACTTTATTCCTATGTATGAATGTGTTTATCTGACGAAATGTTCTCAATAAATGCACATATATGTATGTAACATATGTATGATTAAACTAGAATTACCGTCTTTTTATTCTGCTTTTAACAAACGAATCCGAAAATTGTAGTTTCCAGAATTAAATAAAATAATGTGCAGAATTAAGCATGAATATCGTCTAAGTTTTCATAAAGTTACGAGAACTCCAAAAGAAAGGGTATATGTTATGGATCCGGGAATTTTATATTTCGCAACTTTTGTCAATTATGGCATGATTTATTACAACAAAATTTGATCTGTTTTGAATGGTTTGTGAAACTAAGCCAGTATATACATCCATGTGTGTATGTAAATAGGTATACATGTATGTGTGAACATAAACATGTGAATGTTATGCATGTTTGTATGTACCTATGTATGTCCTGTATTAAACAAATTTATCTGCAATTTTTAACTATCCCACCCGATGTGCATAAAATTAGAAAAATATTTTTTAATTTGTTGCCCTACTTTGCGATTCTCATTAATTTATGTAGGACTTGTAGGTTTTCATGCGTTGATTATAAGTGTTATTGACAGTTTGTTTTGGCAATTTTATAAGCTTTATCGCTGGGCTTTCTCTCACTTTAATTTTCTCAACTATACTCTTTTTCTTTCTCAATTCTCAACATTCTCTTTTTTTCTCCTGCCTTTACTCCAAGCCCCTCTCTACTTTGGATCTTTTAGTAATGTATATCTACAAGTAAAATTCTGTCTTCCGTCTACTTATAGATGGCCATAATATAATCGTGCAGGCGTATGTGAATTATTTTTTACAATTTACAAACATGTTTATGTATAAATAAGAATGTATGTAAAAGCAATTCCAGACCTGGGCGTAGTTAAATAAAACATGTACTGGTTGTTTATATCAAATGGCACCTAAATCTGTTTAATGTAAGTTATTAAAAAATATTGATTAATACTAATACACTGCACAACAACATTGATGAACGTACGTATGTGTAAAGTGTAAAGATTGCATCCCTTAACAAAACAATTAGATCTTAATAGATTTTGATGTTTGTTCGCTTGTTATCAAGTATATATGTATGTCTATATAGGTACACGATTCTCGCTATTAGTTACAAAGTTAATAGTTGTAGGTAAGTGTAGTTACTATATTGTTTTAGTTACAAATTGTGTGGACTCAACAGATGTTTTGTGCGGCCTGAGGATTTGGGACACAATTATAAAATGCTGGATTGGGGGATTTTGCCTTTGGAATACGATCAACATGTCGTATACTTAACATGATCTTTTGGCTTATGTGTGTATTAAACATGGTTTTTTGTTGTGGTTGTTGTTGTTGTTTTCTTTTATGCATAGGTCAGTGATCTATAAATAATTTTGAAACGAAATGTGTGCAGTCGCCGCTGTTGCCGGTCGCCCCAAAGATTTGGTGCCTGCTATAAGTGTGTCACACGCAAGCCGGCTGCTGTCTTGTGTTGTCTGGTGCCGGGCGCGTTATCATCGCCGCAGCCGGTTAGCTAGAACTATAAGTCCGTAATGGGTCCGCCGGCGAGGCTGAGTCTGTTGGCCGTGGCAGCGGTGCTCGGCGTCACACCTGGATTCCAATTCGGCTGGCTGGCCACCTGGGCGCTTAGGTCTTTAACCAATTTTTCGAGTCTAAAAGCAGTTGATCGAAACAGCAGGTATTTGTTTTTGTTTTTTTTTCCGCGCAAGACAGAAAGGTAGAACGAGAAGAGCAGAAATGCAAAAAAAAAATACTGTAAGTGAGTTTTGTTGTGTTTAGTCACCGGAGACGCTAAACATGATGCGAAATAGGTTATTGGTGCGGCATCAAAGCGGTGCATGCATGCGAAATGAGATGGTGCGATTGAAAGGTCGGGTTAATGGAATAACAGCTTGTACATATACAGATAAGTAAAAGAACCATATAGAGCATAGACTACACCCACGCTATGATACGCTGATTGGCCTCCTTACGTGCGCTGGTCGCTTCGCTGAGTTCGCGCTTCAGTTGGGCATGCTCCTTTTTGCGCGGCAGCAGCGGCGGCGGGGGCGTGGGCGTCGACGCTAACTGCTCCGTTATCGATGCAAATTTGGGCGGACTTTGCACTGGCTGAGCCTGCGGCTGTTTTGCTGTGGGCGTGGCCAGGCCATTGCTGCGAGATTCATTGCTGGAGCTGGACAGTCGCTTGTTGCCCGCCGCACTCAACACCAGCTCCTCATTATCCTCGTCCTCCAGCTGCACCTCATCATCCTCATCCAGCAGCTGTGTGGGCTGCGCCGGCGCCTGATGCACAGTGCCATAGTGCAGATTCAGGGAGTGTGCGCGTCGAGCGCCGCCATTGGGAAACCCAAATGGTGCCTTGCCACGTGCGGCACGTGCGCGTTCGTTCTCGTATATAATGTCGTGATACGCCTGCCGTTGATTGAATAAGCTGGCCAAGGCCTGGCGCAAATATTTGTTCTCCGCCTCGAGATGGGACACCCGCTTGTTCGTCTCCTTGCGCTCGACGCGCAGCTGCATCACATGGGACTGAAAAATGGGCGGTGCAGTAATCAGTTTGACAAAACTCAATGTGGACATACCTTTAGCTCATCTATGTCACGCAGTATGCGCACGTTGCCCTCACTCATGGACCACTGGCGCTCCTCCACCATGGACTTGACGCTGTGTAGGGAAATTCGGATTGTAAGTATTTGCTGAGGACTTGAGCGATCTGACGACTTACCGATTAATCAGCGCATCCTCGCGCACACGCGCCGCCTCTTTGACCTCGCGCACAACATCCGTCATCATGCCAGGCGTGTAGGCGCCTAAAAGATAGCCAAGAACTCGGATTAATACGAAGCAGCTTGGGCAGGTGTGTAGGAAGTGGCCTGTATATGTAGGTTTGTGTGTGTGTATAATATATACCTGAATGAAAGGTGGGCGCTGGACTGTGAGTGCCACCGAATCCGCCGCCAAATACCAAGGGCTGACTTTGTGTGCTTAATCCGCTCAAGCTATCTCTACGGTGCCGCATGCCCCCGCCACCAGCCCAGGGCTGGCCATTGGGAGCGTGCTTCAAAGCTTCGATATCGACTGGGTGTGTGTGTGTGTATTTACGTAGTGTGCAGTGTGTGTAAGAGATAGATGGGCGAAACAAAGGTAAACGAAAATACACAACAAATACGAACAAAAATAAATGCATACAAAATACATAATTCAGAACAGCGTGTATATACAGAAACTTTTAAAATCTTCAATAATTACAATTTCAACAACAACAGCAAGAACAGGTAAAGAGAGCCAAAGGACTTTACAAATAGGATAGAGTATACAGAATTATTGAATAATTATTCAACGAATTTACAGACTGTCTTCCAATGTATGTACAATGTAAGGATAAAACAATAGAAGAGCTCTAATCGAGGGCGCCCGACTAGGATATACCCTGTACCCAGCTCGAAAATGCAGCTGGAGCTGCTTTTATGCCTCTGAAGAGGGCTTTATAATTTTGACATGAAATATTTAACGCATAGATTGGGACATCTGTGATCCCGATCGGTCGAAAAGTGGGTTCTTGTATGAATAACTTGTTTGCTAATCAAGTTTCATTATCTTCCTTTCAAATTTACAGACAGACGGACATGGTCAAGTCGATTCGGCTATTGGCATTGATCTATAGTATACAGTTTGCGCTCGGAGCTGCGGCCTGCTTCTTGTTGCACAACTGCAATATACCCTTTCCTGAATCATTTTCAATGGGTACAGGCTACAATTGGAAATTCTTTTTGGCGACGCACGCACCTTTCGTCTCGTGCAAATTGCGACAAATTTTGGAATTCGTTTCGTGCAATATGTTAATCTGTTCCATTAGCGCGGCAAAGAATTTATTCTGGTGCTCCAAGTCGCCATTGCCATTGCCAATGCCCGCGCCAGGGGCGCCATTGCCATTGCGACAGTCCGGCGTATTCTGACCGCTTAGCTTGGAATCATTGTCCGAGGGATTTAGCAGGCAGGGATCACTAAAGCGAAAGCTGCAAGAACAGTTAATGTAATTAATGTCGTTCCCAATTGGATATTGGATAATTGTTTTACCCGCGACTAATGTTCGGATTGCTGCCGCTGCCATCTAGGACATCGGTGGAGTTCTGGTCATGCTCCGGACTGGCGCCAAATCCGCCCATCATATTGACCAGCGGCGGCAGGCTGGTAAAATCCTGCCCACCATCGCCAGGCAGCGGCAGGCCAAAGCCCAGCCCGTAGCCATTGGGCTGTTGCGGAAAGAGCATGGGATAGCGATAGCTAAGCGGCTGGGAGTGCTAGGCAATAAGAGAAACAGTTAACTATTTTGACCACAAACAGTCACAGGCCTTAATGGCCAACACTCACGCGTTGTATGCCCAGGCTAAAGGGCGTGGCAGCGCCCATACCAAAAGGTTGCGACTGCGAACGCATAAGAAATTGCTGCTGCTGCTGCTGTTGTTGTTGTTGTTGCTGCTGCTGAAGTTGCTGTTGCTGCTGTTGTTGCTGTTGTTGCTGCTGTGCCGCTGCAGCTGCCAGCGTTTTGCCAGCTGCTGCTGCTGCTGCTGGATTAAAATCCAAGAATTCCGATGACGAGGACAATTGCGCATTTGTCGCATCCCGCAGGCAATTCTCCAGCCAAGCATCTAAATGATCCTTGGCATATTGCTCGCGTGCGCTACCATTGCTGCTGCTGCTTTTGTTTTTGCCGTTGGATGTTGTTGCTGTGCCCGTTGCAGCTGCTGCTGCTGCTGCCGCTGCTGATGTTGCTGTTGCGGCACTGCGTGATTTCAGTTTCTTGCGTTTGGTGGCATCCACAGCTGAGCGCAGAAAATGAAAAAGCAAATCAATCGATTAGTTACGCTTGCTATTGATTGGGTGATTTAATTGAACCGGGTCAAAACGACAGCACAGGCCGCTTGGGAATCCATATTCAGTTGCGTTGTTCACCTTTAGCCTTTTTCTATTTGGCTTTTAATTACAGTCAACAATTATCAATCACAGACTGCACTGGCGCATTGCGAAAACACAAATGACTCAGAGCCCAATTGGCTGCTAGCCAGGCTTAAAAGCTCTCTGAATGCCCGCTTTGGATTATTTCAGCCCACAAAAATGTCGCGTTGCGCATTCTCAAAACGAGTTTTCGCTCGCATTGATATTCGCTTTTTGGTCTCTATATACCCTGCACTTATCGAAAATGGTTAGCAAGGCGTAGTAGTCTCAATAACTACTTTCAAATCGATAACTATCAAACTCCTTATTTCTACAATTTATCTTCGATAAGTACATGACTTTTGATACTTCCTATTCTGCTATATAATAAGCTAGTGTGATATTGATAGGATTTGGGTCATATATAATTTCAAACAATATCATAATTTTCTGATCGTTTTTATGGAAACTAGTTTGTTTAGTTTTCCGAACCGGCTTATTCCTATGCGAAAAGACTATCTCGCACTTAAACAGACAGATGGGCTATATCAACTCGGCTATTGCCGCTGATCGAGAATACTTTATGTGGTTGGAGATGTCTTTTTCTTCATAAAACTTCATTATATTGATATATTTGAGCGCTTAATGTTTATCATCGCACAGTAAACGCAAAAGTTATTCAAAAATGCAATTTTGCGGTCGAATAAATAGGCACATGCTAGCTAGAGGGTATCTCCTGTTCGAGCAGCTATTGATTATAGTACTTTTACTCGTATTTTTGTTGTTGCTCAGTTTTCTGTTTTTGTTTTGGTTTCAGTTAGCTAAATATTTGAATTCGTTGGGAATTTGAGCGCCAGCGTTTTCTCCTTGGCTTTGTCAACGTTAGAGTTTCATTCGCAAACCGGTAATTGTATGCAGAAACATGTGGGCGGGACGCGGAGAGCAGCTGCCTTCAATGGCAATCCAATGCATAATTGAATAGACCATGACTCCATGGGAGTCATATGCCCCGCATTCCAGCCACATGCGCAAGCCGACGTTCGCTGGCGACTCCGATGCGTTCCCCCGGGGGCTTACACAGTCCGTTTAAATTTAGCAAAAGTCTCGCAGAGAGCTGCCCTCGTTAGTTGTTGCTGTTGTTCTTGTGGTTGTAGTTGCGATCATGGCGAGGGGCGTGCACGTTTTTGGCGCAGGGTGGCCATGAGGGTCCTATAAATAGCATGTGAGCGAGTTATTAAAGCGGATGTGGCAAGCACAAGGAGCAGCCAGGAATTAAGGCGCGCATACGGGCTACATACATAAATGGTGGTGGCTAGCCAAGTCAGCTAATGATATATGCTTCGAAAACAATACATTTGCCAAGACAGGCACACGCATACACACAGACACACACAATACATGCACATGTCTGTGGTTCGAGCGAATCCTAAATTTAGAGCCAGAGCCTCTGTTTCAAGTCCAGAGCTCACACTGCAAACGCATTTCTTAAAAACTCATTAGAGTTCTACTGTTCGAAAGCAGGAAACGGAAAGCTGTCGGCAAAATATCACAAATCTTCAATGGAAACTTGAAAATATTAAATATTACTTTCATTATTATTTGCTCATTAAATTAATATAGTTAATAGTATTAAAGGTATTATTATTATTATCACTGATATTAGTGTTATTATATTAAAAAATACGTTAGTTTGAATCTTATTATTAATTTTATCAATATTATTATTATTATTGTCATTATTACTATTATTATTATTATTATTATTATTATTATTATTATTATTGTTATTATTATTATTATTATTGTTATTATCATTACTTTTATTGTAATTATTATTATTATTTTTAATGTTATTATATGCTCATTATTATTTTTATAAATATTTTTGTTATTAATAATAGAAGTAATAGTAGTAATAATAATAATAAGTTATGTTTTACTATGTTAAATAGAATATAAATTTAATCATATTTCATATCTAAAAAAATTGATTTGAGCCACATATTTTTTTCAAAAAATATGGTTCGACTCAAACTTAATTCGGTTCAAGTATAATCTAACTCATCTGTGTTTAGGTTCGGTTTAATGTCAAACATAAAACTGGAGCTGGGTTTGAACCAGCTTGCAGGCTCCACACAGTATAGATATAAGTACATTGTATAGGATATGCTCACTAGCATTATTATAAACAATGTTTAGAATAGTCTATGTTATTTTTATCGGATCTAACGTTATTTCTCAAACAATTCATGATGTTATATGTGTTGCATGTGCGCAGTTCTCATTGTAAGCTTCCGCCCCTGAATATAATCATTAGCTGCTACTGCTACTGCTACAGTAAAGCCTACTGCGCCCACCTCCAGCCCAGCTCGGGCTTAATTAGCAAGCATTTAATACATTGTTCCCAATTCGAATCGCATTCGCATCAGTTACCCAATTTCAATGTCAGATCGCGTGTATAGATTTCATAATAGCCCCCAATTGAAATTAAATCAATCACTGACCGTGAACTTGCACACACACACACACACACACGCAGCTGTACACACACGTCGACGAGTTGGGGACGTGAAGAGTGTCGCCACCTGGCACGCCGTGGAACCAATATGATGCAGGCCTTTCTAATTGCAACGGAAAGCAGATGCTCCGGGGGCCCAACTAATCACACACAAATCACAAATTAACGTCTGGCTGGGGGAACTTTCGACTGACACAACTTTGTATAATTTGTTTAGTTTTTGAATGTTGCACAACAAATTTGCAATTATGAAAAGCCTTGAGAAATGTACAGCGTGTTTCGTAAAGGGGGAAGGGCTAAATAACCATCAAATGCGTTAAAGAAATTGAAAAGGAAATATCAAGAAAACTAGAGAAACGATGAATGAGAATCGAAAAAATATATGCAAATCGAGCTGGAATAGATAGCACAGACAGCTGAGGGCATGGGAAAACTTTTATGCAAATACTCATCTGAGATTGTATAGCTATAAGAAAGAAAGAGTTAGTTGGAATTCAAGTAAATTATATAAATTATAAATCAAAAGTCTCAAGAGTTGCAGTTGAGAGATAAAAGGGAAATGCTTTATACTCGCATAACAATAAAAACTAAGCGTGCGTAAGTCGGGCGTGTCCGATTAGGGAATACCCTGGACCTTCTTAAGCCAAATCTCAATGAGATATATTTGGGGAAAGTTCAAAATTTGCAAGATACTTCATCTGTATGTGCTATACTGTAAGCAATATGTCAAATTTGGTGAGTCTAGCTCTTAAAACCAAAGAGATTTGCTTAAAACAACAGAAATTCGATATTGATTTTTATCGATTGCTTCGGGACGGGTAACTTATCGCTTATCGGAAAGAAACTTTTTGTAAATTCAAGTCTCTAGCTCGAATAGGTCTGAGATCGTTGCATACATACATACGGACTGGCGGATATAGTTATAGTTCGACTCGGCTATTGATGCTGATCAAGCATATATATAATATTTACTTAATAGGGGTCGGGGTATACTCCTTCAAAAGGTTCTGGGTAAAGGAATGGAAAGAATTGTCATTTTTAGAAATGATGAACATTAACTACTCTCGTTAATATTTAGCTAAAACAGTATACAAGATACACAGTATACTAATGCTAAGATGTAGTTCTCTGATCGAGGCAACTGCAAGCCGCAAAAAAGGCAACACAATTTGTTACATATGTAAAACTATCTGCAAGAGTTTAATGTTATATAAACTATTAAACAAATGGCATGAATAATTAAGATAAATATAAATATAAGCAAGAAGCAAGCACAAAAGATAAGCACATTCTTTCATTTGTGTTTGCTTCAAGTACGTAAGCCATAAAATATTTCGAGATATCTGCATGTATCTGAACTATGTAAGCTACAAAAGATTTTCAGATAAATCAAAAAAATGATGGAGATGTGCGTATGGAATTTCACACGAAAGAGTCAATTATTATCATAAACAAAATTAGTTCTAAAGGCAATTGGTTCGATTCTAAAAAATGCAATAATATTACGTTACAATTTATGAAGCTTCAGAATGATTATTTAGACTATTGGCTAATATTTACCGGCTTTGCCCGGTCCAAGTCGCTTAGCTTCAGTTTTTGACTTGACTCTTTCAATCAATCAGAAATTCTCAATTATGTCAACATGTATTTTACACTAGATGCTATTTTGCGGCCTTCCCGTCGGGAATTCTACCCATTTTTCGCCCGTTTAAAATTTAAATTTTCTTGAATTATGTATTTTAGATTATGGAAAATGCATTTTTCCATCGAATAAAGAACCAAAAAGTAAGAATCAACGGGTTTTGCCTATTTTAATCTCGTGGAGAAAATCATGAAGGCGAAATAAAAACTCCAACGCGCATTTTCGATCTAAGTGACCGGATTTTGCGAAAAGTGTGAAACTTGTCTCACATGAATATTTATAAATATCCTTGTATATGAGTTTGAGCCCAAAGTCCGCCAAATCCTTGACCTCCATTTCCACCAAGGCCTCAACTATTCGTAAGGTGTGAAATACCTATGACAAAATCATATTAGGGACCTACTTAATATTAACTTAACCGTTTAACGTAACTGTCAATGGTCAACAGCAACAAATTACAAGCACCCAGGGTGTTCAAGTTGTCTGTGTAGCTCTTTCAAGTACCGTCCGTTTCTAGAATTTGCCAACTTTGCTATTGACTTCAGGCTTGCAAGGCCTTCTCATCAGTCCGAAGCTATAACCACATGAGAATTATAAGCAACAAAAAGGCGACAAAGCTAGCAAAACCAAAAAAAATTGTATAAAGAACTTTGAAAATGAGTTTGAGGCAAACAAAATAGTTGCACACAACCGTTTCTCCACACTTGCTGTTAGGGTTTCTCAAAAGTCCGTCATATATGCCCAAGTACTTCTAATTTGAGGCATTATTAATGAGTTATTTTATGGAATGTAACAAAAAACTCGCGCTATTTATGAAGAGCTCCACTTAGAAAGCTGTTGTCAACTCCAATTTCTATGTATATACAGTTTCGGATACATAGCTAAATGTGGGCGTTTCGGCCCATTGACAAATTATTTTAACAGCTGCCTGTTATGTTTGTTTGTCAGCGGAAATTGCGTGCGACAATTGTCATTGTGGCCAGCTCAGACATTGGTCTCAACTAGCTTTTGGCCAAGATGGAACTGTGGCACATCGCGTGCCGATGCCAACAGAAGTGTGTTGGAAAATTAACAGCATTTAGCTGCAGAGTTTTTATTTTTGTATTTTTAAGCATTTTTCGTTGGCCCGAACGCCGCTCGAGCGCAGCCAAGTGCTCACCTCTTTGTGTGCTTGCCACGCCCGCGCCCGCGCCCACGGCGCCTGGACTCTTGGACACGGGATGGGCTTTGGCCAGCTCTGGGCTGGCTCTGCCGGAGTTGGAGTTGGTGTTGGTTGCAGTTGCCATTGTGGTTACGGCGCTGCCGTTGCCGTTCCCGTTGCCATTGGTGTTGAACTCCATCTGCGTTGTGGTTGTCATTTCTATGCAAAACGAGTCGCTCGCCTGCAAAAAAAAAAAACAAATGAAAATAGTAAGCAAATGACGAGAATTTGTTTGTATTGTTATTTAACAAAAGTTCCATTCAATGTCTGCGTTTGGTTCGTCTTCATTTCAAGGCATGTCTGTCGCTTCGCAACATGTTGGCATTCGACCATGAAAAACTTGCCAAACAGCAGGGTAACTAGTAAATGTTCTGGAGTCTAGGCTGCTTGACTAAACGATACTCTGTACTGAGAGCAACAACATGAATTTGTAATAACATAGAGATAAACTGAAATAAAGAACTCGGGCAGCGGCTGCGCTTTTTTTCTTCTCTCTCCTCATGCGAAGCTTTAACCAGTTGCGAATTGCAAGCGTCATAGTTATCAATTTGAAAAAAGCAGGAGTAGATTTTGAATTTGTTTGTCTTCTCAGAATATACGTATTTCTTATTAGAGATTTTCTAGCATACATTTGATATGATTCCAATAAGACCTCCTTAGCCTGTTGGCCACCATAAAGACAGTCTGTCAAACCCCACGATAACTACAGGGTATAACAAATTCTGATAGCTAAAGAGATACTTTGTTATAGCTGAGGGTAAGAATGAACACAGAGACAATGATCAAATAGCAAAACTGGCAGAAAGAAAACGTCAGTTTACGTATGCCAATGCCAGAAAACACCTGTCTATTTTCTATTTTTCTTTAGCTTTATCTTGCGTGTTGTTGTTGCTGGATGTTTGTGTAGCCGTGGTGCTGCACAAACATTTTATTGATGAAATGTAAACAACAGCACTTTTATCGAAATGCAAAGCGTGAAGTGCGCGAGTGTAAACATATTGTCAAGTTTTGGTAACCAGGAGACAGACAACTGACCATTTACGGGCAGAGTTAAGGGGCAAGGGGCAAGGGGCAAGCGGAGTGCACACACTCAACACACATGTTGTGATCTTAAGATAATGAAGTACTTGTATGCCGCTTGCAATTTGCATTTTGTGGGCTTCCATGCAGCTGCAACACACAAATTTTAGCGGTTGGGAGGCAAGAAGAAATTTACCCAACTAGCCCAAGCTAGGTTTTTCAACTTTTAATCAACTTGGGTGTTATTCGAGTTCAAATAAATGATATTAAGTGAAGTTTTCTCTAGGCCAGGCCTGTTAAAGCTAAACAAAGGCCTTTAGGTACGGTTCGTGACCCTCATTTCCCACATCTGGCAGCCAGAACTTGGCTTAAAACTTGGTTTTCGCTTATTTCTGAAATTCTAATGATACTATAATATAATTCCCAAATAAATTGCCTGTTCTACTGACAAATGAAAGAAGTCGCAGGCTAAATGTTAAGTCTACACAAAATTGGCAATTAACAAATATGTTGGGATAGATTTGAAGTTAAAAATAAATTTGTGTAGAGCCGATTTGCAGCCTTAAAATTAGTTCAGGGCTGGCAAAACGATTTGGGTAAAAACTTTAAGCCTGGGAATACTGAATATGTAGACCTTAAAGCAACACAAGTAAAATCTCTGATGTGCAAGTTCGGAAAATTTGTAGATGTGACCAAGTTAATGTGCTAAACATTTTTATGATATGTGTATATACAAGCTAGATGCTTCTACTAATACATGAAATGCCCTAAAGACGTCTTCGTTTGATAGCAAACATTTTAGTTCACACGAACAAAACTAAATGCAAAATCCAAATCGATTTCGTTCAGCAACGAGTTACACAAAATAAAAGCTAAAATCTAACGAGCACAACAAAGCAAGTAGCAAATGCACAAAGCAAAGCGAACAGTCCTTCGAATCATCCGGCTGCTTGCAAGTATTTTGGCTCTGCTTTGAAATACAAACGAAACATTGTTGTAATTGTGTTCACTTCAGTTTCTACTCGTTGAGCCTTGCTTCCCTTTTTATAATCATTTCACAGTCCTATGGAGTCAATCATTTCAAAAGCCTACTTGTTAATGTTCGTAGTCTAAGTACGCATCCGGTGCGAGTAAATGGGAACAGGAAACTTAGTTATATTCGTTCGAGCAAGTTGGTCAAAACGAATGCTTGAATGCACCGTTTGCCATTTTGTACAGAAATTTGCAGGGCTCCTAATGCAAACATCAACCTAATTTTTGTGTAAAAAGGCACACTCTGGCCTTTAGCTAAGAAAACGACAGGTTCATACATGAGTGCTGAATTCGTATCCTCCTCCTTCTTTTACTTAGATCAGTTTTAGATAAGTTGCAATTCAAGGCGCAAAGGGTATTTCAAGCAATTCGCATATTTCGAGGCTTAAGTTGGAAAGTTTCTAAAGAAACAACCCTTCTGGCTGATCTGGATAACATTAGGTCGGCTGTTAACTGTTAAGCTATTGTAAGTGTGTAGCTTTTTTATGTGCACCTGGGACTGCATCATTAGTCTAATGGGTTTAAGTGCAACGTGTGTTTTTACAATGTGTCTTAATGTCTGAGAAAGTTGTTGGCCAGAAACATTTGCATGCCATTAAGAGAGACGGCCACAAACTGGAATGGTTGGCTTGTTTTAATGTGGAAGCGTCTTCTTTCATTTATGACAGCATAATTGCCAGGCCGTTAGCTGTAAAGAAATTAACATGTGCATTGCTAGTTGGGTTCGGTTCTGTAACAGAATTAACAGAGCGCTGCTATGCTTTAACGCTTCGCTAGCGGCAATTATGCGGCAACAAAGTGCAAGATACATATGTATCTTTTGGATACGTACGCGCGTGCAATTGTATATCTTGAAAGTGCCAAAAAAAAAAAAAAAAAACAAAACTAGTTTGGTCCTAAACTTATCAAAGCGCCAAACTGGGCGCAACGAAAGACAAACGACGCTTTGCATTCGCCACGCTCGTTACACAGATAAAGATGCAGAGATATAAAGATACTCAGATACAAAGATGCCTTTGCTGTGTGTGGGGATGCCAATGCCAAAATCTATGCAAGGCGAAAACAAATTAAAAACTAACAAGAAAGTGTACGAGAGAGAGAAAGAGACGTTAAGTACAACAAGTATCTCCAAGATACATGCATATACAATTATATTGTCTGTATCTGTGGCTGTATCTACACAAGCGCTAACGAGCGAAAAAGTTGACTTTGCCGCGAATGGGCTTGTTATTGTTGCCATTTTTTATTAACGTGCCGGCAAAAGGCCTTGCCACTTCACTAGTCAACTTTAAGTTGAAAGTGAATTAAGTTTTTGCTTTTCTTTGCTGCTGAGCTCAGCGAAAGGCGCAGCAACAACAACAACAACAACCTCAACATTGGCATCTGATGATTAATTAAATTAGCGATAGCGCAAAAATTTTAAATACCTCTTGATGATAAGTGGGTGGCACTACTGTATAAGCAGGTCTAGTATGTATGGTGATCTAATAGATTGCAACTATAAGCTATAATAAATTAGGAAGTTACTGCAGTGCTTTTAAATTAGAAATGAAATAGTCAGTATATTTCGTTTAAGACTGCTCACAAAATCAGAAAATGAAATATGGTTGAAACAGACGGATTTGTCATCTGTTCATTAACAGAGCTATTCGCGAATGTTGCAATGTTACTAGCATATTTCTGCAAAGTTCGTTACAGAAGCTTTACAGTAACATTCGACTTACGATTAACATTACCATAAACAATAATGTTAACACATGAGCTTGCACAGTAATGTAAACGTTAATGTTAATATTATTGGTAATGTTAATGTAATATTAACACTAACATTCTTGGGTATGTCACAGTCGACAACTTGCTTTTCCCTTAGCAAATCTAATCTCGCCAGCGCACTTAACAGGCTAATAAATTAAGGCACTGTAAGTCAGACTCGAGGTGTTATGACGCCTCTAACCAAATTAACACCAATGACACAAAAAACAAGAAAAAACGCTTTCGAGCTTGACGTTTGTTTAGTTTTGGTTTGTTTTTGTTTGGTTCTTGAGTTGGCCCTGATTAGTTTGCCGCAAGGTGAGAGCCGAACCGAAACAACAACAAAAACACATTCATTACTGGCAAAAACCTATTTTGGTGTTGCTTTTTATTTTCGCTCAAGTTCTAGGCTATTGACACGTTGCCAAGAAAAAAGGGCATTTCGCCAAAGAAAAGCAGATGAAGATGAATTTCACTGCTGGGAAAAAAAACAAACCCCAAAAGATAATGAAGTTTGAACGTGCAAAAAGTCTGTGGCATCCACAAAAAAGTAAAAAAAATATATAAAGCGTTAGAACTGGAAGATACCAACTGCGCCATACTCTATTCCCTGTGTAAAAACAGATGTATGCAATTGGAAAACAGTTTGCTTCGTGCCTCTAAAACTGTTATACTAGGCTCTTAAAACTGTGGCTTATAAAATTAAAGCTCTTCTAATAGATAACCCCCTTGGTCAAACTCCTTTAACTGACCAATTTTTATCCAGTTTTAGTCCGTTATATTCTACAACCAATATGCCTTGTTTAACTTTTCGAACAGGGTATAAAGAAGAACCGGTTTTTTTCTAATGGTCCAGGGACAACACAAATCTCTCTTGGTGTGTGTATGTTTGTGATTGACCTTTCCCAAACAACAACTTTTAATGACACCAATAAAAACAAAGCAAAGTGAAGTGAAATAGCCGGCGGCGACAACGACAGCGACTGCGACGTTGATCAAATCACCGGACGCGATCAATGGCTAAATAGAAGAGAGACAAACATCAACACCAACACAAACAAAGATGAAGTTGCAGTCATTTGGTTTGTTGACCCAAGCGTAGAGCATTCAATAAACTGAAGAAAATGAATGAAAGGAGAAACAGAGACAGACACTAACGCATACAGAGACGGAGACGGAATACGTAAAAGCAGCGATGACCAAGCCAAAGCGCACAAGGAGCAGCTACATACACACACACACACATAGACAAAGACAGCGGTCACATGGGACACACATTGCTCTGGTAGAAGAGACAACTATCGCGTTATTTGTGCGACTCTCCCCCCTCCACAACGTTCTGTTCAACGGCAGACGACAAACAGAAAATGAAAAGCGAAATGCGTTCAGATGACGTCGTCGCTGGCGTAGGCGTAGCGATTCTGCCGCGTCTCTGCTACTGCCGCTGCTGCTGCTGTCAGCTGAGGCAGCTGCTGCTGTTGCGCCTGCATGAATTGGAAATGCTTTTGTTTTTATGCTGGCACTTGGTTCACATACCAAACAAATTTCTCAAGGTTTTCGAACACACACACATGTTTATTCACACACACACACACCTACATTTACAATATTGCTAATTATTAAAGTTACCTACGCGTTGCAATCGGAGCCGAATCGATGTGCAGTTGTACTTTAGCCTGTGCCGCTTCAAGTATTTTATAAGCAGTGCTTAATGATTTAATGCTAATTTGCCGCCGTTAATAGCTATAAAATAACACACGCACACACACAAACACATTTGCTGGCTACTTTTGCTTTTGCCATTTCTACTTTGCACAACGAACACACATAGATACAGCGTCAACTTAAAATTCTACACGTTTTGATTATCGAATTTGTTCAATGGATTTTGCGGCAGTTGTTTTTGTTGCTTCCGCCAACTATACAGTAGTTTTATTCGCAATTATTAACACAAACACCCTCAATGCGTGCCCAACAGTTCTACGCAGCGACAAAATATACAGCACGTCCGACCTCGACAAGTGTTGCCCGACAACTACGGTGAAACGACAAAATGAAACAGAAACTGAACGACGCAACGGAATGGCACGAAATGAGTCTAAAAAATAAACTAAACAACAACTTGACGAAGCCAACTGTGGCCAGTGCTGGAAAACGCTTGTTATTGTGGCGCAATTTCGTTAAAATTTGAAGTCTGAGATATTTAGAAGATAAGAAATAGCATATTCTTGGCCAGTTCATTTGAAATACGTAGATTTCAAATAGGCTTTTATTTAAAGAAAAACAACAAGTCTTGTCTCGTCAAATACGTGTATATTTAATGCTCGCAGTGCATATGCAAACTGCGCGCTGCATTTGTAATTGTAGACAATATAAATTTACAATTGCACGTTTACTTTTGTGCTTCAAATAAATTAACATAGATAAACAAATACATACACATACACATACATATATATATATATTTATAAATTTATATAAAAAACAATTACAACTACAATTATGAGTACGTTTTGAATGTTCAACATTAAAATACAAACATTCATACATATAGCAACATTAGCGATCAACAATTAACTATTATTGCATATGTATAGGAAGACGCCGGCGCGCGCGCAAATGCACGCACGAAGGGTTTTTAACAAACAATGAACATATATGCATACACAGGTACATAGGACACATATGTATGCACATATATATATATATATCTACACACAAAAGCGTGCATTACCCTAAGCAATCTCAATTTAAATACAAGTACTAATCTAACATACAAACAGCATTAAATTTATTACGAATTAAACTAGTCTGCAAGCGACGAACTAATCTACTTCTCCATCTCGCGATGCTCCCGCTTAAAGCTCCATTCAACAATAACAAAAGCGACTGTGCCAATGGTGCCGGTGGCCACCAGAATGGCCAGCTGGACGTACAGACCAAAGTGCGAGGAGTAAAAGAAACTGATGGCCGCCGCCACGGATTGTGTGAACTTGAATAGCGCAAAGGCGCCCACAGGATTGTTGACAAATTCGCCGCCCAGCATGGAGTAGACCTGGGTGTTGAAGCAGGCGTCGCCCAGACCCAGCAGAAAGGCACAGACTAGAGCCATGGTGGCGCTGGGTGGATCCAAGTAAGATATATCGGTGGTATCCGTAAACGGTGCGCTGTTGGGCAAGTTGAGGAATGTCATCAAATAGGCAGCCATGTGCAGCACATAGCCGGCAATAACAATCGGATCGCGTCCAAAGCGTGTCGTCTTCGAGGCCAAAATGCCAAAGAAGCCGCCGCCAAACACCTCGCCGACGCCAATGCAAATGCCCACCAGGCCAACAATTTCCTTGGGCGTTGAGGCGATTTTCGAGGTAAAGCCAATGGACGAACCAAACACGCCGCTGAAGAACGACAGCTCCAGACCTAAAATCCCACAAAAATCAAGTTAAAGGCTAAACAGACAACAAGTTAGCTAATCGCAACACACCTGTATAGAAGAAGGCCAAGCTGAGCAGCAGCATTCTCTTGGTGCAGAACAGTTTGCCGGCCAGCTTAAGAGCATACAGCGCCTGGCCACAGCCCGTGTGCTGCTGCTCCAGCTCATTATCCTGCTCCGCATTGCTGGCCATGAAGCGCAGCGCGGCCAAAAACACAATGCCCAATATGGCCACACCAGTGAGCACTCCAATGACCAGATTACGCGTCTCCTTATCGATGTGCGTCTTGTCCTGGAACTGATAGTAGACAAACAGATTGCCAAAGAACATGCTGCACTGCAGCAGGGCCCAAAAGATGCCCGAATTGCGTGAAATCGTCTCCGCATTGCTGCAGCGCGCCAAATAGGTGCCCTGGCCCGTCCAGGTGATCGAGGCGCCCAGACCCAGCACAGCGCTGGCCACATACAGCAGCGCCGTCGACGGGAATAGGAATGTGATCATGAAGAGCCTGCAGAAGGTAACATAAGGCTGTTTAATGCTATCAATATACAAATGTGACAGGCACTCACGTGTAGGTGGACGCGCCCACAACCATTGCCACGCGCGGTCCCGTAAAGGATATGAAGGATGGCGCCAGCCAATTGGAGAGTGAAAAGAACAGATAGAGTATGGCCAGGCTGGTGTAGCCATCGCCTTTGAAGCTGTCATCCTCCTGCGATATGCTGTCCAATATGGTTTTCTGCGTGGTAAATAAAATATTTAATTAATTATAATATTATGCGAAATAATTTGTCGAATCGAAACGTGTCCCGCTAATACAATAAACGTGTTCTGAGTAAAAGTGACTAACAAGTAAGTTATTTAGTCAAGCATGAACGACTAGCAGATACCCTGCCATTATATAATGTATGTATATTCAGTCTAACCTATATCCGCACATACATATACAAACGACTTATTTAGTCATGAATGACCGACTAGAAGATACCCTGCAACCAGCTTTGCATTATAGGTATATTCGCGCCCACTTATATCCACACATACACATACAAAAAGTTTATTTAGTCAACAGTGACTGACTATACGATACCCTAAAATCAGTTTAACAACAAATATAAATAAGCCCTTTTTCCCTTTATCACACACTTTGAAGAATGTATTCTACAATAACTCCTAAGATTCATGTCCGATTGCCATAAAGCTTTTGAAGCTTAAAGTTATCATTTAAATGTGGAAATATACCAAAATTGAAGGCTATATACAACTGTAAAGCTTGTATTCATGAGATGATATCAAGAAGTATTATAGTAATGGGAGATGATATCAAAAAGAATAGTATCATATACTTAGAAAGAGGTTGATAGTCGATATATATATCAATCTTCGGTTAAGTTAAGTTAGGCGACTTATCGAATTAAGAAGAACTTTGATTCCCAGGAGCTTCCATTTTAATTTTCGTGTTACTAATTGTCCTGCTCAAGAATAAATTTATACTTTATAGTGCTGCTAGAACCAATATACCCGCCCTTTTTGTTCACCTATTTTCAGGTTATACAAATACAATATAATTTTTAAATGTTTCACTTGAATACTAAGCACGTTTCGACTGCTCAGGGTTAGACTAGCTGAAACTGCCAGTTTAAGCGTTTCCTATGCGGATGCGGATGCGGATGTGGTGGGCGTTGTTTCCATTTGGGCACGGCTTTTGTCTAGATGACGCCTGCAGCTGAGTTTGTCAACTACAGAGCTGTATATATAGATCTTGATGTGTATATAAACATAACTTAAGTCAATTGACAAATCAGCTTTAAACAGGTTTTACGGCCAAATTCAAGTGCAATGACAGCTGCAGCTGAAAATTCTTGCATGGCTGCTCCGCAGCCACATTTTGCATACGAATTAATTAATATTTATGGAAAATTACGTGCCACAGACTTAGACGAAACGTGTTTTGTCTGGGCAAAAAATTTTCCACGCTCAAGCCGAAGGATTTTGTCTGAAAGTTTAAAAACGAAATGATATCGTTATCGTCTACTTGACTCTGACACCAATACGATTGGCATTCATTACGCACCAGTCCTTGTGCCCATTAAGAAGTCAAGTTGTCAGCGGGTATTATCTAGAACTAGGCACTATGTTGATCTCTCAGCTGGCCCCCTCGCGAGATTGGCGCATCGTGTGCAAAAAGTCAATGACAGTGGGGAAAGTGAAAGTATAATGTTTTATTGTGAATGCAGGAATTTATCAGCACGCAGGCTTTAAACGAAGCCGAAGCAACGTATCGTAACGTAGTTAGCAATTTAATACATTTCATATTTTCATAAGGTGAGCTTTAAAATTTTGATGCATTTCATAAGCGAACGAACACGCTTATCAAGATCTAACAGCACATTTGCCAGGGTATTTAACAGTCGGCACTCCAAAAAAAAGTGATGCTAAAACCAATTCTAACACTTTTAATTGCCGTTAATGAAAAATAAAACGTCTTATCTTTTGGCGAAAAAGAGTATTTATTAGGCAGAAACCTATTAATTGCGGCTTTCCAAATTATAAATCGCTGTTATCAGGGCCTCAACAGATCCATAAGACTTGCACCTACACACACACACACACACACATACGTATACGTATAAGCTTTATGTAATCATAAATACCACTACAAAGTCTTCAATGCGTGCAACAACAATGGACTGATAAGAGAACTAGAGCTATAATCAGCTCAATGGCGACACTGAAGCACACAAAGAACATTAAAATGAAATAAAAAAAATAAAAAAGAGTTGCACTTGCCAAAGTGGGTCAAGTTTTGTGCAAATACTACATGAGAGACAAAAGTCTTAAAAAAAGAAGGCCTTAACATGCGAATGTACGCATGTATGTGTGCAGTCATGCGAAAGTCAATGGCCCAAACTGTAAACAACAGTAAGGACTGCAAACCCGCAGCCGGAATTAAAAGCTGCTGCTGCCTCCGAGATCTGATATAAAGAGTTATGCGCATGTTACGCAAATATCAACTGGTGCGACAACTTTTAAACAATACGAATGTGGCGCCAAAAAGAAGGCCTGCAAAAAAATGCTGAAACTAGTTTCATTGGTTAGTTTTTATTGTAGACAACTACAATGAGGGGGGCAGCAAGTGGGCGGGGGTCCTGGTGGGCTCGTCTATGGCGCACCCACTTTTTTGGGTTGAGTAATGACGTTGCAGTTGGCGCCTAACGGTTATTATGCTCAGCCAATGGGACAGGCGCAGTTTTGCGTCGTTTAGCAACACTTTTGCTATATTTTGTAAGTGTATGCGCTGTTAGTATTTCTGTTTGCATGTTAACCAAATGCATACGCTGGTCAGTCTGGCCTTGAGCCTGTGCATGTATGCTGCGTGAGTGTGTGTGTGTGTGGCGAACTTGCATTTGCAATGACATTGAAAGAGTTGACTTTGATGCGTTAGCGCGCGCACACACACACACACACACAGACAGTTGCTTGCAACCTATATTGTGAACAATATTTTGTATTTGATTGCGCAATCATGTGGAAAGTTAGCAGTTATGACCAGGCTGACAAACTAACTAAAATTAAATTAAATATGTCTACAGTTACAAATTCCTTTTTAATTTCCCACTGACATGTGCGCACATACATACATACATTGTAATTGAATGTTAGGCAGTTGTAAATGTTGTTAACAGTTTGCTTACATCGATTATACATATGTATGTTAATACACTTTTAAGAGCATTTACGCATTTTCTTGTATATATGCATAGTAGTTGCAGTTATCTAAATTTATTTTTGGGTCAGTGGATAACTCCGTAGTAAATGTACTAGCGTGCCTATGGATAGATTGCGCCGTTTGCCAAGGCCTTTTGCACCAAAATTGCGCTCTAATGGGCCACACAGATATAGTATATACACTGTACGTATTGGCTACGACTGGTCGATCGATCGTTTTTATTCCTCTATAAGTTTTGTAAGCGGTGTTTGGTGCACGCCCTGCTTGGAATTCCAACTCACTTCGATGTGGAGCGTAGTAAATTGTTTAACAATATAAAAAGAAAACAACAAACGAATCAACTGGAGGGCAAATTGCACAATGTACACGTTGCCACAAAAGTGAGAGTTACATGTATGCGATATATTTACACAATACTCTGCTCATTAATTAAAGCTTGGTAACTGTCAAACAAACCCGTTGAAGATTCAAAAAAAAAAACCTCACAGGTTCCAATTTAAAGCTTTACCATAACGGTTTTTGCAAACGGTTCAATGAACTGCGTACCCTAACAGAACATAATTATGATGAGTAAATGTTCAATACAAAACACTTACTGCAGTGAGTTATTCCGTTTCAGATCGCTTTCCAAAAGGCATGCGATAAAAAAGTGCTTAGCATACAAAACAAAAAACCGGAATTTCAACAAAAAAAAGACGATTGAAATAACACGTTATTTCGACGCGCCGACCTAAAAATACACTTGTTTTGGCTAAACATTTTCCGGAAACAGTTAAAAATCGCTTATTTTAATAACAAAACTATACAAAGAATTCTTTATTAATGAATGTTTATAAAATATTCCCATATTAACAGGTTCAAAATGTAAAGCAACATAATACTGCATACGCTGTAGGCGTTACATATGTAATGACAAAATGTTGCAAACATTTGCAAAGCATTTCAAATAACAGCGCAGTTTATATATATGCATATGTATATGTATACACAGCGAGCGACCTTCATCTTAACACTGTTAACAGAATCCGGACAAAAGCCTGAATAAACCGCTATGTAAGCCAACAAGTGAATGGACGCCGTAATGAAGCTACATATATGCAGCCATAAAAAACATTAAATGTTTGTAATTACTATAATGACAGTAGGGAATAAGCAAATACAAAGGCATACACCATAACACAAGCTTCATTTGTGTGGGCGTTAACTTGTTATCGGACCACAAAGGCCTATCAATGTCAGCGCGTTTACAGTGTGAGAAGCATCTCTCGCCGCCAGTTAAGTGACATCTGCCCTTTGACAAAGGGAGTTGACTCGCAATGGAAGTTGACTTTTGAGCTCGTCAATTGAATGCAAGCCAGTCTCCAATTGCATTAAATAAATGTATTTATAGATATGTGAGCGAATGAATGATAATTTAGCGGCTTGCGAAATGTTGCGTTATCAGTCATGAAATATTATCGTATTATAATAACGAGCCGCAGCTTAAGCAAACAGCGTCTTAGAATTGATTAGAAATACGATATACAACAACCTAGTCTATTAGTTGATACAGGCAGAAATCAGTGTAATTTACTCAAATGGTAATTGAATGAATCGCTTTCTTTGTGTGCAGCAGCTAATATGTGCTTTTGGTCCGTGTGTGTGTGTGTGTGTGTGTGTGGGGTTGGCTGGCAATAACTGACACAAGACGACGCCACGTATGCCAAGGCTACTACAACGTCTATTGGCAAGGACAAGGACGAAAATAGCGCTCTGGCGCAGGGATTGTCAACAACGCCCACGCATACACACAAAAGCCCGGACGCACACTCAGAACTTACCTCAATATTACACATTGTTTGAAATGCAGTAAAAACAAACATAAAACCAAAGCCAAGTATTATTATCATTACGAATTTCATCTCCATTTTGTCTTATTTTTATTTTATTTTTGTCTTGATTAGCAAAATTTCGTGTAGTTTTATTTATTTGTTTATATTGTGCATATCAGACGCGCAGCATTTGACGTCACAAGCAAGACGACGGCTGAGTTACGGAGGAGGCGACGGCGACGGCGACGTTACCAGCGACAGCGAATTTTGATGCTCAGCGCGGGTTAAAATCAAAACATAAAAAACACAACTTTATGTATATTGTTAAAAAATTGCCTAAACAATAATTAGCAACCCAAAAGAAGCTTCACGGAGAATTTAAACCGAAAGACACCAAAATGTTTGACGGTGGGTTAATGTGTATGTGATGAGGTTTGAGAGTGGATTGAAATCAAAAAGAGAATGTGTAAATATACACAATGTTAATTATAATGCAGTCATGCTCGAAATGGCACTGTTAACACTGATAACAGCATCAGCTGCTCAATTGAACCGACTGTCGTGCAACCGCCACAAACTAGTATTTTCATTTATCGAATATTTGGACCATCGAGAATCGGGCGGATTGATGTGTAGTACATTTTATTTGAATACCAACATTTTTAGGGTTATTTTCAATTTTTTTTTTTAAAGCTAATATAAATTAAATTAAAGCCAGACCATTTTAAGTAGAATGATTGGCGTGATTACCTTGAGTATTATCATAGCTTGGTGCGTACATAGGCGAAACCTGAGGAACTACATTAGGCTCGATTTCCATGGCCATGGGTATAGGGGATTCCCGCTGCAAGTCAGCTTCGTTTTCAGGTACAATGTGTGTGCCTCGTGTGCTTGGAGTTACGTGTGCGTCCATGCTGCTGCACTGATTTATCATTTGACATATTTTGACCAAATCCATTACGGCCGAGCGACAAGCAAGGCACATTATCGACGGCCGACGTTGGCTACTCTTTCTTTGGCGCAAAAACGGAGCACGTACTCGCTTTGTCTTCGATACAGGAGCACGCTTAACGGCTTTGACTGCACCTTTCCTGATGCGCGGTACACGTGTGCTCAGCCTAACATTACCCTCTGAATCGGCGCTAATCACTCGCACCGGATTGGAGCATGTACTTCGCTTGCGAGGAGCTGCTCCTGCTGCTGCTGCTGCCGAGGTATCTACCTGGCACATGGGAATCGGCAGCAGAGAATATTCATCGGTGGCACACTTGATGGTATGCCGTATGGCATAATCCGAGGAGCCAGTGCAGGCGAGCACGCCAAGATTGGTCAGATTGGCCAGCGACTGATGTATGATCTCATCCAAATTGGGCACATTCTTGCCCCGGCGCATTTGGCGCTTAACGTGCTGGTTGATCAGCTCGGCAGATACGAAGCCCGATCGCGATGTCTGCAATGCGGAGACGGCTTTGAAGACGTGTCGATTGACCTTCTTGGGCACATTGAACTGATCCATGTCAAACATTAAATGTTAAAACAATAATTTCGTTAGAGTAAATTTTGTTTTTCTTTTTCATAAAATTCTTTCTATATTCTCGTTTGTCTCGTATAAAGCTTGTGTTCTATTCTGTACGAGTTTCGGAAATGTTGTGTGAAGTGCCAAACAGGCGTCGACTGTTTGAGCTTCGAGTGAAAGGCAAAGTCTACTGTTTAAAAGCTAAAACGAAGAGATTTTCGATTTTATTTATAACAATTTTGCAAAATTCATGTAAGTGTTCAAGAGGTTTTGTGTGTCTAACATAGATCGTTTATTATATCGTAAACATATAATATATCATGATTCCTTTTGTGTGTTAGTTCCTTTTGGTTCACTATTAACACTAAAATCTTTTGTAGGTATTTATCGTTATAATCAATTACATTACATTTAACTGAATCTTTCGCTTGCTACAAATTGGAGTGAGGCTCGAAATATATCCAATTGAACCATAAATCAATATTTGTTTTTCTTTGTTTATAACATATGTAATAGTATATATAGCATATGGTATGTGTATGTATAAGTATAAAGGTAAATTTTTTCTGGCTGCCGTCCAGTTGCTGCCCAGCGGGGTACTTTGTACACTTGGCTGGCGTCCAGATCGGCTGACTCTATGCATCTCCAAAAAAAGCAAATGTGGAGCGAAAAAACAATTTCCAGAGCTGGTTTAACACAGACGGTATACAGTTATTGATAAACAACAGATATTTATCATTAACATCATTTCTTAAAATTATTTAAAGGGTTTCTGTTTGTATGTTCTTTTTTTTTTTTTTTTGCTATGCTGCTTTGAATATCCTTTAGCCGGCATGTGTAAAATTGAAGATTTCTTTCATTATGTTGTTTCTCTGATTGATTCTGTTTATCATTTGATTCAATTCATTCTGGCTTTAGCGCGTGATGCGCTATTAATTTATTCGCTCTTTTTGTGTGTAATCACGGCATCATCGATCTCCTCCTTTGGCTGATCCTTATCGCCCCAGCCCCAGGTGGCGTGGGTGCCATCGCCGGTGCGCTTCACACGCTTCTTGATAATGTCGGGGGAGACGCTCTTTAGGTCGTAAGCCCAGCCAATCTTGGCAAAGAAATCAATGAAGGCCGTGGTCAGATTTAGCGAATATTTGCCAAACTCAGCGGTCTTGTAGTCCCAGGGGAACACATGATGATAGTTGTGCCAGCCCTCGCCGAAAGCGAGCAACGCAACAGAAATGTTCTCCGAAGGATTGATGAATCTGTCAACAAGTAGAAAGGAGTCAAAAAAATGCCAATGCGTCTCTTTTTTAGATATAAGCTCACCTGTCATAGGGACGGCCACCGAATTTGTGTGCAGCACTATTCACCAGCCAGGTCACATTCAAAATGAAGCACCAGCGGAACATGGTGGCCACAAACCAGGCATTCATCAAGGTCTCATTCCAGAAGTACATGGGCGCCAAAGTCGGCAGAATGAAACAGGCCAGGGGCATCAGAATCATGTAGTGTCTAAAATCGAGAACAAATTTCAGGTAAAGGTAGGCGAGGCGTTGGGTTTAGCTATGCACTCACCTCTTCTGGAACATCAGGACGGGATCGGCACGCAGATCGGACAGATCAACACCCTTGCCCTTGGCCTTCACCTCGGGATGCTTCTTGCACAGCAGCCAGCCAATGTGCGAGAAGAAGAAGCCACGTGTCGCATTGTGCGGATCGGCATCGGTTTCCGAGTACTTGTGATGCACACGATGATCGCGAGCCCAATGGAAGGCGGCATCCTGGAAGGCCACCGTATTGAATAGCACCAAAATCACGCGCAGCGGCCACTTAGCCTTGTACGAACGATGGGCCCACAGACGATGAGCGCCAGCAGTAATGCCCAAGCCAGAGACAGCATAAAGAACGAAAGCTGTAAAAAGAGCATAAAGACATTAATTATATATCTTCTTAACTACAAATAAGCATTGATTATGGCATTATGACGTTATCGAGTATGTATTTTCCCATTACAACTATAAATTTATCATTCTACAAATGGAAATAATACAGTTTTACACTGGCTCTGGTTGATCATGATCAAACTGCGCTAGATTCTTTGATTTAACAAGCATGTCCCCAATGTTGCGTATGGCATATGATTTGCTATCATCGCTGGCAGAGAGTATGCCCAGGAAGGTCAGGTTATGCAGCGAGGATTTGATGCAATCATCTAGACGATGCACAGGATTCCCATTACGCATCGAGTACTTCACGTGCTCTTGTATGACTGAGAATGGCGCATATTCCAGATCCTCGTTATCAGTGATGTACCTGACGGCCTTCAGCACATGCCGATTGACCTTGCGGGGTACTCGAAAGTTATCCATTTGTTTTCGCTACGTATATGTGTGTCTGTTCAAGTGTATTATACGTTTGTGTATTTGAGTGTGTGTGTGTGTAAGAACTTGTACGTTTAAATCGAATTGTTTTTATATACTAAGCGTGTTGACAGCAAAACAACTGCTACTAGTCGGATAAATAATGGGGCTAGGGTCTGCGAAACACTTGGGACAGCTAGAAATAGAGTTCAGCCTGACCCCGTAAATTAGACATACCCTAAATAGGAACTCAATTAGAATATGCGCATTGCAAACAGGAAAAGTGAATTTAATTTTCTTTACTTATATTCCCTCATTGATTATTAAACAGGAATTTTAAGAGCTAAGAGGGAATTGTGATTCCATAAGATATATAAAGCAAAAGTGCGTTTTCCCTGAGTTTATGGAATGTATTTTTTTACATTTAATTTATACAATTCTTTTATAGAATTCTAATATAGAAAAAAGCGAATAGGACTTCTAAAGTTGCAAATGAGAAGAAGTGTTTTATAATCAACTCGCATTAAATATGCGAGTTGAATTAGGGATTATGCTAATTTTGAGTCTGGACTGGCGGACTGCGATAAGACTTTGCCCAATGTTATCAGCGCCAAATTTGAAATAAACAACACGCCGATAACCTCGCAATTGTAATGCGCGGCACGCGACGGAAAGATGTCAGCGATGAATAAACATGGAAAAATATTGATGATTGAGGTGATTGAGGCTATCTGTGTGCTGTGTGTGTGTCTGTCCACTTACCCAAAGCAATTGTCTGCCATTTGGCCGAGGTGAAGATCAGCCAAGCGCCGTAGAGTGCGGCCAAGTGCAAATAGCCGAAGAGAATTATATTGCGCCAGACGAGTTTCAGTTTGCGCCTGTCGGCCTTTTTCATGGAGACGATATCCTTGACGAGGCCGCCATCGATGGTCTCGGCATCGCACTCGAAGAGCACACCGGTCGAGTCCTGCTGCAGCTTGGTGGGATTCTGCTCCGACTCGGCGGCTGCTGTGGCAGCGGCCGAGATTAGCGAGTCGGTAATCGACTGCCCTCCGGCGGTTGCGTTGGGCGGCATATTGTGGCACCAGTTACTGCAACACAAAACAATAACAAAAAGCATTAAAATAACATAAAAAAAAAAGCAAATTTTAAATTAATTGCTTGGGCAATTAACTAAACAAATTGGCTAAGCTGAACTTGACACGCTTTACCTATAGCTGCCGCCCTAGACGCGCTCCCAAAGGTGACGTCGTGGTCGCCTCGTCTTTATTGCCAAGCTCGTAAATTGTTGCTGCCTTACGTTACTTAACGTTAATAACAATAATTTACCTTGCAATTTGTTGTCAGGCTAAGCCTTGAGCACCTTGACCTACGTTGAGGCAGGCTGATGGAAAAAAAATCAATAAACTTGTGCCTGTCCTTGGCGAAGGATAACTGCAAACACAGTGAAAGGGCGCTTGAGCGAACTCTCACAATTTCAAATATATACATTTAAAGAGGGGCACTTTTTTTTCTGTATAAAAAACAAAAATAATCAAAACGGGAAATTCTCGCGGGTTTTGTCCAATTAAAACTAAATTTCCTTCCTCTGGAACAGGGATATTTTATACCAACAGCAAAAAAAACAAAAGGAATTTTCAAAAAGTAATAACAAATATTGGGACTTTTATTTGCGACCGGCGAATGCAGATGGCTGCTCAAGGCGTCTGTCTGTCCATTAAGAGATTTTACGGTTAATAATTAAAGTGTCGGCATGACAACAACAATAACAACAGCAACGACAACAACGGAGAGCGCCAGCTGCAGTCGAAAACGATTCAAACGATTCACACCTCTGCAAGCTTGTGTGCATGCACATACAAACACACATGTGGGTCACTGGGGGCGCCTTATGTGAAGACCAGGCATTGGCTTGCAAAAGTGTGCGTGTGTCTGTGTCATGGAAAATTTCCTAGCTTCAAATTTCTTATACAAACACACTAACACATTAGCAACAACAATTGGGCATTAAAGAGAGTGTAATAACTGTTATTCAAGCAAAAGCAAACCGACATCAATTAGTAGATGCACTATTTATTTATATTGTGTATGCACACACATACAACACCTTTGTTACCTTTGTTCACTTATAAAAAGTTCTTATTGGACAAACCTGCCAACTGGGGGTTAAGTTTTAAACTGTTGAGCAGAAAATTTGCGCATAAGCCATCAAGCAGCTCTATGTTAGAGCTTTTTGCTTACGTAAGCTTTGGTCAACCCAAATTGGTTTGTTGTGCCGGCAAGCTTTTACAGGTGTGCGCAGCGATTAGAAGAAATATTTATTATCCATACAAAGGCAGACATCGCACGATACTTTTATATTATTCAGGGTCAAGGTTTCATATTCAGCCGATAACTGACGACATTTAATCACGTTGCTTTACCGCTTCGCATTTTTAGCGGGTAATGGGGGTCTAATGGCCAGTTGCTGGCTAAACAAAAATCTGATGAAACATCATGTGTTACTGATATACATTAAGAAAACAAATTAAATAAATAAACCAAAATATTAAACACAAACAAAGCTTGTATTTTTTCAGTGTAAAACGCATTGCCAGCTTGGCTTGCACCCGCGCATACATGCAAAAGAACAAACACCCACACATATGTAGGCTTGTACGTACAGCATACATTGAAATGTGAACCACGTGTATATACGTGTGCCTAAAGTCATACGATGTTTACGCAAGACAGAGGCAGAACGATGGCAAGAACAAGAAATCTGGTTGAGTTTGTTTGTATTATATTGTTGTATGTGTATGTGTGCGTGTGAATACTTTCATTTCAAAGAATATGTATTTAGAAAACAACGAAAAGAGACGATCGCCTACGAAAGCTTTTCTACTATGGCGCACAATTGAAGTAAACATCTGTTTATTCTCGCGGAGAGAGACGCACCGAAAGATGTCGCAGAACCGGCAAACGTCTGCCTATTTATGCCTGCTTATTTGTTTTTTGCCAGTTTTCATTATGTTGCGCCTCGCATGAGATACAGTCTAACGCTTTGATATTGAACTTGAAATCTGAGTTGACGCAGTCCCATTGGCGACAATGCCCGTGCGTGCACACAGAATGAGAGAGCGTGTGAGAGAGCGTAAGAGAGAGAGAAATTGGGCTGGAGCTTAATTCGCCGACCGGCATCACGTTGCAACAGCGTGATTCGCTCTGCTCAACACGTAAAATCGGGTCGTCTCGGTCATTTTCTATTGATGCTTCTAATCTGCTAAATTGTGTGCTTAATTTTGCAACAAAAAAAAAAAAGAAGAGCTTTCCGGCAGCTTGTTCAATTTATTAGCAAATGTTAGATACACGACACATTGTTTAGTGTAAGTGTACAATTAACAATGCTAAAGCGGAGCATTTTGTAAAAACAAAGTTCATGTTAATTAAGCCATATTACATTTTTGTTGATTGAATGTTTCAACAATTTACTGAGTAAGCTATAAGGCTTTTGCATTTTAAGTTTTAACAATACGAGTTCATTAGTCGGAGTTCATTACGATCAAAAAAAGAAAAGAAACTTGCATTTCAATATACGGAAATCGTAGCTGAGCTAACATAATGTTAGGATGTAAGCGCTTTTGCATACATATTAACAGATTAACCGTGGCACCAGAATAACATACATATGCATATTTCGTTAATAATTTATGTTTCATTGTATAGTCTACGAGCCATAGCATTAGTATGTTAAATATGTACATGGTCGAGTAGCTAAATGCCCCAAGCTAACTATGAAAGACCCCGAGTGCTTGCGCCTAGGTCTCTAACCTTCGACAAATAGACGCATTGGCTGTTAAAGTACAGCCTTCAAAAGTTAAGAGTAGCTTATAAGAAATTAATTAAGCTTTAAAATTTTAGCGATTTGCATGCCTGATGATCGGATCGCTTGGACGCAATAAAAAGTTCTTATAGCAGTTTTTTTTTTCTTTTGGGCCGTAAGAGAAAAGAAGAACGCAAAAACACTTTTTTTTTCTTCTTTTTGTATTGTCTTTTTCTCTATATATTCTATGGTCAGTTGGCTACAGTCACACGTTTGGGTTAGTTAATGGTTTACATAAACACTTTAAAATCCTGTCGCAACTGCCAAACGACAACGAATACTAACCTGTTTTGTTGACAAAGCTAATAAACTTTGCCTGTCGCTGTTTTTCCTTTAGGTAAAAATCAAATAAAAACTGTAGTTTGTCACTGTTTTTGCACCGAGTATTTGTATGGGTAACAAGCGAACAGTCAGCGTTAACACGTCCGTACGCTCTACGGTCTCAACACTAACTGAGAGCAACTTGGGCAGTGTGGTGAAAATATAAACTTTTTTTTCTTCGCAGAACTTTTGACGTTGGCAGCGACGCAAAACTTTTACTGCCCCTTTCTTTCGATTTGTTGATACGCCCGAAGCTTGCGTACGCCAATCTGTCATATACATATGTATGTATATGTGCATAACAGCACATATACATACGTACACATACATACAGGTGTACATCAATTGAGATGCTGTGCGTTGATAACAAACCTACAGATTTGCACGTATGCACTTCTCAGAGAAATGCGCAAATGTTGCGGCATCAATTTAAAGCACGTTAATGAATGAAAATGACTTTGAAATCGCAATTTGGGCCCTTTGCAAATAACTTATGGGCCTCGTTAATAGATCAATTTAAATAATGTAACTGGCCAAAGGCAAATTGTTAAATTTGCTTGGGGTACACAACAATTTAAATCTATTTCAAAAGCATGCACTCTGTACTCCGTTATGAAAATATTTATATAGATATCGTACAAATAAGATTACCAATTTCTAATCTTTGATACGGGTTCAGAGTATTTATGCTATTAATAATCCATTTGAATGACTATTGTTAGTTAACTGTGTTAACGTGTTCACTTTTGTACTTTGACCTGTTGAAAAAGCAGAAGATATTTTATACCCTATCTTCAGGGCGAAGTGTGCTATTATTTTTTGTATACAGTTTGCAACACTCTCCGACTGAGTAATTAGCCCTATATAAGGCCATTTCTTGTAAGTATTTAGAACTTTCATTTTTCTAAATAATATTTAAATTTATTTGTATTAATGCATTTTATGGCCTTCGCTCCAGTCTGTTCTGCAATTGGGATTTGGAACATTAAAATTATGCATATAAATAAGAAGCAATTTCCAATTCAAAATAAAAAAGTTTAAATGTTTAAAATTTAAGTGAATCTTGGCATGAAATCTTTTACATTATCTGATTAGATACATATAAGAATGAGGTTTCCATTAGACTGATTATTCCGATCGATCGGAATAGAGTATTAAACTTCTTCATTTCATGGTTTAGTTTTGTTAAACAAACAACTTCTGCTCGCCTATCTGGTCGAGTCTAACAAAAGACAAAGATTAGCATGTGGTAAACATTAATAAGTAATATATGCATGGTAAAACGGAGACAAATTCTTTGCTAAATCAAATAATAGTGAAATACTCTTAAATATGCATAACTGGGCATAGAACGTAAACGATATGCACAGCTGTTGCTTGAACGTAAACGAGATTCGTGCATCAGCTGTTCGTGCAGCTACATTAGAAGAAAGTTCTACATGCAACGCTTATATGTACATGTACATACATACATATGTTTGTACAATTTTCCAAATAATGTAACTAGACATGCAAATGCGCATTGGTCGCATGGAAATTTCTAAGGCATATGAACTCTGAAGTCAATTTGATTAAACGTGATTATAATCGTTTTAGCGCCTGTTCAGCTCGTTCTCGGCAGCTGAACGTCAATTGATTAACCCTTAAACTATATATTTATTCTATATAGAATTAACATATGGCTGTGAATGTGTAACATTTTAAAAGAAAACGCGTGATTTCAAGCTATGCCTAGGGGAATCTAATCCAAACCTTGCGTCATTGCATTCAAAGTAATGTGTCACTAAGTGATTGTGCTGCGCATCAGAATACCGTAAAACACACAGTTCTAATCTCTTTAAACAAAAAATAATGTCGTTATTTGGCATATGTATATATTCCTTTAACCTTTAAAGCGAGCTGCGGACGTGTTCAGCTCAGCTACTGCAGACTTTGGCAAACCTCTAGCTGTTACAATGTTTGATTTTGCACAAGGTCAACCAAGACTTATATATATATTTTGATATATATGCAAAAACTTACTTGATACGATTATTTATTAATTTTGTGGTAGATATCCGAAATCTGCAAAATTGCTTGCAACTAATGCCTGTGAGCTAATTATTAGAGACGCCAAGTATCGGGATTGCTGACAAGCAAATATCGAGCTCCATGCTACTCGATACTTAAGCTCAATGCCACAGGCAATGTATCGATATTAAGGAAACAGTTAAAATAAACACGAATGTCGCTTACGGCAAATATGTAACAAATTTTAATTATATATTTAAAGGTACAGTGCATTGCTACAAAATTCAATTAATTCTTTTCTTTAAAGATAGGTCTGAATTCATTGTTACAGATATTATTTATGTAACTTGACATCTAGCTCTACATTAATGTTTGTTTCCTTATGCTTGCTGTATTTTTTTGTTCTAATTCTTTTATAGATTTTTCCATTATTTTTGTTTGTTACCTATCTTGTTTTTGCGAAAAACAAAGTCATTAACAGATGTTTGCATCAACTGTCAAAAAAATTAAATAATCCATATATTTCGTATGTTTACAACGATTACTCAGTATCGGCAGGATATAATAATCGATAGCATATACACAACTTGATGACCTATCGTTACGCCCATTGGCCTGCATAATTATTAGTTCCATCGCAATTGGCATTCGCCCACAACATGTCTCAGCAAGGCGGCGAAGACGAAAACCCGTTCGAGAAAGCAAACCAGGATCAAAATAAGGTAATCCTTGCTGCGCACGAGAAGCCAAATGAGGATCCAAATATTGTTGAGGATCCAAATGAGAATCTTAAAACGGTAAACATTGTCCCAGCTGAGGTGCCCGAATTTGTTCAAAGTAAGGTCATCATTGCTGCGCCCAGTGAGTCGAATAGGGAACAGGATATGGACACGACTACTGCAAATCCAAATCAGGATCGAGAAATTGAAATCGAGAAGCCAAATGGGGATCATAAGACGGTAAACAATGCTGCACCCGAGGTGCCAAGTAATGATAAGGCAACCAGCCCTGCACCAAAAACGCAGAATATGAACGAAAATGAGAACCAAAATATGGTTAACAATACTGGAGTTGAGGAGCCAAAGCAGGATAAAAATGAAAACCATAATAAGGTTAACAATACTGGAGTTGAGGAGCCAAAGCGGGATGAAGCGGACAGCCAGAATAGGGAACTTGTTGACCAAGGCATGGTAAAGAGTGTTGTGAACAAATCGCCATCGTTGCGCATTGCAGTGCACGGCATGTCGGAGCTGATCAACACGCGCCTCTCGACCGAAGCACTGGAAATTTGCCTTGAGCTAATTGAGGCAGGTGTGCAGCCAAGGGCGCTGGCTGAAGTTGTGCTGCATATCCTAGATCTGAAGGTGAAGAAGTACGAGAAAGAGAATGGTCCCATTCTGCCGTAGACTTTGACGCTGTCCAAGCCCCGAAAGCAAAGCCTAGAACGCACATGGCTAGAGATAATGCTTATCAGCACGACAACACCTGCGGGCCCCAGCCGTCTAGACGTAACAATAACAATTCCGTCACAATCCATAGAAAGCGATTACCGCACCAACAAAACCCATCAATTGCGATATCAGAGTTAATTATATTGTTGTATACGTTTTTGTTACTATCGAATATATAACCCGTTGTATTAAGTGATTATATCTTAAGATTATAATATTGTTAATTAAGTTAGTTTGTGCCCAGGCACAGGCTTCTATGCTGCCTTCTTGTCAACGAACAGCACATGCTGTGCATCCTCTGTGGTTAGATCCTTGTCGCCCCAGCCCCACAGCTCGTGTGTTCCATCGCCAGTGCGACGCACTCGCCGCTCAATGGTCTCCGGCGCCACCGACTTCAGTTCATAGGCCCAGCCGATCTTGGCGAAGAAATCGATGAATGCTGTGGTCATGTTTAGCGAATATCTGCCCCACTCGGCCGTTTTGTAGTCCCAGGGGAAGACATGATGATAGTTATGCCAGCCTTCGCCAAAGGTAAAGGCCGACACATATGGGCTTTGTGAGGGATTAATGTTCCTGTACATAGGTAATATATATATATATATGTATTCAAACGATATAACTATGCACAATTATAGGTAATACATACTTGTCATAAGGGCGTCCGCCGAACTTGTGGGCGGCACTGTTCACCAACCAGGTCATGTTCAATTGGAAGCACCAGCGGAACATGGTGGCCACAAACCAGGAGCAAAGCAACGATTCGTTCCAGCAAATCATGGGTATGATGGTGGGCAATATGAAGCAGGCGAGTGGCATTAGCACAAAGTAGTGTCTTCCAAATGCAGAGATTAGTTATAGCTTGAACAGCATTAGATGCGACTAGCTACTCACTTGAGCTGGAACATGAGTATGCGATCGGCGCGCAGATCGGACACATCCAGGCTCTTGCCCTTGGCGACCACATCGGGATGCTTCTTGCAGAGCAGCCAGCCGACGTGCGAGAAGAAGAAGCCACGTGTCGCATTATGGGGATCGGCATCCGTTTCGGAGAACTTGTGATGCACACGATGATCGCGCGCCCAATGAAAGGCGGCATCCTGAAAGGCTATCGTATTGAAGGTGACCAAAATCAAGCGCAGTGGCCACTTTGCCTTGTAGGAGCGATGAGCCCAGAGACGATGAGCGCCGCCTGTAATGCCAATCATGCCCGCAGTATATAGGAAAAATGCTGCAAAAACGCGTCAAAGAAGAACTGGGTCAAATCAAACTCCAAACGGAATGAAATTCTTTGCTGCTTACAGAAGACAACCGTGGCCCATTTGGCCTGGGTTAACAGCAAAAAGCCGCCGTAGACAGCTGCCAAATGTAAATAGCCAAAGAGCATAATGTTACGCCAAACCAATTTCAATTTGCGTTTCTCGGCCTTTTTCAACTTTTTCACATCCACATCCAAAGCGCAGTCCGCAGTATCCGCATCACCCTCAAAGAGCACACCGGTCTGCTTGGAAGCCGTCGCCGCATTCTCGCCGCTCAGCAGCTGCTCCGCCTCGGGGCATGTGGCCAGCACATTGGACGGGCTGGGTATGGCGTTCGGTGGCATTTTTTCTGTAATTCAATGCATTTAGCAATTAGGCAGCATTCGAACGAAATTGATCGAGCCCTGCCGAACTCAGCAAATACTTAGGCTAGAGCTACAAAATTTGGTATGTGACTTATTTTTCACTCAAGCTTACGATATGTAAAAGTAGTTAAATATCAAATTGTTTTTTAAAGGGCTAGCATCGAGTGTAACACATTCCGTTTTATCAGTATGCTATTTGCACTTCTTCAATACAACTCAACGACTGAAGCCAGTCAACAATTACTTTAAGTACTTTGGGCCAATTGAAGAATGTCTAAAAGCCGAAGTACCGAACTTTGCTGCCGGAGAGAGCTGGCTATTGACTGTGAGTTCGTTTTATGACAGCGAAGTTGATGGGTTCTTCCATTTACCTTCGTCTTTAGGCTTATATTCGCTTAGCTTTCAATTTTGGAGTCTCAGTTTTTATTGGCGACACAACGACGTCTTAAATATGGAAAACAGTTTGAAAGTGTAACATCGCCTGCTCGCAGTATTTATACAAAAATGTCTAATCAAAATATGCCCATTTTTTCAACTCTGTTCACTTAGTGAATACACAGATTACAAAATAAAACCTACTAATGACAATAATTAATCAGATTTAATGAAATTCTCATCGTTGCAATTTATTGCTATTGAACTGTGGACAAACACTCTTGTATGCGGCTGGAGCACATGTTCGATGCGAATTCAAAGTGCACGTAGCGCAAGATCGCCCGATCTTGAAGGCGTTTAGGTGTCCAATCTGAGTCATAAACTCGACGTGTGGCTGTTGGCACCGTATTTGCCGGGTTATCTCGCTGCTAACATCAATTACTTGTTGATAACCAAAGCTCCCTCTAGATGTCGTGGTTACAAGCCACCTGGCGTTGAGTTCGTGAAAATGACTGCATTACCCGGCTTTGTCTGGGTAGAAATAATATATGTATCTACTAAGATGAAAGGAAAAACTTATAAAACTTTTCCGATTCTCAACTTTGAAAATAAGCTTGAATATATTGTGCCCAAAATATATACACTACACAAATTGAATCGTACTAAATTAATTTCCAAATATTTTCCAAATTAATTATCATTGTCAGTCAGACAGTTTGAACAATTTTGTATCTATAGTTTCAGTGTTCTCGGTTATGTATTTAAATAAATTAACAAATTCAAGTTGATCAGTTCTGAACTGCATGTAAGGATGTTATTATATACAAAATATTTTAATTTAGTTCTATACACTAAGGTTGCCCTTATTTATCCTTTGGCTTTTCGTTTGGATCCGTTTTTTCGCTGCTGACTTTGCTGCTGTCCTTTTCGCTGGACTTTTCTTCAGATTTTGCTTCAACTACTTTCTTGGACTTCTTGAGCGCCTTCTCTGCCAGCTTCTGCTTCTCAGCCTCAACAAGTGCTGCTTCTTCCTCCTGCTTTTTGGTCTCCTTTTGAGCTGCTGCAGCTGCCACATCCTCATCATCCCAGTCAGCCATAGACCGGTCGCGCTTCAGCCACGAATGTGTGGTGTCTGCCTTGAACGCTGCATGGAATGAAGTTTTCTAATTAAATTTGCAGCTACCAGCAAAGAAGAAGCTACTCACTATTATTGAACCACTTAATGCCGTTCTGCATGTCCTCGATGATTTCGCGTGATGTGTACATTACCTCGTTCTGCACGGCCTGGTGGAACGTTGATGTCTCAAACGAGGCGGAGTAAACCGAGTTGCGATCATGATTGAGTGCACGCTGCGGAAATTTGGCCAAGCAAGTGGCTAGCTCCAGTGCATGGCCCAGTGCTGTGCCTGTGGGCACAATACGATTAACTAGGCCAATATCATGCGCCTCTTGTGAACCCACCGGGCGTCCCGTGAGTATCAAATCCAGCGCACGGGAGAGTCCAATCATGGCGGGCAGGCGCACGGTGCCACCATCTAGCATCGGCACACCAAAGCGCCGATTGAAGAAGCCCAGCACAGCCGACTCCTCCATGACGCGCAAATCACACATAAGCGCCAGCTCCAAGCCATTGGCTATGCAGTAGCCATTGATGCCGCAAATGACCGGCTTTTTAATCTGGCGACGCGTGGGACCAACAGATCCCTCGGGGCGCATCAGAATATCAACGCTTATCTCCTCCTTTTCGTCGGTGCTGATCTCAAGAATGTCAAAGCCCGAGCAAAACGATCCGCCCACACCATACAGGACGGCTACCGGCGAGGTATCATCCGCCTCGAAGGCGGAGAATGCCTCACAAAGCTGAGAAGCGGTACTCGAATCGATGGCATTGCGCTGCTGTGGACGATTAATACCGATTAAAGTAATATTTTTATCCTTCTCCACGAGTATGCTTTTAGGCGCTGCCGGTTCCGACTCTGCTTTGGCTGCACCATCTGCAAAAATAATTATTTTACTAGATAAACATTATGTCACGCTGCGTTTTAACTACCTTTGTATAAAGTATTTGTGGTGGCCAGCATGCGGCGAGATGTCAAACGTATTTGTTGGCCTATCTGCTGGCCCAGCTGCCTTCCTACTTTGCAGAACATGTTGGTGACACGGCTTAAATTGTTTTCTAACTTTAATTTAGCTAACACTTGTGATTACTTCTTTAACTTACAAAGATATGCAATTGTGATTCGCAAAACAATTTATGAATATCGTAAAAAAGGGCTGCCAACTGGGATGGAAAAATGAGAGCTGCCAGTCTGCAGCTCAGCTATTCGATAGTGAAATGCAATCGATAGATATTGCAGCAAAATTGGCCGAAATTGTTAATGATCAGTGACTAAGCAAGTTGTTATGTTTCTTTTGGATTAAAATTTATGCATATTTAAAGGCTGTCACAACATATTTATTAACTCCATTGTGATATTTTGATAACTGATTATACGAAAATATCGATAAGCGGTCTGTGCTCATGCACTCATCACTAGTTTTCGCGCGCTTTTAGTCACGGCAAATGTAAATTTCACCATGGTTCTGGTGAAAAAGCTTTCAAGGCATGGAGCGTGCCTCAACGCGCTCAGTTTGGAGCGGCGTCGAAAAGCAAGCGGTTGTGCATTAGCCAGCAGCTTCTGAGGAGCGGTACCAATTTAGAACATTTGAATTTTGTGTAGTGTGGCAATTGTGTGTGCGTAGTATAGAAAGCATGTATCACCTGAAGAGTTTGGCCCGACAGGGCGCTATGCGCCAGCAGGAGTTGACCGCCTTGGCCAAGGCATTGCCCACTGCTGTGCTCCAGACACGCAATTACCAAATTCCCGATCGTCTCAAGGATGTGCCAACTGCCAAGGATCCGCGTTTCTTTGACATGGTCGAGTACTTCTTCCATCGCGGCTGCCAAATATCCGAAGATCGTCTGATCGATGACATGAAGGGCAAACTGTCGCTGGACGAAAAAAAGCAGAAGGTAAAGGGTATTCTGATGCTTATGCAACCGTGCGACCACATCATCGAGATTGCATTCCCGCTGCGCCGCGATGCGGGCAACTACGAGATGATTACCGGCTACCGTGCACAGCACAGCACGCACAGGATTCCCACCAAAGGAGGTAAAATACAAAATACGATATATGTATTCTAATAAGCCGTCCACTTTTCCACCTCTCCACCTTCTGGTGGCCGGCATCTTTGGAAAACATTTGGGCCAACTGTTGGCAAAAATCGATTTTTCTCCACAGTCGTCGCTGCATTTGTTTCTTGTCTTTGCCATTATGTAATCGACGCATACGTATTCAGACCTGCCCACAAGCCCCTCCCCCCCTGCCTGCCTGCCTGCCTGCTCTCGCGCACACTCCACACATTGTTTACATTGACGCTGCCCGGGCACACATGCATATGAATACATATAGAATATATGCTACCTAGGCCTTTGCTTTACAGTTAGCCCAATTGCATAAGCAGCTGGTTGGTCTTTGCACGTGTTCCCATTTGATTTCCAAACCCTTCAAGTGTTTGACCCCCCCTCACACCCCTTACGGAGGGAATGCCGCCAACATAAATTCGATGCCTCACAAAATTCACAAAATATTTTGTTCACCTAGCTCGTTGGCAAAACTTTTTCAACGCGCTGTTTTTGTTTTGCACTTATTTTTGCTTCTATTTTTAATAACGTTTTTATTTTGTGCTTTTGCTTTTGTTTTGTTTTCTTATTGGAACTAGAGCAGCACAGCAAATAGGGCACAGTGTGACAAATATACGATTAACGGCGTTTTGTTGTCAAGCTGCAAATAGCGACGCACGCCCACTTTTTTTTGAGTGCAATACAGTGAAGCCTCTACAAACGGACTAAGCGAACAAATAGCTGGCCATGCAATTGTTCAACATTTATTTTAGCTTATTAATGTTTAACAGTATACATTTAACTGTGATTAAGAAATTTCTTTGACGCAAACCGTGTCCGTTCCAAAGAGGTACCACTGTAAAGCAGCCTTAATGTTACTTGATAAATGTATAACAACATTTTAAAAGAATATTATGCATCATAAAAATAACACCGCCACACGGTTCTTATCAGACCTTGGCAGGCGGCTGGAGCAAAAAACAAAAAAGCAAAAGTTGACAAAAAAAAACACACAAAAATCATATAAGAGTGTATTTGTGTATTTATTTCGTATCATCGCCAACAACAAAATGATTGTACATGATTTTTTGTTTCTTTCTCATTATTATTGATAGTCGTTGCCCTCGAGGGCCTGCCTAACATAAATGGACGAACCATTTTATGATTTTATTGCCGATTTCATAGTCATTGAAACTGGTTGTAAACAGGCGTGTGACTTGCTGTTGCCAACCACTCGAGCTTGTTAATTATGCCTCTAAATATTTTGATATTTTTCTGGTCGCTGCTCGAAATAAATATGTGTGTACATATACTAGATATTGGTGCTAAATTGATTCTAGGCATTTATTGAATGCTTTTTAGTCTAATTAATGTTAATTGCAATACATATATATAAATATATGCTAAGTGTATGTGTGTTTTCTATAGGCACAAATGACTTCATAGCTTGGCTCGAATTCGGTTAAATACATTTTGCAGTTAATTCTCAATGTTTGACGTCGACGAAAGCCACTCGCAGTAAAAAAAAAAGGAAACAAGAATGCTCGAGTCGACTAGCGAATACCCTACCGATGCGAAATGCAGCTCGCGCTGCATTTTCTTTCATTTTCTTTAATAACTTCTGTGTTTCTTAACCGATCTTGCTGAAATCTTCAGCAGTAACTCTTGTTGTGCTAAAGAATATTCGTATATTCTCAAAAAAGCAATAGCAAAAAAAATGGTGGCAATAAATGGGCTGCACATCAAATGAAAGATACTTGATCTGTATTTATGGTTTTAAAAGCTACTTGTAAAATTTACTGACTAGTTTTTAAACTCTAAGGAATTCCTTGAAAAACAGATTTTCAATATCGATTTTTTCACATTTCACATTGATCTGATCTGCTCTTAGTAGTGTTTTTATATAAAATCCAAATCGTCGAAAGATTGTACCCATATAACGAAACGATACTACAGTGTATATTATATAGAGGTCCGACGAACTCAACTGTTAATGAAGTTTTACAAAAGTCATCTGCCATGCTTTACATAGTTAATGTGCAAATCATAATACCCTATGTCAATGTATTGAAAGTGTAATAAAATGCAAATAAAAAAACTGGTTTTCAGCGCATCGGTTTGGGTGTTGTCTATAGAGCTCGTATCTCCCTCAATCGGCAAAACTTTTCATTTTCGTTTTGTTTTTTGTTTGTGTTTTTTTTTTTTTTTTTAGTGTTTCACGTGATGCTCACGTTGTGCCAAAGCATGAGTCACATGTTTTACACTCTTGGCACACTGTGCAGCTGCCTTATACACCACTTTCTATGTCGTTGAACTGTTGTCTGGCAATTGGATTCATTTATTCGCATACATACTGTAATTGCATCGGATCGAGAAATGAACGACATATTCATTATTGAACCACAGCCAAAAGTCCTATATAGAGCATGCTATTTACGGTCCACATTTGGGCACATTATGTGTTTGCTTTCAATTATCAAATTAAAGCCCAAACTGTTGCAACTACTCGTAAATCAAATGATAATTCAGCTGATAATGTGCGCAATGTAATGTGGGCAGGGCGGGGCTTATCAGCCTGTGTATGCAACATTTGTGTACATACATGCGTACTACAGTAGTCACTCGCAAATTAAAACTCGTTTCGAATTTACAAATGTTAAATCTTATATCTATTTGCTGCATATAATTACTTTCATTTTAAATGTAAAGTTTGAAATTTCTATATTCAAAAACTGAATGAAAAAAATTCTAAAAATTCTGAAAGTATCTAAAATAAATTCCCAAAATGTTTAAAACAGCCATTAATTTTCTCAAAAAAGAAAAAGTTGTGTAGTCTGCGTCCCGAATTATTTAAAAGTTCTGATTTCTGCTCAACTACTGTACATTAACGGAATGTAGGATTTGTTTACAAAAAGATAATCACTCGGCTCGTGTGTTTTGAGCTTCCATTTGCAATTTGTATTCAAATAAGTTGTGTCAACATTTAACTGTTGTGTGAAAAACTGCTGTTGTTTGCATTCGTGTCTTGCCTCAAGTATTACAAATACTTCAGATACATATATGTATGTACATATGTGTGTCCACTTGTTTGAATGCTCCAATTGGACATGGAAACTGTTTACCAACATTTTGGCACTTGCTACACGCTTCAGCGTCATTTCCTGCGCTATTCGTTCATATCTTATCCAAGTGTCAGGGAAAAAATAACATAAGATTCCGTCAGCCCACGCTAGAAAAGAAGAGAAAAAAAAATCATATGGCTCAAAAGCTAGTCAGCTGATGCGCACTGGGGGGGCAACCGGTTGTGCTCTTTCAAATTTGCGATTGCTGTTGCCAATGGCGCACACTAACACACTCACACACACACACATGCACGTAGAGCAGACTATAGACGTGGCAAAATACACGCCTCAAGCGATCGAGCCCCCAAAAAAGCAAAGAACTTATCGCAACTGATTGTATAAGCATACCATACATATACATAAACATATACATATACATACACAGGATTTATAGGTACATATATGTAGCTAGGTATAGCCAGTATATATGTATATGTATGTATGGCAAGCTCTATGCATAAATAGATTTGCGATACGTGGGGGCATATACCAGCTCGTAGTATGCGAACTATAAAAAAAAAAAGTCACGCGTTTGCTTGTTTTTTTTTTTTTCATTTTCTGTTTTCTTGTTTTGTGCGAATAATACTCAAAAACAAGTCTGTGTTTGCTCTTTGGGCCGATAAAGCCGGTTGTTAGCAACGAATTTTTATGAGCTAAGCGCTGAAATTCCCAAAACTGAAGCAAAAGAACAAATAGAGCTGAGGTCTTTTGGCAAAGTCGAAAAGCTGCGTGCGCTGTTGTTATGCGGGCACATGCACAGGCCGAAGAGAGAGAGAGAGCAAAGCAAACAATAAGAGATACTAGCAAGCATAGCAGAAAATGGCAACGTTGCATTGAGCTTCTCTTCTGTTGGTCAGTTGCTCGTTTGTTTATGTTCAAGTCCATTGTTTCCGTTACCTTGTGCACACGCACACAGCGCACAGACGCTGTTGGTGCACTGCTTGCATGAGCAAGCAGCGCAATTAGCACACAATTTGCGATCTGCTTTGCATTGACAATATTTACAGCTGATAAGAGCAGTTGCAGTAATCAAATGTTGCCGAATTTGGCAGGCCAAAGTTCACCGGCCAAGACAACAAGATCAGCGCTTGACAACCATATTTAATTAACTTAAGCTTCTTGCGTGTTTGTTTATTTCTTTTTGAGAGGGCTTGTCCACGAAAAAACAATACTTGTTTTCCAATTGAAATATAGTATTTATTTGGTTACTGATAAAAGTTCATAAATTGAAAAATGCGTGTACTTTGTGCCTGACCAATTATTTATCTGCCTCGAGTGCATATTGTTTATGGATTACATCGTAAAACTTGAAAATAAACCTTCGTTTTGTTAAAGGCGGGCAATTTCGAAGCTAAGGAAGTTGCTTATCTAATCGCCAAGAGCATTTTACTTTCAAGATATAACGATATTAAAATGGTACAAACAAACAAGATAAGCAACAATCTCTTGGGTCTTTCGAGTATTACGGCATGGTATGCATTTACCTGCCTCTCTATATGCGATTATGACTCAGGTTGGCATTGATCCCAGGACGAATGCACGTGCGAAGGGAGATGCCAAAACACATTGTAGCAAATCAACTTTTGCTTTCGAATCCAAACGAAATGTCTATTCATAGAGCTTTGCAATTGGATTAAGTCCAAAAATAAAAGCAAGACAACTGCAAAGCTGCCTAGACAGAAGGAATGTACTTTTAGCATTTTGTATGTCGTATATATATATAAATATATTGCTTTCAAGGTTTCTTGTGCCCAGGCACACCTGTCGTATACGTAATACTTATGCAATTCTTTTACGGCAGGCATTCGGTTCTCGTTGGATGTGTCACGCGATGAAGTCAAAGCCCTTTCTGCTCTGATGACCTTCAAGTGCGCCTGCGTTGATGTGCCCTTCGGTGGTGCCAAGGCCGGCCTGAAGATCAATCCCAAGGAGTACTCGGAGCATGAGCTGGAGAAGATCACACGTCGCTTCACCCTTGAGTTGGCCAAGAAGGGTTTCATTGGCCCCGGCGTTGATGTGCCCGCACCCGATATGGGCACTGGCGAGCGTGAGATGTCCTGGATTGCCGATACCTATGCCAAGACCATCGGTCATTTGGACATCAATGCGCACGCTTGTGTCACTGGCAAGCCCATCAACCAGGGCGGCATTCACGGACGGGTCTCGGCCACCGGTCGCGGCGTCTTCCACGGTCTGGAGAACTTCATCAACGAGGCCAACTACATGAGCATGATTGGTGAGTAATCCCAGAGATTCCCTGTCACTTAAACATTTCCATAACCATGTCGCATGCTCGCAGGCACCACTCCCGGCTGGGGCGGCAAGACCTTCATTGTGCAGGGCTTCGGTAATGTCGGTCTGCACACCACCCGCTATCTGACCCGCGCCGGCGCCACCTGCATCGGTGTGATTGAGCACGACGGAACACTCTACAACCCAGAGGGTATTGATCCCAAGCTGCTGGAGGACTACAAGAACGAGCACGGCACCGTCGTCGGCTATCCCAATGCCAAGCCGTACGAGGGCGAGAACCTGATGTTCGAGCAGTGCGACATCTTCATTCCAGCGGCCGTCGAGAAGGTCATCAATAGCGAGAATGCAGGCAGAATTCAATGCAAGGTGAGCATCAATTACATATGATAAAGGATTCTCCTCATATCTCATCATGCTTCATCCTATTATACTTCTAGATCATTGCCGAGGCTGCCAACGGTCCCACCACGCCCGCTGCTGATAAGATACTCATTGATCGCAACATTTTGGTCATACCCGACTTGTATATCAATGCCGGTGGTGTTACCGTCTCGTTCTTCGAGTGGCTCAAGAACCTGAACCATGTCTCATACGGTCGTCTGACCTTCAAGTATGAGCGCGAGTCCAACTATCATCTGCTCGGTAAGTTGTTCAAGCTCCTTAGAGAAAAAAATCACTTTTTTTGACTATCTATCTAAATACGTAGTACATATACACATATATCACAGGCTTGTACGATCAATCATGCCATATCATTTACAATTCATTTAAGGGTATATGGTTTTTAAAATTGTATAATTATTTATTGTATATATTATGTCTTTTAACTTAAGCCAGTTGCAAAACCCTTACAGAAAAGCGGCTGCTCTTAAGCATTTGCTCTTCCGGTTTGGTTTGGTCTCTAAAAAAAACAAAAACAAAACACCTAATTTAATATTTATTTGGCTCAATTTAGTTAGTGCTCCTCAATAGTCGTATATCAGTTAAAAAAAAAAAAAAACAACTTAAGATCGTAATTTAATTATAATGCCATCTTAGTAATTCGTTGTTTATTCTATTTCTTCTTTTTTTCTGTTTCTCTATCACCAATGTAGACTCAGTCCAACAGTCAATTGAAAGAATTATTAACGACGGTACATTATTATTAAATCTTCTTTTCTATTATCCTGTCCCGTAAACAAAACAAAAAAAAAAAAAAACAAGCCTTTTACTGTTACTCATAACGTACACACACACACACACACCCAAAAAACGCCTGCATTGGTTCTTGCTATCCTTTATAATTTAGAAAACTTTATTGTATGTTGGTTGTTGACATACATGTATTTTATATAGTTTTAGATTTCTCCATTTTTGTATGTTATGTTCTTTTGTCCACATTATCCTTACCATCAACGCATTGGTAGAGCTTGAAGATCTGTGTCTAGATCACGCCCGGATGTCTCTTGCCAGCTCCCTATCCATTATACCACATACAGATCGTGTCACTAATGATTGGGGCGTAGCCCGTAAACATATCTAAAACAATGTGCTCTAACTGTGCCTTCATAAATGCTCTAACCTAACCTTGGCGGCTATTAACGTATCCAATATCCAGCATGTGGCATATTTAATTAATCGCTTTGTCTGTTTTTGTATCCCTCTCTCTCTCTATTTTTCTCTCTCTTTGCGCAATGCCGGGTCATATTTTAGAATCCGTGCAAGAGTCCCTGGAGCGTCGCTTTGGTCGTGTCGGTGGTCGCATTCCCGTGACACCCTCTGAGTCGTTCCAGAAACGCATCTCTGGCGCCTCCGAGAAGGATATTGTGCACTCCGGTCTGGATTATACAATGGAGCGTTCCGCACGTGCCATCATGAAGACAGCCATGAAATACAACCTGGGTCTGGATCTGAGAACCGCTGCCTATGTCAACTCCATTGAGAAGATCTTCACCACATACCGTGACGCCGGTTTGGCCTTCTAAGCGCTGCAGCTGCTAAAACTTAACTAGTTTATTAATCAACCGAAGAACTCAAAAGCAAACATAAACATATTGCATCCGCGCGCGCCTCTGTTTTTGATAGAAAATGTCACAAAAGCAAATTCATTTGTATGAAGCAACAAATTATTAGTTTAGCTGAAAGATTTGTTCAACTTTCTAACTTCATACCGTGTTTTAAATTAAGCTAAACAAAAACAAGAGCGAGCTTAAATTGCTTTTACAATGATTATTGTTGATTTTCTGTAAGTTTTTAAGTACATCATGAGCGTAAAAGTGAAGCAATTGCATTTTTCAATTATGTATCGTATCGTACGAAACGCTCCGTTGCCGCAACTTTTAAAGTAATTAAATACACACATAAACTAAATAACTAAACAATTGCATTTTGTTTTTGTATTTTTAATTTTTGTTTTTATTGAAATTGTCAATTGTCGTTGGCCACTAAAATGATCACAATATTAATTTTAGTCTCAAATGGTGCTCAGTTCGTTAGTCGAGCTTTAAATTACGTATACATTGTATAATTGATTGGAATGTATGGTTACTACGATATAGTTTTTAGTTATATAAAAAATGATTGGGTCTACACATAATACTATAAGTACACTTTCTTTCTTTTTTTGCAAACGCTACAAATTACAGGATAATATATACCTGTTATAAATTGGAAGATTTTGTGGTCATTATTGATTCGCAATATTAAAACTTTCAACTTAACTAATAATGTTTGTGTGCGTATTAACTTGGTGCTTGATCCGTGTCCAATAGCTTCAGTTAGATTGCCAAAGATTTGGGAAACAGCTGCTGTTTCACATAATCATCAATCATTTCCATAAGCAAGGCGCGCGTTACTTTTGGCTGCTGTAGCACATACCCAAAGTCCTTTAGTTTCGTATTGTCCAGATAGAGATGCTTATGATGCAGCTGTTCCTCGTCTAGGTAAGGTGTGAGCGGCGTATTGTCAATGCCATTGTGCTGACAAATCTCAGCCCAGGGCGCCAGGTGCTTATCATTAATTTCACCCACCGTGTCGCTTGGATAGAGCTGAGTAAATGCATATGAATATGTAGTGATTAAATAGAAATGAGTCATCGGTCAAAATTGATGACATACCTTAGTCAGATTGGACATAACAATGCCAAAGTATTCCACATTGATTTCAAAAATATCCACAAGCAAATCGCTGATGCTGCCCTGCGTAGACGCTGAGTCATCCACAATGTTGTAGACCTGACCAACCGTTTTTGGACTTTCAGCTAATTGCCAAATCGCAGCACATACGTCGCTCACATGCACCGTATTGAGGCGCATGGCGTCGTTCCACAGTAGTTTCATTGTCTCGCCGAGATATTTGTATATGGCTGCTATTATAATGCGTGGCACTGTGGAGTTAGTTACATGATTGTTATATACAAAAACAGATTATGATTGTGACGGCGACTCACTTAAGTAGCGCTTATCGCCAATGCCGTAAACAACAGGCAGGCGCACCACCGTATAACTAAGATTGTTAATGTGTGCCAGCTCCTTTTCCACTTTCAGCTTTTGTTTGGCCACACCCGTCCAGGGCTCCAGCTTGCAGTCTTCTTTTAGCGGCGTCTTCTCGCTGCTGTTCACACAGCCCGAGCTGAGCTCCACATAGCGCTTGGTCGGCTGACTGGCAGCCTCATTGGCACAGTTGATGCTCAGCTTGTAGATGCCCTCCTTGTAGACGGCATCATCTTGATTGGAACGCGTCTCGGCTGCACAGTTGATGACCACATCCCAGCTCCGATTCGTTGTTGGGTGCGGTGCAAACGCCAATTTGCATGAGGCTGCAAGCCATGAAGGACACCCACAAAACAAATTCCAAAAACCAGTTTCAGTTTATATAGATAAGGTTGCGTGTGTGGGTTGTATTATTACATACCGGCATTAATTAAATTCGCGCTGCAAAACTCAACTTTATCACTAGCGAAAGCCTTGCTTTGTTGCTCATTCAGCCAGGCCATTTGCGGCGGCGTCTTATCAACAATGCGTATTTCCTGTGTCAGCTCATTCTTCAGCAAGTAAGTCACCAAGTTGCGTCCAATAAAGCCGCAGCCTACAGATACAGTCGAGATAAGTCGCAGCTATCGCTCCGATTACCATTGCAATTGCACTTACCGCCCAAAATTAAAACAGTCGGTTTCTCAGACATACTGCAACGACGACGCAACCGACAACGAGACTACGACGAATGACTAGACGCTTGCTTCTGTATAGTTTCAAAACCTTTAAATTATATGTAAACGGGACGCGAATCAAATACAAAGGCAAGCGTTAGGGCTGAATCGTTGTACTTGTTCAGTTCAATGAACCGATTGAACCAGTTGCTATCGAACTACTCAAATCGCCGTTTGGTTCAACAAGTGGAGAGTTCTTTTTAGAGATGACACTTGCAATGAAACAATTTGAAATGTTTTAAGCTGAAGCAAATGCATTACTTAATTTTAATTTCTCAAAATTGCAAGGGTAAAGGAAAAAGAAATTTTATAATTTGAAGTGGAAACAACCCAACTTAAAATACAAACATTTGTAAATTATGTAGTAAAACTTTGCAAATTTTATGAATTTATCTTGGCACTACATGGTGAATTTAGGTCTATAAGGTTTTAGTTGGACCACAAGTCGTATTTGGGAGCTCTAAATCCGCGGACTATGACATCTGCCTGCCACCAACCAGTCATTTGCTCTGTCTCCTTAATGCATACTTGCTCATTGGCTTCTGTTGGCTGCAAATTCATAATGGCGATATCCTCGTATATGGCCAACTGCTTGCAGCATTCCAGCTCTGCGTTGTCTTTCTCGTTGACATGCAACAAATGCAAATGCACATTCTTACAGCTGCGTGGCAGCTGACTAACAACATCCTTAGGGATTAGTTTCGAAGCCTCGATCTGTTCCTCCTTTTCATGGGTCAACAGTTCCAGCTCCAGGAAAACATTAGTGGCCTTAAGCTCTGTGGACCAGAGCGTATAGAGATCCTCGCAAGTGAGTAGCTGCAGAAGTGTCTGGTTCATGGGTCCGTCTGCCATGGAGTGCATATCTCCGTGGTATTTGGATATGGATGTGTGCGGTATGTGTATTGTGTAGGACTCTGCCGGCATGAATGTGTTATTGCCGAATAGAAACCGTAAACTCTTTACCGCTCTGCTGCTCTTAAATGTAGTTCGTATTAGCTGAAAATAAAACAATGTTTGTTCAGTTTTGGCTACTTTTGCTCACGTTGTTTATAGTTACTTCTCGCATATTGCTGATGGCCTCCTTGGTCTCCTTAGCTAAGGATCGTTGCTTTTGCAACTGATAATGCTTAAAAGAGTCTTGTGCATTATCTGTTTGATTAGTTTCATCCCATTTCTCCACATAATATTTGTATGTTTTATAGACGAATGGAATTTGACTGCGGTGGAATAACAGGAAGTCCAGTATGCTATTTACAAACTCTGCAACAATTCCTGCTGTTAAAACGTCAATGTCTTGGAGCTTAAGCTCAATGTTTTTTGGGTCTTGTGCCATTTATTTATAATATTAACAATTTCGCGGGTTTCTTCAACAAACAACAAACTTGAGTTGTTTGGGTTAGAGATGATATTAAGCATTGAAATGTTATAGTTCAGCTCTAAGCTAGTTCGCTTGTGTGGAAATATCGATATTTTAGTTAAACAAGCTGGAATATCGATATAATCTGCTAATTTTGAGAACATTAAAACTACTGTTAATTCCAAATACGCAGACGACTCATTTATTTTGATAGGTTTATTACTTATTTAAACCATTTTCAATGTACATTATCTTTTAATAAAACTACCAGTATAGGTAATCACATTTTTGCAAGGTTTACTATTAAGCTTAGTTGTATTAAATGTTATGACAAATGGCATATTGAAAATATTATTTTGTGAAGTTTAAATTCTTTCTGTTAATACGAGTGAAAAGCAATTTGCGGGCAACGCTAAGCTGGCCGAATTTATCTTAATCGTTGAAATGTCTGGACTGCTTATATTATAACGCAACAATATATTAGACAGCAATATAAAACCAAAGCCTCGTACTAAATTTTGTCCAATGCAAGTACGTTTTCCTATACTAAACGGTAGAAAATGTGGAAGATTCTTTCTCAGTCGCAACTTTGGTAGCTCATCATTCAGTTGATTGCTCGCATCAGATTTTGTTTTTAGGTTTTTTAAATGCAAATATTGTAATCCAAATGTACTATCGTTTTCGAACTCTACGCCTGAATCGGAGTCTTCAGACATTTTTCTTTTATCAGAAATCGTCGATGCTTTTTGAGCATTATTCGTACATTTTTGCTCCAAAAATCGTTCTGGACAAAAGTGATTGGGATTCCTCCAACTTTCCTGGCTCATGTTTAGCACATAGTTATTTATAAACACAATTGTGCCCTTAGTCACTCCGAATCCCGAAATAACCGAATCCTCGGTAGCCACATGTGGCACAATGGGAGATGATGAATAGCGCAGAACTTCGAATATTGTGGCCATGGTGTAGGGCATTTCTTCCATGTCTGCCAAAGTAATATTTCGCTTTCCATTATTTGAGATAACATCTGCTTCGCATTGAATATTTCTACCAATAACTGGATCCTTGGCTATATAGGCAAGAGCCAGCATTATCAAATTCCCAACAGCTGAATGGCCACCGATAAAGTCTTCCAGCATAAAGATAATTGTATTACGGCACATATTTTTGTTTTCTATCAAACTTTTCAGTAGTGCATCCGTGAAATCGTTGTCCGGCTCCTCAGGATCAATATTCAGCTCCCTTTGGTTAAGAACACGCTCCAGAATAAATTTACGTATTGTTGTCGACCAATACGCAATGCGATTCGTGTGTTGCTTGTAAAAGGGTAACAGCCATGGCAGGAAGTCCAATGGATGTCCTTGGTTAATTTCCCAAAAAATTTCGTCAAAAAACTGTACAATCTGTTGAAATTCCTTATCGGCATAATCAAATCGCATTGAACACATATATTCGCTAAACATATTTGCGCATGCTGCGTTCAAAACTGGCTTCAAATCGAGCGACTGTCCGGGTATAATAACTTTTTTCAGCTCTTCCATCAAAATGTCAATCTCATCACAGCCAATACCTGACATCTTGGTGAAATAAGAGGACGATTCTCGCGGAGAGCAGTGGCGCCTCGCCAAGTTGCGGCGTTTTTGCTGCAGCTGCGACCAATCGCACAGAGCTAGAGAGTTGTTACGGTCACCTCCAAACAGCTTGTGGTAGCGTAGAAAGTCCGGGCGACCGCCAAAGAATTTCCCATTCTTGTTAAGGACCTCTCGTATTAACTCCAGGTTGTTAACCACAAGGCAGCGTGTGTGACCAAAAGTTAAGGAGTAAATGTCGCCATAATGATTGGCTAATGTTCCAAAGCCCTTGAAGGGATTGTCAAAACGGCCAATTATATCCAAGTTTCCGAGTATGGGCCAAGGATGTGGACCAGGTGCCTGAACGAATTCACGTTTAACATTTTCCTCATTTGAATGTACAATTTGTACAATCACTTTTCGTGTGCATTTGAATATTATTAATATGTAGGACGCGACGAGCACAGTTATTAAACTTGTAATGATAAAATAAAATAATTCGAACATCATTATAGCCAATAACACATTTGGATGAAGTACACGAATGTTACGCAGACAGTTTTACAGGTATCTAAAAATAGTTAACAGAAATTCATTCAATGTACATGAATCTACAGGTGCCTTAATAATTATGTACCTGTTGATAAGCCGTTTACAAAATGCCGATCGCTGAAAATGAAGACGTTATTTCTGTTATTTCGTCTGCTTTTTTGGCGTAAAGTTTTATTTTTGTTGTTTTCGAACCTTGAACTAAAAAAACTTGTTATCTGCTTGCAATGTCCTTCCTCTTTGTGGTGAATATGTTGAGTGGAAAATAACTACTGTAATAAGATGCTATGTTAAATGTGATGCCATGTTAAAAAGTACATAACAATGGAATCTTTATTGACGGCTGCTCCTAACGTTTTAATCGTAATTTAAACGCCTGTCAAAAAGTTAATTGTCTTATTAAAAAAATATATAATTGCATTTACGAGTTAATATATAAATAACGAAACAAGTGTTGATAAATATGTTAAATTTAAATTAAAAGTAGGCGCGCAAAATATTATTTTGCCGTGCAACCATGTTCGATACAAAGTGTACACACTGGCAGTGTAGCCGCAGCCAACTTCATGTTGGTTATGACTAGTAAAAATCTGTTTGTGTTGCCGACAAAATAAAATAATTTTCGTTTGACTATATCAAAGAAGACACGCAAAATGGTAAATTGGCCTGGGAAAAGGCTTAGTTTTATAAGTTTAATTGAGTGCTGGCGTTTTGCAGGGTCAAAACCAATCGGCACAGGGTGGAACTGGAGACAAGAAGGATGACAAAGACAAAAAGAAGAAATATGAGCCACCAATTCCGACTCGTGTTGGCAAAAAGAAGCGTCGCGCAAAGGGTCCCGATGCGGCCATGAAGCTGCCGCAAGTGACGCCCCATACACGCTGCCGTCTGAAGTTATTGAAATTGGAGCGCATTAAGGATTACCTTATGATGGAGGATGAGTTTATACGCAATCAGGAGCGCCTGAAGCCACAAGACGAGAAGAACGAGGAAGAACGTTCCAAGGTGGATGACTTGCGTGGCACACCAATGTCCGTGGGCAATCTAGAGGAGATTATCGATGACAATCATGCCATTGTGTCGACATCCGTGGGTTCCGAGCACTACGTCAGCATTCTGTCCTTTGTCGACAAGGACCAATTGGAGCCTGGCTGCTCTGTCCTCTTGAATCACAAGGTTCATGCTGTAGTGGGTGTTCTAAGTGACGACACAGATCCCATGGTCACGGTTATGAAGCTGGAGAAAGCGCCACAGGAAACCTATGCGGACATTGGTGGTCTGGACACGCAAATACAAGAAATCAAAGAGTCTGTTGAGCTTCCGCTAACGCATCCTGAATACTACGAGGAAATGGGCATTAAACCACCAAAGGGCGTTATTCTTTATGGTCCTCCCGGCACTGGTAAAACTCTTCTCGCTAAGGCTGTTGCCAATCAAACCTCTGCAACATTCTTGCGCGTTGTCGGCTCAGAGCTTATACAAAAGTACTTGGGCGATGGTCCCAAGTTGGTGCGAGAGCTGTTCCGCGTGGCCGAGGAGCATGCGCCATCTATTGTATTTATTGATGAAATCGATGCTGTTGGCACGAAGCGTTATGACTCCAACTCTGGCGGAGAACGCGAAATTCAGCGCACCATGTTGGAGTTACTCAACCAGCTCGATGGTTTTGATTCTCGCGGAGATGTTAAAGTAATCATGGCAACGAATCGGATTGAAACGCTGGATCCGGCGCTTATACGTCCGGGACGTATTGATCGAAAGATTGAGTTCCCACTGCCCGATGAAAAGACCAAGCGACGCATTTTCACCATACACACATCGCGCATGACGCTCGCTGAGGATGTGAATTTGAATGAGCTAATTATGGCCAAGGATGATCTATCTGGTGCTGATATAAAGGCAATTTGCACAGAAGCTGGTCTAATGGCATTGCGCGAGCGCCGCATGAAAGTGACCAACGAGGACTTTAAAAAATCGAAAGAGAGCGTTTTGTACCGCAAGAAGGAAGGCACGCCCGAGGGATTGTATTTATAAGTCAAATCAACTTTCAGTTAATATATTATAATTCCTAATCACACACGCATTAAATCAGGTTAACACATAAATCATTTCGCTTGCGACTTGAATAAATTTGTTGTCTTTTGCAGCGCTTCGTCGCAGTGCTCCAATAAATTGTCTATATAGACATTTTGTTTTTCGGATACAACGCTGAGTGGCTCGCTTTGATGCTCCAAATACTTAAAGTGGCTTTTATCTGTGGGTTTTGATAACTTCATTTCCTCGTAGGCCTGATGCTCCTTTGATAAAGTTTCGTCCATATTTGCGGTTTTGAGTACGTCATAAAAGGCCGGGAACTTGGATAATTCCAATCCAGTTCTTAATCCATCGGCATAGCCTTGATCGAAGCTGGTCTGAAACACTTGTTCGCGTCCATCTGCTATTCCATCAGCATAATTTATCTGTAGAAAAAATAGAGTATTCAGTATTCTCATATCAGGATCAAGCCCTTTAAACTGCCAGCTGATTTCGTAGTTATGGGACTGCACACTTAACATAGTGCTTCTTCTTCTCTTTATTAACAGACGAGTAAAGTAAGCTGACAGGCAACTCGTTTCCCACTTTGAAGCACGCTATTGCCATACCTTTTCTACTTTTTCCTGTATTCGTTGGTAATTGGTTGTATTGACGGTCTTAAAATCAGTTTCGTCATCTGAACTGTGTGCTTGTGACATTTTAGCACTGCAAAATCGTAAGTTATTGAAAAATACAACAGCTCAATTTAATTTCGACCATTGAAAACAAAAACATTCGCCTGTGTACAATGCTCTTACTTAGCAGCGTGATAACAGAAATGCTCCTCATTTACTGTGTTGCTCCACATTTGACATAATTAGGTCCACCAATTTATTTGAATTTTTCAATTACAGATCACAATGGCAGCGGAAATCGCTCAACTTTTGCTCGCTGTAATCCAAGGAATTCCGGGTGGTGCAACAAATGATGACTTAACCAAAGCATTGTCGGATATGTCCGCTGCTTCGCGGGTCGAAGGTCTCAATGTACTGTTGAAGCAGGGGAGCATAGAGGTTTTGAAGAAAGGAGAGAAACTTATTTATCGTGCCAAGGATCCTCAGAAGAAAAGCGCACTACCGAAAGACGCTGATAATGAAGAGAAGATCGTCTATAGTATAGTTGAAGAGGGCGGCAACAAAGGCATTTGGATACGTGATATACGCATGAAGTCCAATTTGAACATGACACAGTTAAACAAAATCCTCAAGAATCTGGAAACAAAGAAACTGATCAAAGCCGTTAAATCAGTGAATGTAAGTGTATGCTAACTATAAAAGAAATCATAAGCACTACATTTGAATATTCACAATCAAGGCCAGCAAAAAGAAAGTCTATATGCTATACAACATGGAAGCAGATCGGTCAGTAACGGGCGGTGCTTGGTATCAGGATCAGGATTTTGAAGTCGAGTTCGTGGATGTGCTCAATCAACAATGCTTGCGATTTCTTCAAATGAAACGTGAGGGTGCCGAGAAAAAACGCGATGGACCTCTGGCGTTTAAACAAATGTCCTGTTGCACTGTGAAGGAGGTGCACAAATTTATTTCAGATTTAGGTATTAGTAAAGTCAATCTAGATGAGGATGATCTAGAGACCATACTGAAAACCGTAGTCTATGATGGCTGCGCAGAACGCATACTACAATCGGATGGCACGTACGTGTATCGTGCGGTAAATTTACCTCTGCCGGCACCTGGGTTGGTTCAGATGCCATGTGGCATATGCCCCGTGATTAAGAATTGCTCCAATTGTGGCGATGTTACCGCTATTAATTGTCAATATATGAACGATTGGTTAGACTAAAAATGCAAACATTGTTTTTTATTGTTACGCCAATTTAAGTACTGTTTATTCAGAAGTTATTTTGACAGCAATCGAGCTCATTATACATATTTATATATTAACGGATGCGAAAATTACAGTATAAGCTAAAAACATTTCCCAACTTAAAATTGTTACTGTGCATTCAAATACTAACCGTACCCAACTGCGCTCCTATACAAACAATTTATCGATTAATCGGAAGTCCGATAGAATTTTGCTCGGTCTGGAAACAGTGTAAATACGTGGCTGTCGATTCTGTTATTATCTAGGCAAAAATTCCAACAAAAGCTAAGCACAAAATTAAAATAATTTAGAATTATTCACAATAAATATGCGATAATACAAATTTGTGCGCCCAAGGTAAATTACGACTGTTAGCTCAAGTGCGATACAAAGCTTATTTAAGAGAAAGACAATAACTCCTCAGTATCCACAATGGGACTTTGCAAATGTCCAAAACGATTGGTGACAAACCAATTCTGCTTCGAGCATAGAGTAAATGTTTGTGAGCACTGCATGGTCCAGAGCCATCCCAAGGTAGGTTTGGAACACAATCTATAAGTGATAAATAACTTTTTACGAATCAATTACTCCCGTATAGTGCATAGTGCAATCGTATCTTCAATGGCTACGTGATAGCGACTATATATCCAATTGTACGCTGTGCGGCACCGGCCTGGAGCAGGGCGAATGTGTACGTCTGGTGTGTTACCGTAAGTGCTTAGTGTTCGTAGGCAGTCATAAAATGAAAGTTCATCGATTATTTAATGTTCGTTCCTAGATGTTTATCACTGGGATTGCTTGAATGCACGTCAAGCCGGTTTGCCTCCCAATACAGCGCCTAGTGGCCATCAATGCCCAAGTTGTAGCGTCGAAATATTTCCAACATCTAATCTGGTCTCACCCGTGGCGGATGCACTCAAACACTATCTGGCAAAAGTGAACTGGGGACGAAATGGACTGGGTCTTGCCTTGGTAAATGCTCAACGGGATGCGTTATTTGAACAGTTTACATAGTAGTAAATCAATTTGCAGCTTTCAGATGATCAAAACAATAGCTTCAAGTCAAAGGCTATTGCTAGCCAATCGGCCGTTACGAACATAACCAAAGTGCACCATCATTCCGCTGGCGAGCGTGAGCGTATGAAACCGAATGGAGGCGTTGATAGCTCCAGTCCACATTCCGTGCTGTTAATGGATGCATTTAATCCGCCTAGCTCTGGCGATTTACATGGTCCGTTGCACGTTGTTTCAGTCTGTATGTCATTTTAAATTTGTTTTTTTTTATTAGGAACTAGCAGCCGGCGTCCTTTATTGCCGCGCCAGTCGCCCATAGGTGGCACGGATCGTGATGAAAATAAATACCAGCGCCGCACACCGGCTGAGCTATTCTCGCGATGGACGCGTCGCTTTTATGCACCATCATCGCGTCCGCCTTGGCGTCGCACCTGGTTCTTGGCAATCAGTGGCATTTTGGCCTTCGTTGTGTTCATTTATTTAATGGCACTGCTAGGTCGAGGTGGTGGCAACGACAGTTTGGACGACAGCTGGAATAATCCAAACCCCAACCAGAACCACTACGAATAAGTGTATGTGCATTGTCAACATATATCGAAAAGCCCTTCCCTTCCTCTGTTAAAATCAAAACTTATTTATCTACCTCAAATATTGCAAAAAAAAACTTAACGCTAAGCTCTTTAAATTAATTTTTAATCAACATGCGGCTTAATGTTTTGCACGCCGCTCACTTTAGGCGAGTTGGGAGTTTTACGTTTGGGCGCATCCAGGACCTCATCATATTCGTGCAGCTTCTTGGCTAGGAAATACATCTCGGCCAGCGCTATAACTAGTGCCACAATGACACCCAGCAGGATTCGAAAACCAAAGGGCAGGGGACCAACCATCAAATTGACACCAAAGAAACCAAACGTAAATCCTGCCGCTACCGAGAAGATGAACTGAGCCACGGCTATGATTTGCTTATTGATGCTTTTTACTACAAGAGAGACGAACATTATCAAGATTTAATTAGATTGCTTCAACTTGATTAATCAACTCACATTGATAGGCAACGGTGTCCTCGGGAACATGCTTCAGAGTTGCATCAACATTTTTGGTCATCTTTTGGTATTCACGATTTTGCTGCTCCTCGCGCAAGCGCTGGCAACGCGCCTCAAGCTCGGGATTACGCGGCTTAAACTCATTCTCTGGAAGTATGAGCTCGCAACTTTCAATTAGCTCATAGAGAAATACATTAATTACATTTTTTTTGCGTAGCTCAGTCAAAGCTGAGTTAAGCCAGTGCAAATCGTTCAGATATAAAAAGTGGCCATCAACTGGCCCCTGCTGTTCCTCCTCCTCCTCTGGGGCTTCCGCTGCTTTTTGGGGCACGTCTGGGACGTCTGCTGTTAGTTTTTCCAGCAGCTTTGTATCAATCTGTGGTCGCTTGAAGACAAGCTCACTGTCTTTCAAGATTCTGATACTTTTCGGAACGCTGTAGCCGTTTTTCTCCAGTGCAGTGGCCACATTCGCCGGCAGTTCTCTCAAATGTTCCTTCTGTGCGTTTATCGAGGCCAACAACTTCTTGGATGGCCGGAGCCGCACACGAGTGTCCACGATTGTTGACTTCAGCATGTCGCTGGCGTACTTATTTGTTAATGTTCAGCTTAAGTTGCAAGTCCGAGTAAAGTTCGGCTATTTCCTCCTCCTTTTCCTCGAATGAGTTATCAATTCTTTGATAACTGTGCTGCAGATTGTTTATAAACTCTGCTTTGCGTTGCTCACGTGCAAGTCTTGCCTCTTGTAGATTGGCGCTGGGCTGGGTAATTAAAAATATTACTCACAATTCTGTTCGTAAATATTTGATTATTCGTTAAATATACGCACTGCTCGTTCAACTTTGGCTTTCTCCAGAAGCGCTTCAACGCCACAAAGCAAATTGTTAACACCTGTGGCAAGTTCGGTAAGCTTCTGATTACCTAATGCAATGCACCGCTCTGAGAGGTCGTATTTAAGTGAACCCACAATTTCGGTGACCTGAAAAAGTTTCTCGACTTCGCTATCGTTGCGTTTTACTTCGAAATTATCCAAAAATGTTTCAATTTCGCCGTTAACAAATACGCGATGGTCTAAAATGCGATGCGGCACTTTGTAAAACTCTGTAAGAGTTTAATTGGACTTATATACGTTAGCGAGGTATAGTTCTCCGAAACGTACCTCTTCCAACTTGGCTTATCATTATTTTTCTTCAAAAAACTCCTATTTTTTGCTTCTGTCACATGAGTGGGGCCGACGATATACCGCAATTGACTATCGATAAATTGGATTGTGACATTGGTGACATTCCTGCAAAAGTTAATTTACAAATTTGAAATAAAAAATATGGAAAACAATTTGCTTCTGCCTAAAGTGGTCTGTATGGCAAGATGCTGTATAATTAAGAGTTAAGCAATTTCTATTGCACTGAATTCAAATTGAACCACGCTTCCAGCAAAAAATCGATATCATAGGAAGAAATTTATATCGATACCGTATTTGCAACTCATCTGCATTCGCTCTGAATGCGACGTGCAGAAAGTCATCCACCAACTGCCCAATTACCATTTCGTTTATATTTTCTGAATTTCTCATAATGAGCGAAGAATTTAAACTGCCGAAACGATCACGAAAGCGTACGCGTGACGTGAAACGCAAGGCCCGGCCTGAATTGGATGGAGATACCGCGTGGATTGCGATGCGCTATTATGAGAAGTTTGAGCCATTTTGGGACTTTACGGATAACCTGGAAAGAATAGATAATGCAACAATAACATGTGATGAATTCATTGAACGCTACGAGCGTCCCTATCTGCCCGTAATAATAACCGGTTGCGCCGATGGCTGGCTGGCCCAGGAGAAGTGGACGCTCTCCCGGCTTGCCAAGAAGTATCGCAACCAGAAATTTAAGTGCGGCGAGGATAATGAAGGATATAGCGTCAAGATGAAAATGAAATACTATGTCGAATATATGCAAGGGACTCGCGACGATAGTCCGCTTTACATATTCGATAGCAGCTTTGGCGAGCATCATCGTCGGCGAAAGCTGCTGGAGGATTATACGGTGCCCAAATATTTTCGCGATGATCTCTTCAAGTATTGCGGCGAGGATCGTCGCCCGCCATATCGATGGTTTGTAATGGGTCCATCTCGTTCGGGCACTGGCATTCATATTGATCCATTGGGTACCAGTGCCTGGAATACGTTAATACGTGGCCACAAGCGGTGGTGCTTATTTCCCACGCACACGCCCAAGGACCTGCTGAAGGTCACCAGCGCAATGGGCGGCAAGCAGCGCGACGAGGCCATCACCTGGTTTAGCACCATTTATCCGCGCACCCAGCTGCCCTCGTGGCCGCAGGAATACAAACCCATCGAGGTGCTACAGTGTGCTGGCGAAACGGTGTTTGTGCCTGGCGGCTGGTGGCACGTGGTGCTCAATCTGGACGATACCATTGCGATAACGCAAAACTTTTGTAGCTTTACGAACTTTCCGTGTGTGTGGCACAAGACGGTGCGCGGTCGCCCCAAATTGTCTCGCAAATGGCTGCGTGTGCTGCGGGAGCAGCGGCCAGAGTTGGCTCAAATAGCCGAAAGTATTAATATAAACGAAAGCACGGGTTTCGCCTCCGATAGCTCGAGCAATTCGAGCTCATCCTCCTCGTCCAGCAGTTCCTCATCATCGGAGACCGAGGCGGACGCCGATTCAAATACGGATAGCGGCCAGGAAAGTCTCACGGCCAAGAAAAAGAAAAAACGGCGCATGGGCGGCAGTGGTGATGGCGGAGGTGCCATGGGCTCTTCGCGGTCTTGATGTCAACAGAAAGCGAAAAGGAATAGCCTGCTTATGCGGCTGTTTCATCGTCAACTGTTGTTCTGTGGTCGCGTGCCGCGTTGTCAACGTTCGTCCGACCGCACATCCCGCCCAAGCTAACAGCGCAATCCTGACCCTGATAATTTCTGCATGTTTTAGTAATATTTTTCTACATAGACAAGTAAACGTGTTGCTGTAAAAATAAACTATGAATTATCCCCGGCTAGACCAAACAGCCGCTTAATATTAGCTCTAAATAGTCAATTTGATATTTAATTATTTTCAAGTTGATCCGCCAAGGATAATTCGCCAACGACTTAAATGCAACATAAATAAATTCAATATATTTGTAAAAATCTGCACCGCGTTTCATTGATGGAATATATATTCTGGTTTCTAGTGAAATTTGATCTTAATGATCTAGTATAAAGTTCCTTTTGCCTGGGCGTTAAAAATGCATTCAAATGGTTTTATACAAAAATGTGTCATCTTTTTATTGTAAATTTGCGTTCTTATAAATTGTTTCCCATGTAACTTAAAAGATGTAGCAACAAATTAAATTGGTCGTGGAAAATAAATCGGCAAGTTATATAGAAAATTTGCAAAAGACCAAATTAAAAAATTTGACAGGCTATTTAAAATGTTTAAATAATAAAATTTATTTATGGAACATAAGCAAGCACATGGTCCTTAAAAAATCACCTTTTAATTTGCTACAATTTATTATTCATACATAATTATTTTTAAAAGCTTTTCCCACGCATTCCTTAAGTCTCCCGTTTTTTATTTTTATTTCTTATTGGCGACCTGCGTGCGTCTACGTTGAATTTTTAGAAGAGGTTTTGCACTTTGTTTTTTTAAAAAATATTTTTTTTTTGCTTTATTTTTTAATTTAGTTCCTTTTGTTTTCTTTTACGATCTATTGTTTATCATTGTGTAGAAATTGGAAATTGCGCTCGCAGCTTCGATTTGCTTACTGTCGTTTCTGTTTGTCCATTCTAAATTTATATTTGTTTTGTTGTTAGCCAAGTTCTTTGTTTTGTTGTGTGGTTGTTGAATTCTGTTTGTTACTTTGTTGTTTATGTTAATCATGACTTAATCAATATACTGCGCTAGCCAACGGAAACCCTCGCCATAGCCCTGTCGCTTCAGCACGGAGCACATAAACAATTCCAATGGGCGACCAGGCAATTCGGAGCGTGCAACTTTGCCCTGCGATGCCGTAACCAAAAAAATAATATTAATTAATTATATTCAGAGACAATATTAAACAAGTGTAGCTATACCTTGCCGGTCGTTAACTGATACAGTCCGAACACATTTCTCAGCTCATCCTCGCTGGCCGCGCCAGGCTTATCAATTTTGTTGCCCAATATGAGCACGGGGCAGTTGGAGAGCGCCTCATCTGTGAGCAGCGAATCCAGTTCGTTTTTGCTCTCCTGGAAGCGGCCGCGATCCCAGGCGTCTATCAAAAATACGATGGCATCTACAGCTGGGAAGTAATCCTTCCAAACACGACGTGCTGCAACAAAGCAAACATAAATTAGTAACTGAACAGTCGACTTATCTAAACAGCCCAATTACATGACTAAATCAAACACAAACATGCCGCTCCCGCCCCTCCATTGCTATCAGTCACGATTTTGATATCATAACGCTGACGCTCGACTATTTAGTGTCTCTCACGCAAAGCAAATACGGCTCTGTCTAAAAATCGAGCGTAACGCTGACATCGCTACTTGGGCTCTATAGACCTCTAATGTATGTGTGATATACGTGAGCTGCGCCTCGCTGCTCGCTTATCAATAATATATGTATGTATATGCATGCACACTCGCTAGCCAGTTTGCGCCATCTAACACTTTCGAGCTTTATTATGTAGATTTGCATCAACGTAAAAACTTGAGCTATTCTTATATATATAAACAGTATATAGTATACTAATATGCATGTGCTTATATTTGTTGTTGATCTTGTGCAGTTTTTATACTTGTTATGGCAAACTAGGCCTGTTTGCTTGATATAGCACATTTTATAACAATTATTCCAGGCACAGTGTTTAAGGAAATCAAAGTCAATGGTTTGATTTACGGTCTAGGCCAACATATTATATTCAGGTTCGGTTATTGAAATCGGTTTTGGTTCAAACCTTTATATTTTATATTATAAAATGTTAATAAAAGAACAACTCGATTTGCCTGTTCTACTGAAAATTGAATTTCGAGCCGATTGGAAAGCGTTTAAAAGTTTATCGCTTGTTAGTTTTTGAATATTCTACTAGAATTTACAGTGAATATTCATTGATCCTATCACAAATGCTGTGTATTTTAAGATTTCTTAAAGCCAATTTACTTTTCAGTAAAATTTTCGTATAGTTTGACCGAGTATCTAACAAATGACAATTGGCGAAATAGTAAAAGTAAGGATTAAGGTCGTATCCGATCAAGGAAACTGTCCGTTAGTAAAGTTTTCACTGTACAATGAATTGGGCATAGCTATTATTATTGTATAACACTTACAAGTGTTTGTTAACCACAGTAGCAAAATTGTGTTCAAGGCCAAACTATTTATAAAGGCTTTAAGTTTCAAGCACATGTATTACTAAGTTTCCTATATGGTAGATATCTGTTCTGTCGTAATACAGATTAACTATGCCTTACATGCAGATATATCTATTTATATCTATAGACATTTTCTGTTCTTGTTTTTTGTTAAGAGAGTGAACGCAACAACTGGCAAAAATTACAACGTGTTTCGCTTTCTGCTAGTATGGGTGCCCCGTGCCCCCCTGTGCTATATTTTACGCTGATTGTTTTGTTGTTTTTCTGTGCTGTCTTTGTGCTATGTATATGCATTGCGCTATATTTAGACAAAGAGCACGTTTTAACATGCGCATTATTTATGATTTTAATAAGGTCTTAGATTATTGAATATGCGGAATGTTTTTGAATTGTTCCGTCTTTTATCCGAGATTAACTTACCCTGAGTGTGTCCACCCAAGTCGAATGTAGTGAAACGCATATTGCCTATGGACAGCTCCTCGGATGCTAGGCGGGGCAAATAAAGACGATTTATTGTAGCATATAATCAAGAAGCTGCATTTAAGACTTACTTGGATGCAGTGTTGGCACATGCTGCGCCAGCTTATCATCTTTGAGCATATGCAATAATGTGGTCTTACCAGCATTATCCAAGCCAAGGAACAATAGTTTGCCGGACTTTTTCCATAGACCTGGGTATTTCAAATGGTTTTCAATGATTATTAATATATAATTCAAATAATAATAGCCTGAGCGTTTGCCAGTCAATGCCAATGTTAAGGTCAAACCGACTTAACTAAATCGACATTAATTAAAAACCAACTGCTTCACCAATACACGCATAAAATTGACCCGCATACAGCTGAAACATTTCGTTTAGCTTTTGTTGTCTGCTTCTGCTGTTGCTATTGTCGTTGTTGTTGTTGTTGTTGTTGTTGCTGATTTGTTGGCAAACGCTCAAGAAAAATCGCTCATGTAGCAATGTCAAATTCCATTTGGGCCAGACGCTTACCTAAGTATCCGAGAACACCCGTGAACCAGTCCCAAATGAACATCTTGGCTTGTGCTGTGGTTTCTTGCGGGAGTAGCAAAAGGCTGAGTGTGTGTATGTTGGGGGGAAGTGCGGTGCTTTACTGAAAAATACAAAATAGAAAATGGGGTAAACACAAAGCAAGACACGGAGAATGTGAATATGCGTAGCAAGTTCAATGTCCAGCTGCAGTGAAACACGACGCGGCACTGTTTTTGTTAATAATAATCAATTTTCTGTCTGGTTCGTAACCTAAATGCGACCAAAGTCAAGTACTAATTGTATAGCAAACGCTTAACGTCCGGTTTTTTGGATTCGAGTGCATGCAGCCTTGACATAATTAAAATGAAAAATGCTGTTGCGCTCAGGAAATAATATCTGACCGATTATAATTAGGTTAAAAACCTGTTTAGGTTCTTTGTCAAGCTCTAGGCAGCACTTTCTTTCTTTGCATGCGTGTGAGCTTGTGTGTGTTAGCGACTACGGCTTTGTATGCATGTATGTGTATTATGTACGTGGTTAACACGCATAATACTTTGTAATTTTCATCAAATTTTTGTTAATTTCGTAATCTTGCACTTTGGAGCTAGGCATACTCTGTGTGCCCCACAATTATGTCAATTTGCCGCACCCTTGGCGCTCGTGCCATTCCATTTATTGGACTGGCTTTATATGTATAAAAACAGCAGACATGACAATCTGATTTTGCACTACGTGGACACACACATTTCTAGTTGCCTCTGGATTCGGTCTTTTGATTGCACGTTGCCGCGTCGCTTTGCTGCACTAACTACAATGGATAGCTGTATAATATGTTGAACTATGCGTGTGCATTAAATGCATTTTTCGTTTATTATTTACGAGTTATTATTATTTATTACTTTTTCTGCACACGTTGTATCGAATCGTTCGGAATAAGTTCAATCGAACGACTCACTAAACTGAATGAACGAATGTCGTTCATCTAGTTCGTTACAAATAAGAAGAAGGAAACACTCAACATGTTATCGGACTGTTTTTAACAGTGAGGAAATATTTGCTCGTAATATTCAAATTTCTGACTCAAGCTCTAAATAACAGTGCCATATAAAAATAATAGAAAACATGTAAAGCCTGTAAACTGATATTTTCTATATATTCTCTATTTGCTGTTAATTTAAAGTGAGCTTATCGATATATCGATGAGCTATCGACTTAAGTACAATCGATAATAATTTACTTAACAACGATAGTGAGTAAAGTTGGTTGCAATTAACCAAAGAACGTTATTCGGCTTAGAGCACTGGCAAAGTGCGCGCGCATTTTTAAATATTTCTTTCGAATAAGGAGAGATAGTAAATAAGGTGCTATTTCATATATGTGATTGTTGTTTTTATTCGTTTTAATAGCTTATTGTACACTTCGGCTATAGATGAAATTTTTTTTCAAATCCATTCAATTTTACATTTAAAAAAATTGTAAATGCTTTCCATGTACGTTTGCTTCACTCCACTGTCCGCATCTTCTGCAAAATAATATCCTCCACCTGGACTCCATCGGGCGTGTCGAGTGCATATAGAATTGCCTTGGCCACATCGACGGCCTGCAGCTTGGGCAATTCATCGACGGCCTGTGAGTAAACATTCAGAAAATCGGTGTCCACCATGCCAGGGCAGATGCTCTGTGCGGGCGAAAGAAGACACGTCACATATGTTTGCATGCAACATGCGGGGCGCCAAGCGCCAAACCCTTCTGCCAGTTGGGTGCAATGTATGCACTGCATTTAACTTACCGTTAATTTAATATTTAATTTGAGAAAATGTATTTCCTGGCGCACCGTCTGGCAAAGTGCTGTAATTGCATGCTTCGTGGCGGGATAAACGCTGAATAAGGGCACCGGCACTTCCGGTATGCGATGGCCCAGCACGCTGTCGCCAATCATGAGAGAAAGAGAAAGAGAGAGATGGAGTAAGAGAAGGAGTGGAAATCGAAATAAGTATGTTTGAGATGGAGAAATAAGTAAAGTCAACGTTGGTATGCAGTGAAAGAGCTTGAAACAACTACAAATGCGTTTGGCAACTGCAGAATCCATCACGCAAAAAATGATGGTCAACAGCTGTCGTTGATTTCTGCGTGTGTAAGAGGCGCTAGCCTGTGCAGGCAGTGCATGGACCCGGCACCGGCACCCGGAACCTCAATCCGGCGAATGCTGTCGTTGGGCATTTTATGCAAACATTGCGTAAACTTCTTTTAATTTAACAGTGTCTGAGGCAGTATTAAGTGCAAACAGCGGTGCCAACTGGAGTCGTCGTCCAGTGCATCCTTATGCAATTTTAATTAATTAAGTCTTAATATTATTGCATTGACATTAAGCGCAATGCATATTGACGGACATGCCCACAGCCACGCCCACACACCCCTACCGGCCACGACGTTCGTTCATTAGCAACGTCCCAACGCATCCGTACGCCTTTTGTCGTTGTTTTCACTGATTATACTCTAGCTAATGGTATAGTTAGTTTGTCACCAATATGGTGACTTTTCAAACAATATTGTGTATTTACACTTTATTAGTATTAATAGATGTCTGTCCTATACGTCTGTCGTAACGGATCCATAGTTAGGCATAAAGAAAGATGTTTTATAAAAGTTTGCTGCCTGACCAAGTTTGTAAGAAAAAACGTATCATACGTCTCTATAGAAAAATCAGTCAAAAAATGAGTTTCTTTAATGCTTTTTAACATATCTGTCAAATCTTGCCAAATCGCACTACTATATTATATAAGGCCTATACGAACAATCGGTCAGACATCAGGCTTTTGTGCAAAAGAGTTTTTACAAGAGTATTCAATCTTCGGCGTGCCAAAGAGACGTCTTTCTTTTTGGTTTATTAATTTGTCTTTTTTTTTTCAACAGCATTCACATTATATTAATTTTCTCATTAATTAACGTCGAAGCTCGTGAGTTTTCTTTTGTTGCACTCCGCACGCTTTTGCTCAATTGTATTTGATTACGACGGGCATCCCAATATATACGAATGCCTTTTTCTTTGCTCATTAAAAAAGCAAATTGTGCACCGCGCCTGGGGACAGCAATTTAAATTCATTCGCAAACATGTGCCAACGGCCAGGCAAAAAATATGCATTTACGTATAAATAAAATAATTATGAACGATAACGAATTGCTCTACTTATGAAGAAGACTGTGCCTGGGGCCGAGCTAGCCCTGACTTGTTAAGCCTGTGGCTGTATGGAGTTGCCTGCTGATTGATTTGACCAATATTAAATAATTTGCAATTGATTTTGATTGCCCAGCTGCAGGTTTGGTTTTGCTTGACCAAATGTTGAATTTGGCATAAGTCTGGCGCACAGTGCGTGTGCGCAATTATATAAATTATATTTAATTGTTTACAATGCTAATTGTTAAAACCTGTTTATGTGTGTGTGTGTGCGTGTGTGTGCTTTTCAAGTAAGTTCCATTAAAACGAAATTAATTGAATTTTAATTTAAAGCCAAAGCGCGCATCAAACGACGCGGCTTAATTTTGATTTTAAATGCGCTGCGCATTGGAATTCATGAAATAAAAATCAGCAGACATACACAAATACAAACACACCCACACACACACACATGCACAGAGACGAATGCACATTTATATGCAGGCTGCTTAATGCAAAATACTTAATTATGTTGAATAATTGAGTTGTTGTTGTTGCTGATATTTGCGGAAACACTTTCGCCATGGCGATGCAAATGCAAAGCTTTTAATGCACAGAGCAACCACAAAGCAGCATTAACAACAACAACAACAACAGCAACAACAACAACGGAACAGAACAGTAATTGCGGGAATCGCAACATTTAAATATCAATAAATGTTTGCTTGTTTGTGCCATGGCTTTTAATTTAATTTAAATAACGCGCAATCGTCTCGTCTCCACACAATGCCGAAGCACAGCTCATGAAAAATGCATGTGCTGCCCAACACTGGCCAATCGCACTATTTGCACTTTCATTAGCCCCCTAGACACGCACACACACACACACACACACACTCGCACTCACACACACACAGTTATACACAATATACTAAATACGGACATAATTTTCGCAAATGCTTTGGCACTCAAGGCAACTTTGGTCAGTTGTTTGTCCATTGCAAGCAACTGCTATAAAGCAAATACAAGTGCAAACTGCGTGTGTGTGTGTGTGTGCGTGTGTTAGTGGGTTTCAGTGTGCGTAAGTGCATTGTGATGATGCATGACCAACAATTTAAGCCTTAGACTCATTTTGCTATTTTAGCTGGACAAACATCATTTACAAAACGAAAACACACTCTCGTCCCTTCAAACTATGCTAAGCGATAATTGTGCTAATGCTGTAGTCCAATCAGGCAATTTGAATGCAAATTTGTTGTCATTTGCAGTCGAGTGTATTGGTTTTGTGACTTAGCGGCATGCCTAACGTGTGTCCTATTTAATTATCGAACCAAACTGACAAGCTAACAGCAGAGAATTCTAGCCAAACAATATTCATTAGCATTGGACATTTTAGCTATTGAAGAATATCCCAAGTTAATGAAATTTTTGCGGAAAGTTGCCAGAAAGAGGAGTTATTGATATAAATCTTGCTTGTTTTTAAAAATCAAAATGAACGAAGAAGGCTAAAGCAAGGAAATTTACATTTTTAAATGATTAAGTATTGAGTGTTGAACAACACTGGATGATTTCTCTTAGTTATCGGAAGCAGAGCTTAACATATCGTTAAACTTGATGGTGCTGGAAAATATACTTCGCCAAGATATTGCAAATTTTACAGCATTTGTAAAATTAGTAAAGTGTCGCTTTTGTTAATCAAAATCGACTCTCAAGTTAAATGTTGTTATTTTTAGCAATATTTGTTGAATTGTGTGAATCTTGTTAATAGAAAATTAAAAAATGATTTTCAAATTACCTGTTTATAACGATAATGTGGCAGCGCACCTTTGTTGCCGCCATATGCTTCAGAGTTTCGCGCAAACAGCTCGCGGTGGCGACCACATTCAAATCGAATAGTTCCTTAATGTCCTTGGTTGGTGATTCTAGGAGTGAAGCATATTGCAGTTTTTTTTTCGCATATTTAGCTCAAAATCTGACCGGATTTACCACTCAGAAAATTCGCCTTAAGTATGCCCGCATTGCAGACGAGCACATGTATGCAATAGAAACGCTCGCGTATCCAGTTGAAGGTGCTGATCAGCTGTTCATCATCGCTGAGATCGCATTGACGCGCAAAGATTTTGCCCTCGCCAGTCACTTGAGCGTTGAGAGCCTGCAACATCAGTTGTGCAGTGATAGTTATTTCAAAGAACTGAAAACTGGACGCTCACCTCGATCAGATCGACGCGCCTGGCCAGGCCCACCACAACCATGCCAGCATTGGCTAGAGCTAGCGCCGTGCTGGCACCAATGCCCACCGAGGCGCCGGTGATGACAGCCACCTTGTTGCGCCAGTAGAATCTGTCCATGTCGATAGATAGATAGACAGCGCTCGCCAGAGATAACCCAACAGCTGCGTGTGCCTTGAGCAACTGATCTCGGAGGCTGTACGCTATCGCACCCAGAGCAATCGCAACAGTTGCCTACTCGCTCGGTCGGCGGCTTTGCCAATTGAATAGTTCAGGGTCTGCGCTCGCTTCGATTGACTTTGCGGACTTGCAGTTATCGCGTTTTAAATTTTTTACAATTAACTCTTGTCATATTGTCGTCTACTTTTACTTACCTTGCTGACAGTGTATTGCACTGGCTCGAGTCGTTTTGCAGCTGGGTATTGCCTGTATACCCTGTATTCTTTTCTTGATTTAAGGTGCATGCAGTAAGAGTCAGTAGAGGCAGCATATACATTTTTTTTAAATTTGGTGCCAATAGTTTTATTAAAATGTTATAAATGCTCTCAATATATTTGATACACATATCTAGGCAATACCCGTGTACAAATCTACAGCTGATGAACTGAATTCTGTGTGGAAATAGCCTGAAGATAAATTCTGCAGGTCTTTATACCATATGGATATTTGAATTTATTTAATGCAGATTGAATGTGGACCTCCAGCTGACTAAGCTTATATATTTGTATAATAATATATTGTAGTTATATGCTAAAATCCATAGTTCTCAGCATAATTAACAGGGAATTTTGTAGTCAGGCATAGCAGTCATACCTGTTTATTTTTCCTAGCATTTTCTTTGCAGCTTGTTTTGCAGAAATTTGATACAAAATGAAATTCTCATTTTGTGTGGCGGCTTTGGTTTTGTTTTGTAACTAATCTCCAGTGGCTGACACTTGCGGCTTATGCATTTCCATATTGCACAACTAAATGAGGACAGTGGGCACTCGCTAAGGCAGCGGGCTCTTTTCCAACTCAGAGTCAGAGTGCGCACTGTTGCCCGAGCGATTTGCCTACCTAAGTATGTATATGGGTACATCATGTCTATTACATATATTTTATTTGCTTCTGATAGTGCCTTCTGCTTGAAACGGTTTCGTTCATGCGGTAAACCTTATCATATTTTTGTTGTTACTCAACAGCAGCTTCGGTTTCAGCTGCCTGCCGCATTCTTATGGCCTCCCAGCAGACTGAGAGTACTTGCCACGCCCGAGTGAGTCCGGAGCAGCAAAGCTGCTGTCAAGCAAATCAGAGATGATATTTATCAGCATGCACTCGAAAGCCTAGAGACCTATAGTAGACAATGAAATACCTCGTCTTAAAAAGTGCCAAGGGTGATTTATGTAATATTAAATATGTTAATATTAATAAATAACAATTGTCCGAAAGTCCTTAGACGCGACAAACTCTGATTAGTCTAGTGCCAGTGTTGGTCAACGTCAGCAGCTTATTGCTACTTTAAAAGATAAGCTTTACTTTTTCTAATAACAAATTCTTGTGCTGTTTAAATTACCAGACAGTCAACAGAGCGTAGAGAAATCTGGCGTGAATTAAATACCTTAAGGTTTAAAACCTAGTTAAGCGTGCGAATTTGATGTTAGATTACGACTGAGTTTATAATATAATTTCTAAGAATAACTATTGTGTCTTACATTAACTTAGTAAAATATACCCGAACTCACCTGCAGATGTTGGGTATAACTTGTATGCAGCAAGAAAGTGAAGCGGCAATTGTAAAATGCAAAATGCAATTCAAAAATGCATCTAAAAATGCACTCGATTTGGAGTTTGTCAGTGCAGTGTTGCAGATGACAGCAATAAAATGCAGGTGCTGCATCTCAAACCGAGACAAGTGGGTTTTATCTGTGCAATTCAATGGTCAAGCCCATGCATTGGGTACAGTTGACGACACTGTTAACTAACAGCGTCTATGTGCAATCTATATTACATTTGCTTTGGCTGCTCGTAAAAGAAACTTTGATTAAACTTCAAATAAACGAAGGCTGTCGGCAATAAACAGTCGCTGCTGGGTATTCAATTTTATTTGGTGGTTTTTGGCACCACACATACATGCCACACAAGCACCCAACGCCACAGCTGGTGGCATAGTCATCAAAGTGGCAGCCATTTAAGCTGTACAAAAGCACAATTGCCAACATTTTCAATGCGCTTCCCCACACCGAAATTGATAGAAAATTGGCAGGCAAAGTGTTTTTAGTTTTGCAACAATTTATTTGTTCTTTTTTTTTTCTTTCTTATTTTGATTCTCCGTTCGACGTTGTTGTTGCACGTTGGGGGGGATGCCTCGAAATAAAACAAATAAATGGCAAAAAAATCGCGCATCGTGGTGAAATTTATTGTTGCATACTTTTCGGCTCAGCGCGCTGGCATGCAAAAATAAAATTGTTGTTGCCACATGTTGGGGCATGTTGTTGGTCTTGTTTATTTTTCGGTTAAGCCCAAATATGCATTTTTCATGGGCTGTGCGCCGGCTGCTTCTGCTGCTGCTCCTGTTGTTGTTGCTATTGTTGTTGCACTCCTTTTAATTGTAATAACATTTGTTGGGCACACGATTTAAATTGCATTTATGTTTGGCAATTGGTCTGAGCTCTGCTGCTGTTGCTTGGCTTTTTATATAACTCATACGTCACGTTGCCCGCCGCCGACTGTCGCCGCTGGCGGGATTTTCGCTTTCACAATCTAATAAAAAACGCGCTCGCTGCCGCAAGAATAAATTGAAACAATGGCAACGAAACAAATCAACTGTTCGTCGTCTGGCGTAACGAGGCCAAATTAAATTACAAACTTTTCTTTTAAGCAAGCAATTGAATTGCTTCATCCCCACGCACACACACACGAACACACACACACAGTAGCTGGCAATTTTTTTGTGTGTGTCTATTGTATTTAAGTGCGCACACACAGTAAAACTCTTCGGCTTTTGCTAACAACCTCAACAATACTATAACTAAAAGTTTTCTAAAATAAAATACCATATGGTTAAACACAACCTGCGGCTAGGGTTTCTGCAACTGAAAGGCCTTGGCTATTTTACAGCAAACTTAATCTGAAGCGTTTTTCAATTAGTTTTAGCATCGTCAAAGTAGTCAAAGGCGTTAAAATTCTGGAAGTTTTTTTTTTGGCAATAAAATTCTTTTACATGTTAGCAGCGATTCAATATAATGTTACACATTAAAAGAGCTGTCTCCGATCCTTTGTAGTACATATATAGTAAGGTATATGTTAGGTTTTTCTGTATGCCTATACCTTTCTATGCAAGCTACTCATTTAGTTTTAAAGCCATTTATATCATATAGTAAATTTATCGGAATTATTGCTCGTAAATTAAGATCCTATATAAATTTCTTTCATTTTAGAAATCACAAATATTTTTAAATTTATTTTAAAGCTACATTAAATTTTATGTTTGGGTTTTATTCATATATTCATATATCCTAGCTAGGGTAATTATACTTCGTCACCTCAAAGAGAATAATTCTCGTTTTGAAACACACTCAAATACATTTTATATCCATTAAATCCTTGTGTAATTAACGTAGAAGTTGTGCCTGCAACTAATCATTAATCAAATGTGTGCTTAAGAATTTAATTAAGTACCTCGCCTACATTTACACCTTTATAATTGACACGTAGACAATAGACGACTGTTAAACAATTATTTAAGGCGCACGCATAGTCTGTGAACAAAGGTTGTTTTGTCGACTGTCTGAAGGGGAGGCGGAGGCAACTGCCGAATGTTGGACCCAAAAACTATGCCAACAATTTTAATGTTAAATGCCAGCCGGTATTAGTGGTTATTGTTGTTGTTGTCGTTGTTGTTGCTGTTTTTATGTAGAGACAACTTTTGATTAAATTAAAATTTATTTTAATTAAACAAGCGTCGCAAATGTCTCATTTACGCTTCGATGATGTGACAGGCAACACACGCTTGTGTGCGAGTGCGTGTGTTTGAGTGTGCGTGTGTGCCTGTGTGTGTGTGTGTGTGTGTGTCTGTTTTTCAATGGCAGCAACAAATTTGCTTTTAGCTCGCATGTTTTGTGGTCTGTTGACAATTTGTGCCCGCCCAAAAAAAATTCTTTTTGCTGACATTTTTTTGTTTGCAACAACAACAACAACAGCAACAAGCAAAAGTGCTACAGTCGGATGTGCCTGACCAGGAAATACCCTTTAACTAGCGTCAAGCTGCTGTTACAAATACATCCACACTTAAACACACCTACACACTCAAAATTGCACCCCTTAAGCTATAGCAAGCCCTATACTATGGGAAATGCATTCTTGCATAACTTCGGTATTTAAAGTCCGATTTATGAAATGTTGTGGGCATATATACTGTTCCTTAATGTACGTGCATTGCGCAAAATACACTTTATTGCCAAAGCGTCGTTTCTTGTATTTACAATCTTGGGAGGAACGGGGCAGTTTTATCTACAAAGTGATATTTCTCGATCTTTCGCTATACGAAAGCCCACATATAACATTTGGCCCATAGCTCCGAGACATGCTCACTTCAAATAATATCGATATCGCTTCTATCGATTTCATGGCAGCAAGCGACGATTATCGATGATTTCAAATTAACCTGATGGGCGTGGGTTATACATATATCTAGCTTTTATAGACTAACAAACATAGCAGATCTTCGTGGCTTTTGATGCTGATCAAGAGTTTATATACTTCCGTTAGATACTTCCTTGCGCCTGTTACGTACATTAACTGTAAGCCATCATAACTTTTTTTTACGTAGTATAACAAAAGCAACTGTAGCTTTGTCTATTTAACACCCAAAACTATGCAAACCATTTTTAGCTGGCTGACAAGGAAGCTAAATAGCGCATCATGCAGGTGCGGGTTGGTGGTTGGGGCTGGGGGCGTGGTTGTTTCTACTAAGTGGCGCCTAAGCTCGCGCTTAAGTGCAACTAATTAGCCTAGATTTTGGGGCAAGTACGCATGCAGCTGCTAAAGGCTGCAATAACATGTAAGTTGTTGCTGTTCTTGTTATTGTTGCCTGTTAATTGCGCAACGTTTGCCGCTAAGCAGCGAACGCAGCCAGCGTAAAAACTTTTTGGCATTTGCCACGCGAAAGCGGGCTTGTTGTGGCACTTTATTAGCTCTGCTCCTGCTTGGCGTGGCTATTAATTGATGTTATTTATGACTGACAGACATTAAGACATGCATTTGTTGCTGCTACTGCTGCTGCTGTGGAGGAGGCGCACCTGCGTCTGGCCATAAG